GCATGTAATGAGTCTGCCCTGTTAGTTTCACACTGTACACATTAATTATAGAAGCAAATGGCATTATGATTCCAATTTTCCAAGAGTCACATGTGTGTGAAGTCAAGTTCTACTCTGATTTGGCATCCATTTCTATAATTGCACAAGAATCCGAGAAAGAACCTATAAAGTTTGACTACACAACATTTGTTCGAATGTTTTTAAATGTAAATACACTGCAAGAAGTAACAAAACTGACTTGAATTTGGCAAATTTTAGTTTTTAAAAGACACAATGAAATTTAAAACCTTCCTCCCTTGGAATGGGAACCAAATTGCAACACCACTTGAAATAAGACAGAACAGCTTGTCCTGTTGGCAAACTTGTTGAAGTCAGTAGAAATGTTCTCAACTCAAGATCAAAACCTCTCGATTCAAGTCTTTAGCTTGTATTTTCATGTTTTTGCAGTGTAGTAAGTTTATGGCATGAGCCTTGTGTGGTTTCTTCCAGACCAGGAATTGAGTCCAGGGATGTTTCCAGAAAGGACATAACAAAAGTCCTGGCGTCCCGGCATACCCTTAGTCCATTTGTCTGCAATATCATCTCAGTCTGCTCCGTATCTCCAGTCACGTCTAAACACTGATTGGAGAGGTATTTCTTATCTGCTCTTTTGGAGATTAATGCTTCTGGTAAATTTTGGAGATTAATGCTTCTGGTAAATTCTAGTGTTTTTGTGCAGTTTATGTCCAGATTGGAAGCATATGGCACGATTGCATAAGACAATAAACGTAACCTCAGTGGCCAACGTATAATTTTAAAAACTGGTATTTTTTCTCATTCTGTGGCTTGAGGCTTGACCACTGGCTCCCAACACAACCACACTTTTTTGCACATGCCTGAAAACAAATGGGGACTTACTCAGTGTTTCCATTTCCCAGGATCAGCATTTTACAGCTCGAGAAGAAGTTCCTCAAACAGTCCACTGCTACTGCTACTGCTGCTGCTGCTGCTGTCACCGAACAATTCAAATGGTCAAATGGCTTTTAACTTACTGATCAAAAACTTTTAAGACAGGATTACATAAATACAGAAATGACAGCCACTAAGACTAAGTAATTTAAATGTTAAACATACAAGATCTATGCCTTCAGATTTAGAAAAAAATAATATATTTATATATAGATGTACAGTAGATAATGAAGAACAATAGAAAGTATAGCCCCATATGAGAAACGATGGAAAAAATGTATATATTGGAGCACTTACAGTGGGGCAAAAAAGTATTTAGTCAGCCACCAATTGTGCAAGTTCTCCCACTTAAAATAATGACAGAGGTCTGTAATTTTCATCCCAGGTACACTACAACTGTGAGAGACAGAATGTGAAAAAAAAATCCAGGAATTCACATTGTAGGATTTTTAAAGAATTTATTTGTAAATTATGGTGCAAAATAAGTATTTGGTCAATAACAGAAATTCAACTCAATGGAAGGAGTTTTTGGCTCAAAATCTCACAATACATGGCCCCATTCATTCTTTCCTTAACACGGATCAGTCGTCCTGTCCCCTTAGCAGAAAAACAGCCCCAAAGCATGACGTTTCCACCCCCATGCTTCACTGTAGGTATGGTGTTCTTGGGATGCAACTCAGTATCCAAACACGACGAGTTGAGTTTATACAAAACAGTTCTACTTTGGTTTCATCTGACCACATGACATTCTCCCAATCCTCTGCTGTATCATCCATGTGCTCTCTGGCAAACTTCAGACAGGCCTGGACATGCACTGGCTTCAGCAGGGGGACACGTCTGGCACTGCAGGATTTGATTCCCTGTTGTCGTAGTGTGTTACTGATGGTAACCTTTGTTACTTTGGTCGCAGCTCTCTGCAGGTCATTCACCAGGTCCCCCGTGTGGTTCTGGGATTTTTTATCACCATTCTCATGATCATTTTAACCCCACGGGATGAGATCTTGCGTGGAGCCCAGATCGAGAAAGATTATCAGTGGTTGAAATATCGTTTTAGGCTACATTTGGGCTATCTTTTATACAGATAAGGAGTTCAAACAGGTGCCATTAATACAGGTAACGAGTGGAGGACAGAAGAGCTTCTTAAAGAAGAAGTTACAGGTCTGTGAGAGCCAGAGATCTTCCTTGTTTAAAGTGACCAAATACTTATTTTCCACCATAATTTACAAATAAATTATTTAAAAATCCTACAATGTGAATTCCTGGATTTTTTTTCACATTCTGTCTCTCACAGTTGAAGTGTACCTATGATGAAAATTACAGACCTCTGTCATTATTTTAAGTGGGAGAACTTGCACAATCGCTGACTAAATACTTTTTTGCCCCACTGTATGTAACCAACCAGAAATGTTCTATATGCTTTGTTGATTGAGTGATTTAAGGTTCAAGTTTTTTAAAAACATACATCTATCTATAAAGCATGGAGCATCTGTATGCCAGTTCCTCACTTTTCTTGCTGACATTTTGTCCAATTGACTTTCAGACCCAGATTGCTCATGCCATGATGTGCCTATATTGTCAACTTTTTTGATGATTTGTTGCACCACGGTACAGTGTGAATAAAGGCCTCAGAGTCCTAATAAGTAAGTAAGTAAGTTTTTATTTATATACCGCCTTTTCACTGCAGATCTGAGTCTCAAAGCGGATTACAATTGTTAATTATGGGCATTTATCTCTCACTCCACACAGAGATGGGAGCGGGGTCGCCAGTACAGGAGGCGCATGCCAGAACTATTGGACATATTTTTAGTGGTAGGGGAAACCGGAGTACCCGGAGGAAACCTACGCAGACACGGGGAGAACATGCAAACTCCACTCAGAAAGGCTCTGGTCCGACCGGGATTCGAACCCAGGACCTTCTTGCTGAGAGGCGAGAGTGCTATCCACTCAGCCACCGTGCCGCCCACGGTGGCTGAGTGGATCCTCAACTAAATGGTGTTATAATACAGACTTTTTGGTGATGTTATGTATCAGCTTTATGGTGATGTTAATTTGCTGCTAACACATTCTATTAGCTACTGATATAAGTAAGCAAGTAATCTTTATTGATATAGTACCTTTCACAGACAAGAGTCACAATGCGCTTTACAATTGTTTTTGGGCATTCGTCTCTCACTCCACACAAAGATGGGAGCAAGGTCGTCATACTGGAGGCGTAACACATATCTACTTAATATTAAGGAGTCCCTTCAGTTCCTAAAACATGTCTCTTGTGTGCATGAGGACTTTGGGGGCTACAAACGACCTACTGTACCCACTGTGCATTGAAACACTGATTTCACCAATGTGGGACAAATTGTATTTTTGTTCATAAACTGGAACTCATTAAGAAAAATCACAGAATGTACTAAAAACATTTCCCACTCTGAGCCCCTTACAGTAGCAGCAGTCATTATTCAGCTGATGTAAACACGTAGACTGCAGGTACCAGTGCGCTCCTTCTCTCCCACAAACCCACTGTTTATGTTTCAATGTTTCATGTGGAGGGATTTTTAATGCCCCAAGTTAAATAGTGCTGATCCAACGCAGCTGCTGCACTTTTTAAGCTGTTGTCTGTAATGGGTGGAACGGGTGATCTAATAAAAAGAAAATCTAAATAGGACATATAAAACAGCATGTTTTAAAGTTGAGGCTATATTGGCCCCTATTTTAAGACACCTTGCACACATCTCATAGAAACCCTTAAAATACCAAGACAAAAGATTACTTTTCATTTTTTTGGCTAGGACACAATCACTAAAATTATTGACAGACCTGCAGTTCTACATCATACAGTAAATAACTTATTTGATTCTATTGACCTTTCTGTATGAAAGAACAAACACATAACATTGTAGACAGCAGCATCTTTTGAGGAAAGATTTGTGAATTGCGTTGATCTTGTGATGTCAATATGCTAAATGTATAATGCCGACAAAGAACGACTATTCAACAGGTGATTGTAGCTTGTGGTAAAGACTGTGGCAGAAGTTGCTTATAAAGATATATCAGAAAATCCAAATAATTCGAACATGGGAAATGCAATAACAACAAACACAGAGAAGCCATTGGTCGAATGGTGGGGGGCTATGACAAATGTCCGTCAATGTTATTAAATGTGCATGACGAATTTGCATCAAACTGTTCTTAGACCCTCCTGGATCTGCAAGAAACAACTCAAAACCCCAGTAGGGAAAACTTTGGAGGCCAATAGCCAATACTGAGCCTCCAATGGCTAGACTGGCTGTAGTGTAGATCCAAGACTGAGCCTGTCGATCCAAGACTGAGGTTGAAGATCCAGCCTCAGTCTGCATATTAACCTCAGTCTAGATCTAATTTAGTAACATGTTTAAAATCCGCACATGAACATTGCATTTTAATACTTTACTTTCATGATCTAATAATACCATTGCAGTATTAAAATTTACAGTTTCCATACATTATCTCAAAGACCATAACTTTGAGAGTAATGCATTTCCCAGAAAAGCTCTTAAAAGTATAATTCAATTTCCTCGAATATCGGGTTATGGGCTGAAACCAACACAGTGGACTTCCAATTCATATGCCACATGTCAACACAAGATCATTCACACTTGTGATGATTTTTTCAAGAGAAATGAGAAAAAATTGAAGTTGTAAGAGGTCAGTTTACACTTAGTCTGTGTCTCATTTGAATTGACCCCCAATGTTGAATAATATTATTTATTGTCAATATAATTTTCAGTTTGTCTCGTAAAAAGTATATTCCTGTCCTCCTGCATTAAACACTGCAGTGATATTTTCAGTCAGTGGATCAGTCAGACCTAGTCCAAGTGGACATATAAAATAGCTTTTTGTTCAATTATGCGTCACCTGAGCTCCTCCCTGTGGTCTACTTTGAAACAGCATTTTTTTCCCCATATTTAGTTGAACAGTCTTTTGTGAAGTAATATGACACTTGTTATTTTAGTAACATACATTTATTTTATATAAAAGAGAAAAAAGGGTTGTAATATTCACACAGACAAACAAGAGCCTCACTGAAAGACCACAGTATCCAACATCGCGGCTAAGCACTGGACGATGTTGGACGTCATCAAAACATCTACATGCTCCTCGAGATGCCTCTTTGGATCCTGTGAGAAGAGAAAGACCTTAGATTTAGCCCAAAATCACCTGATCAGCTAAAGCAAACCTTGTAGAAGATAATACTTGAAAGTAATTATGAAGATTTGGACAAAAGCTAGTGTGTCTTCTACACATGATCGGATAGCTCTTTTAGAACCAAATTAGCAGATTGAGCTCCTAAAAGGCGCATATTTTCTTTAATTGATTTCTATTATTAATTTTAGTAGTTCTCTATAACGTTTCACATCCAATTTATGAAAGAATAAAGGGTTTATATGTAAATGAATTAGTCTCATAACATTTCAATAGTATCAGATCATAATCAATAGAACAATCAGATATAGACAGTCATTTATACCTGTTTTCCAACATTCTTAATGGCCAGCTGCTCAGGGGTCATCTTGTCCTCTTCTTCCACAGCCTGTGCTCAAAGAAACATGTATCAACCATGTTTTTAAGTTAAAACTAAAGCTGTTAGGTGAACGCTTTCTGTACCTTGTTATAGTTCTTGGCGAGCTCCAACATTTCCTTGACGATGGTCTCATTGAGTTTACAATGCTCACTGTAGTCCTGCAGAGTCAGGCCCTCCATCCAGCTTTTCTTGTGAAGATTCAACAGCATCTAGAGTGGATAATATTTATATAATAATAATTATACAACAATAGTTCTCATAAAAACTATACATTCAAAAAATATATATTTGATATTATTCAAACCTTTTGTTCTAGCTCATTTTTCCTATAGTTGATGGTGATGGAGTAGTAGTGTCTGTTCAGACCATGAATCAAAGCCTTCGAACAAAAGTCTCATTTAAGTTAAGCTGTATTTTCCGTTGGAGGTGTAATTGTGACCAATTGCACATGTAATTCAACAGTTGGGACAAGTTCTATTACCTGGATTGAGGGTTTGTTAAGATGCCCCAGGTTTGATGTGGTCTGTCTGGGCTCATGGCCGAGCACCATCATGTTGGCGTTGATCAATCTGAAGGCATCAATAACAACCTGGACACAGAAAACAGTTAATAATCACTGTTTAGTCTGTGTGTTATTTTCTCATTATAAAAGAAAATGATCAAAATAAGTACTTTTCCTTTGACGCTTTGAATGGGATCAACCACCACAGCCACTGCACGCTCTGACAAGGCTTCAAAACTCTGCTGCGTGTTTATGTCGACTCCTGAGAGCCAGCAGCCGAACCCAGGATGACTGTGGTACCAACCCACCACCATCTCCGGCCTAAACAGAGACACTTAAATCAAACCCTTCAGGTATAAACATAATTGATCACAATGAGGACAAACTGAACTGTTGCAATGACAAAATGCACAAAAACATTCTAAATCTACCAAAGTTGCATTGTATCTTGTAGCAGGATAGTTCTGTTAGGTCAAGTCAAATTCAACTCCTTTGTAATGCCATTATAACCGTGACCGTTATGTCCATAATTATGATTGTATTTAAGTGTCCATACTATAATTACGCTTTCAGTTTTGTGCTCTAATTAAGTTTAGAAGGGGGATTGAATTACCTGCCAGTCTGCTTAAGCATGTCTAACATCTTGGCTTGAAATACTGGGTCAACAGCTTCCACACTAACACCCTAAAATAGAGGAAATATTATTAAACAAAAAGGTCAACATATGGCTCAAGTTCAAAAAGAGAGTTGAAGGACACACCGTTCCAGACTGAGGCATAGCAAAAACATCTATCACTCTCACGGTGTAGTCATCCACAAACTCCCCCAACATCAGCCCCATGACTTCCATGGGGACACCAGCTCTGCCGTGCTTCAGCATCTAAACAATGACAACATCAAGCAAATCAATTCATGTTGGGTAACCTTTTTCTTCGCGGTAGTTTGTCAATAGAAAGAGCCTTGTAAAGAAAAAAATCATAACACAACATGCTATTTTCATTTAATCAGAAGACAGTTATCAGTTATCTTTTGAGGCCTTACAAGAAAGAGCTCTGTGAGTATTTTTCACTATTGGCTGAGAGCTGATTGGCTGAGTGAGATTGGTCGTCTCTTTTTAAATTTACTGTCAGAAAAGGCTGATCTAAAGAGGTGAAAAATACATGCATGTTAAAAGATTGATACAACAATACAATTTTTGGATCAGGAAGTAGTGGGATTCAAAGTTCCACTGATGTGTACCACATCTCTAATTCATTATTGAGGCTGGCTAGTTTGATGGAACATGTATTGGTGGTACCACAAACAGGACAAACTCACCTTGAGCAACGCCAGTGAAGAAATGTACACTTGTTCAGCTGTGTCCACAGCAGGTGCATCAGTGGGGGGGCCCTGGAAATATAAAAATCATTAGTTCCATCACAATAATATATGTTGTTCATACAAAATCAAAACATTGGTGTTTGTTTTATGTGAGGATTTAATGATGCGCTTTATGTTACCCTCTGTAGGAAAAGCGCTTTATAAATAAAGTTTGATGGGTTGAAATACAAATATTTGGTTTTCATAAAAATATATGTATTACCTGCCCCAGTCCAGGCATTCCTCCGCCAAGCCTCAGCAGACGATCCATTATCAAATCTACACGAAAGGTTTAAATGGATAAGTCATAGGAAAGAAAATTGCAGAAAGAAAACTAAAATGACTAAAAGTTGTTTGGAGGTATAGCACAGGTTAGCTACTGTAAGAGCGAGCTAACGTTACATTTCGACCGACATAAATGAGCAACGGATGGTTAAATAATATATGAGATATACATCTGAAAACGTAAGCTCAAAGTGATATAGAAAATACGTATTGACAAAGTTAAGTCATCTTGCTCTTTGATCATATAAAAATAAGCTCGTTTAATCGCTCTTCCTGCTATCATATCGGCTAACAGAATGTGATAATACCACCCTAATGGCGTCACGTGTCTACACATTTTGTATCAAACTGAAAATAAGATTGTCCGGTATAATATCTGTGCGAAAAAACAACTTACATTATCACGTATTCACTGGAAAAACTTGAATTCTTGTTGGCAATAGAAAATGTCAGGCTACAATGAATCAGCCAGAATTTTGTTTTGAGGAAAAAGTTACTTCCGTCGCAAATAGATGACGCATAGCTTTGAGCTAGCATTGGCGATGTTCAGTCACAAGAGGGCGCCACACGACTACATTCTGTTAATGGTAACAACATGGCCAGGCAGAAAGCATGAAAAAAAAAATCTTGTCTTATTCGACGATATCAAGTCTAAACCTAGACCATGGGGAAACACATGATTTATCCATATAAGGACAAGTATTGACAAATGTGGGGTTAAATCAAAACTAAACTAGGATGACATCATTACTACAGGCTGACAAACCCTAACACACATACATGGCCATAAGTTGATTGAAAGACAGTATGTATGATTAATATTTAAAATTTCATATCCATCTTTTATCTGTGTCCCGAGGCACAAGGTCAGTATGTACAAATAATATATGGCCTTTTTTTTTGCATTTTGGTTTCTCACCTAAATGTGAGAATGCTTAACATGCATGACAAGACACTGGCAACCATGGTTTTAGATTGTTTTACATTGTGTTAAAACCAGTAAGAGTGAAAACAACATACTGTTCTAACATTTCAAAGTGATCCTATTTTCAATACTATACGCTTAACAGTGTGAAGTCTTTTAAACCCAACCTTTTTCAAATCTATCTTGCTTACAACAAGGGGTAAAAATGGTTTCTTGTGTGTTCTCAAATTTCAACATCCAGGCATTTCATTATTCCCAGAAGGACTACAAATCGGTGCCAAGCCATGCACACCATCAAGGGGCCAGTAAAAATGATTGCTTGTGTTTGGTTTTTGTCCTGGTGTTTGAACACGTAGGCAGCCATCCCAGCAGTGGGCCTGCCCTATCTGCCCTGTCCCAGACAGGTCAGGAGGAAGAGGCACGCTGAAGTCGTCACGGGAAGCTTCAAATTCCTCAAATCCTGAAAGAAAGAGGAGGAGATAATCATCCGCATTCCTCAGGCCCTCCTTGTTCACTCACATGTGTGTTTGGTCAACATAATATAATGAACTGAGACGCCTTGACCAGGACATGCCTTCTGACAACAGCCAGCTTATTTGTTAGTAGTTGTAGCCTAGTAGTAGTAGCAATGGTAGTAGTAGTAGTACTAGTACTAGTAAGAAGTATGTATGTGTGAATGTGAAAAATTTCCCTCAGGATTAATAATGTGTCCATCTGTCTGTCTGATGAATCACTCGTTGATTTTCTGGCTTCAAATAGAAATAAGGCCTGCCTTCTGTCAATTCTCTTACATTTCTGTAGTCCTTGTCCTAATCTATAGTAGCAGCAGTGGTAAAACATGAACATTTTTGTTTGAATTTGCTTTATCCATTCACATCAACAGACCAAAAACAATAATCGTTCATTTTCAGAATTCAAAAATGAAAAAGACATCCCTTTTGAGAACAACCACGCTTACTATAGTAATAGTAGTAGTACTATAGTAATAGTAGTAGTAGTAGTAAGCCTAACATGGAACAATAGTCTTTCATTTGAAATTGATGGATTATTAAAATGCCAACGTCTATTTACATTAACATAATCAATTCACTCATTTATTTTCAGGTTTTAAATAGAAGCAACTATTTTACCCTCGTGAAAGACAAATGAGAACAGCACAATAATACATCACACCAAGGCTGCAGTGAAGATCAATATAATACATTTGTCACTTATATAATAACACACACACACAAATAGTCAAAAATATGTTTTCTCAAATACGATGTATAGTGGTTTAATACTATCTGAAATTACTTTTTTGTTACTGTTGCAAGACAATGTTTGTTACTCTATACTGGGACACTCACTTGTCAGCAATCAGACATTATAATGGCATTTTTCATACTTCATTGTGTTGTTTACTTGTCTGGCAGTACCATTATGATTCTTTACGTAATGGAAATGGTGATTTATCAGGAAATAAGTGGTGTTCTAGTGGACATCACAGCGAGTTTGTAACATGACACCGGCTGAAACCTTAATCCAAGCTGCAGAGGAAATACAGGGGGGAAATGTGATGCTTTGAGAGCGTATCTGCAGCCTGATTGGATTTGGACTACGCTCTGCTTTTTAAATCAGGATCTGCAGCCGAGTGTTTGATGGCAGTTTGCAGCTTTGAACATTGAATGGTTCAGGCATGAATGAAAACTGCTGCAAACACAAAAAACTGCCCCTGGTTCCCATAATTACAAACTTGTGATAAATATCTTGTTTCCTCCTCTATCAAATTAACACAATGATGGTAATCATGTTTGTGAGATTAACATGTGCATTGTTAGGAAAAAGCAAACTTAGCAAAAAGGCATGCCTATTCATAAGTATTTAATCTACTCAAGAAGCCTTTTTTATGTTCTAATTGTTCTAAAAGACCACATTTTCTTTACACTAACTCTAAATACCTATTTCCTTTACACAGCATGACTTGTGTGGTCTACTGGGTCTTTTATCTGTTGATTTTTTCAAAAGCTGATCAATCCATTTTTGTTTTCTTTAGTTGTTTCCGGGTCACGGGGGCAGAAGTCCGAGCAGAGACGCCCAGACTTCCCTCTACTTGCACACTTCCTCTATAGGCTCCCAAGGTGTTCCTAGGCCAGCTGAGAGAGTCCCTCCAGCGTGTCCTGGAAGTCCTCACGTGGGATCTGCCCAGAACACAGGAGTCCAGAAGGCATTCAAAAGAGAGGCCCGAGCCACCTCAACTGGCTCCTCTTTGTGTGGAGAAGCAGCGGCTCTACTCCGAGCTCCTCCTGTATGACCGAGCTCCTCACCCTATCTCTGAGGGGACGAAACCCAAGCTACTCTGGAGGGGATACCCATTTGCTTGTATGCGCAATCTCGTCCTGCTCCCAAATAGAAAAGAAATAATAAAATCAATAGAATTTCCTATTCTGTGACTTCCTGTTATTCACATGGCAACAAAAATGATTCTGATTCTTACAAACTTACTACATGAGTCCAATACAGCGACCGCATCCCTGCACATGCTGCAGCGGTCTGCCTGTCAATCTCACGCTCCATCCCACTCTTCTGCAGTCCAAATGCATGCTGGAGATCCTTGTTAGTCAAAGCCAATAGGAGAACATTGTCCACAAACAGCAAAGATTCATTCTTGTGGTCCAAAAACCAGACTCCCTCCGGCCCCTGGATACGCAGAGAAATTCTGTGCATAAAAATAGTGAACAGAACCGGTGACAAAGGGCAGGCCTGGCGGGGCGAGCACACATCTATGATCCCTCAAGTACCATATGAACCTTATGAAGGGTATAGAGCTTCAGGACAAAACTAACTGCTCCTCCTGATTAACTGATATAAATGTATGAATTTTATGTTTTATATATGTATTATTATTTTATTGATTTATTATCTCTTGCTATTTGTCATGGTCTTATTTTATTTTCTGGGAGGGACTGTGCAAGATGTGGAAGTCGATAGAATGACTGATGATAGACAACAAATGAAGCGATAGCAAATGGATGGTAATATTGAATTGAGCTGGAATATTTTATTTGTTGTATGTGTTACTCTTTTCATTATGCAGAACTATATGTTTGTGAAATGTGCTCTAATAATGAAGTGGATTGGATTCAACACACAACATTTCAAAGCTTCAACATTATAAACTTGCATAATGCAGAAGCAGCATCCTATGCTAATCAAATGCAAAACACACTCTCGCAATACCATCCCTATGAGATTTGCATTGGCTAATTAAGTTATAAGCCAAGAAGATAAATGTATTTTATAATATTAACATCCACGATGAACAATAATATGATGTCTAAGTGAATTATGCATCGCAGGGGGAGAATATAGCCTTGTTTTATGGGTGTAACCTCAGCTGGTTTGCCTGTGGGTGGTTGTGGTTCAAAGCGTTAATGAAAGATGCTGAGGCCAACTCTTCATGTAGATACTAAGGGGTCATAATTCTTTCAAGATATTACATTTACATAGAGTCATTTACATTGAGCCCATAAATACATTCAGGCTTGCATTTTCAGTGATTAAGACTATTTTATTAGCATCTTGAATAGAGATATAAGACGATAAGATTAGAAAAATTGAACCAATCCCGGTCAAAAAAGTGTAGTGTAGTGAAAATAAAATAAGATGAGATAAACCTTTATTCGTCCCACAGTGGAGAAATTTCAATATCATAATTGTGCACATAACAGCAGAATAGAAAGAGGATACAAGAGCACTCAAGTTGCACACATCAAGATAATATTTAAGATAATAGAAAATAAACATCATTATTTAATTAAAAAAAGCACAATAAAAACAATATTTTATTACATCAATAAACTTGCATATTACAATTTTGAGTGTCAATTTCCATTGAATAGGAATTGTTATCACGCAAGTGTTATTTACAGCAAATAAAAAAGAAAGTCTATTTCCCACTTTAACACCCTATAATACACCACCCAACTCGAATCAAGTGCTGGTTTAAGTGACTGAATGGTGAGGAATGGGGCACGTTTATAATGGTGCCTGATTGATCCATTGAGGGGGAGTTCTCACCCTAATGAGTCGGGATGGTCCTGATGCTTCTTCATCTTTTGTAGCTTTGTTCAAACTCCTGTTGACCAATGCTTTGGGTCTTTGAGGTCAAATAGAAAATTTAATCATCTTTAGCATTGATTTCATATAGGATAATCGAACTGTCACAAAATATGATCTAGTTTCGGTCCTGTAATAGACTTGTAGTAGTTCATATTCACACAAGTCAATATCTCCCCTGTGACACGCAGTCACGTGGCCTGCCAGTGTAGGCTATGATAACTTGTACAGGGAGTTCTCTGGTGTACACTGGGTTTCATATTGACTCAATCCAGGTTTGGCCTTGGATTATAGTCTGTGTTGTAGTCCTGAATCCGGCCCAGGGTGCGGTCAAAGGGTTTTGGTTTAGTCCTGGATTTTCTGGTTCTATTCACAGTTTAGTTATAATGTCAAAGGCTAATGTCACACCATTAGACCAGCATTTAGAGAAATAGATTGCATCATAGAGTCAACTGGTCTCGTTCAAATCTAAATGTTTGGGATGCTTTAACATTGGAATTACAATAAAGCACTTAGTACACGTCTCTAACCCTGCATTACACAGCGCCAAATAGTGTGCGAAAATTAATATTATCGCGTCCTTGTTTTTTAATTTCTCGTCGCTGAATCCTATCTCTGGGAAGTGCGCGTACGCGGGGCACAGTGACCTCCAGCTCAGGCCAGGCAAACGCTTATATTTCATCGCATCCTGATTCGGTGACATGTAGGGCTGGATGGGGGAAGGGTAGGAAGAGGAAGAGGGTGTGTGTGGTTGGAGGAGGTGGGGGTGAAGAATGCTTGGTATGTGCGGACGCCGACAACACGAGAGGCGCCTGCGATTTGGCGTGCGTGCGTAAATGTTAACAAGCCCATTTTACGCACACGTTTATATCTATTAACATCGTTCCTATGCGAGTTTAATCACTGTGTCGTGTTGAAATAAGCATCGTGGTTAGAAGCAGTCACATGTAATTACAGTGTAACTAATGGCAGCACCCTACAAAGTCACAGATGGTTTGGCCCGTAGTAGGTGGGACTGGAGAGCGGTCTGCAGCAGGACGTCGTAGATCAATGAAGCGAACCGGAGGGCTGGTCCATCTCTGTGGATCTGTGTGTATAGATGTGTCAGTGCCTATGCGGGGCGGAGGGAGTTACGAGCTTTACTAGTCTTTCGTCCAGTTTGCCCAGAATGCAGATGCTTTGAAAAAAAGAAGGAAAAACTCGATAGCTAATACGTTTGATTCCCCTGCATCTGCTCTAACGCGTATCGGATATCACAGTACATCTGTAACCTCCAGGATGATCTTTGCGAACCCGGGAAACCCTCTGAAGACGACCCATAGGAAGCAGGTAGGCCTTTATCACACAGCTATTGCAATTTAAAGGCACTTTTTGGCCGAATGGTTCAAGCTGTACAGCGGCTTCCCGGAACGCGACTGGTGACATTGGAAAGCCCTTCCCCACTTTCCACTTGAATATTTGCATACATGTCCCACTAAAGCCTTTAATGCCAAATGGGGATTAGATGAAATAAAACATAGCCCAGTCAATGCTGCAGTCCAGACGTGTCAAACTGGGTAGGCTTGGAGTGGAGAATGACGACCTACTGCTATTAGTCTCACACTGTGTCCCATATAACCTCGTTTGCCCATTCACTTTTAGCCCAGGTCAATAGGGATGACGGATATTGCAGTAGGCCATTACATAGGTTAATGTATTCTGGGGGGAGAGGTAATGTAAAAGTCAAGAGTGGTGCATTTGGTGAACAGAAGGGGAGGTAATGGACTCTTATTAGTGCCTTCCCGATTGATTTAGATGCTATTTTTTTCTGTGGTAAAAATTGATGTCTTGATTTCAACATTGCCCAAAGGATTACCTGCTGCACTGCGCTCGTATTGCTACACTATTGCAGGTGTTAAAAAAGGACAGCCTGTGACATCCATCACTGATACTGTGGTTGATACTGAGACCTCACATGAACCCCTTTCCTAAAAAAGTTTGTGTGTAATAAGGCTGTTCTAAATGCAAACGTGAAAAGCCTATCTCTCACTGAAGACATAACAGATGTGGCTACCATACTGATTATTCCCCCATATGATCAGGGAACTCCTAGTATGGAGAAATACAGTCATGCGCTGTTTAACCTAAATAGAACATATATATGTATATTATTCCCCATTACATTATTTCCACTGTGACCCTGACATGTTCTCACACTGGACAGGAACTATTTGATAAGATAACATGGAACATCCACTCATCACCCACTGGGGAAACGTCAGTGTTGCAAAGCACAGTACAGAACAGCGGCTTGAAACAAGGTGAAAGAAGCAATGAAAATAGGATCAACGCTATAAATGATACTTTTTTTATGCATTCAGATAAATAATATCTGAATGCATAAAATAGGCCACTCCCCTTCAAACACACAGGACATGATGATCCATTCAGCTCAGGACCTCTCGCCCTCTCCTTTGCTGTTGAGATCATAAACACGTTATTACACCTGTCCCTTGAATACACTGCTTTAAAACAGTGGGTTTTGCATGATTCTTAAGCACAGTGTATTCAGTAAAAGTATATGATTATTTTCATTTAGTAAATTTTAGATCTGGTTCGGATCCAGATCTAAAATTTAGGATTCGGTTGATATCGATAAATATTTTCTCCTATGATAACTCGTGAAATGAGCCACGTACATGACACTTTAGTGGATGATATCTGTCAAATGAACTAAACACATTTTGTGGAGATACAGCAATGTGTTTTGCATTGCCCTGGTTTTAATTGTGGCACATTGCAGTCAAGTGGCCTTTGGTTATAGACAGATGGTGCGATTGTACCATTGTATTGTCTTTGATCAGAAACTCAAGTGGGTTTCGGGAATGGCCGCAAGCTATTTTAATGAATGAGTAAGGGGAAGGAAATGCTGTTGCTGGAGAGTGTGTTTCATGGCTCAAAAAGCTGAAAAATGTAGATTTACAAAATAGCGGCAGAGCTCTTTAATCACCAAAACAGACCCAGATGCAGACATTTGCCTGTTGTAACGACTGACAGGATATTTTCCCGGTCTTCAAAGGCCAAAGCAACTTTCCACAGACTTAAACTAAGCTTCAGATGTGTCACAAATGAGAACAACTTCACTCTGTGGATCGTTACGCTCAATGTCTTCCATCTTAAAAGGAGTCGACATCACAGGAACATCACAGCAAAGACAGAAGGCTTGAAGTAGGGCAGGGCAACATAATTCAACCATTCAATTTATTCAGGAATCGACCAAGGAAAATTAGGAAGGAGTATTAGTTAGACTCGAGCTATGTTTGATAGTAACGGACTGACCTGCAGCTAACAGTTCCTCACCAACTGTCCTTCACCAAAGGGGAAAAACAAAAATAACAATCCTGGGCAATCTGGGGTAAATAATATCAAGATTTATGGTCCTCATTTTGATAAATCTCAATCTTTCCAATTCATTCATTTGTGTTATATATACTTGAGCACAGGCTTACATAATTACATGAAATTGTCCATATTTTAGCCAAACATTGTGAAAGTAAAAACACATGCAGTCTGTCGCTGGGTCCGTTCTTTCTAAAAAACAGTGTGTTTAGGATGCGCAAAATGCACAAAATTGAGATAAATTGATTGATTTTTGGCTCTGCCCCAAAACCACATTCATCATTTAGATTTTGTCACCATGTCAATTACTCCTGGACCCTTTTGGCTTCAGGCAGCAATATTTATCATATGTCACTATTACACATATTTGGAAACAAGTATAAATAAACATTGGATCCTATAGGTCACATCATCTGTAATCACTGGGTTGTATCATACATAGTTAATGTGATTGGCATTTAGAAAATACTACATCTGCTGCTGCTATTCTACTACTTCAACACTACTGCTATGTCTACTACTACAACTACGACTACTACTAATACTATTACGACTACTACTACCACGACTACCACTACTTCTACTTTCACTGTAACCACAACAGCACATTCCTACTTTCAATTCAATTCAAGTTTTTCCACAATGATTGAGGTTTCAAACAAACTAGAAAAATATAAATATAAATAATACTTTTTAGATGAAAAAGGCATTATTCGAGGTGTCCTAACTTTTAAATCACAAAGGGAGCAAATTAGAAGAAAAGTGTTGTCCATTTCACAATTAGGGCTAGCAGATTTTTTTACTGCTCTTTCTTGGTACTCATTTTTTGGAAAAGATAAAATTCTATAGAAAATTTCGACTCTCTTCCAGTGTCAGTGCAAGTTTCCTCTGAGTGCTGCGGGTTTCCCTTACCACTAAAAGCATGTACAATAGGTCTGAATGTAATGAGTGAGTGAATGGCTGGTGATGGTGGACGAAGGCTTCTATGCGTGATAGTGTTCGCCGTCTCGCTTCATCGTCATTGAGTGAGGAGTGAATGGAAAAATATCGGTACTCCAAAAATATTGTAGTAATGCGCTTTGTGTGACCTTGGTCTGTGAAATGTGCTATATAAATAAAGATTACTTATTTATTCTCCCATTCCTCTAAATGCACAGTGTATAATAAAGTGATTTTGCATGAGTACCATTATAAAGCACCAACGATTGGTCAGCTGATACCGATACTGATGCTGGTACCGATACCGGCATCTGCTATTTGAGTCAATCCACAGAAATGTGTTGGAATAGGTATTGGTTAGTTGTTATATTACATCTGTTATGTAATATAATATGATTATCAACTGGATGATAGTATACAAAGTTGATATATAGTTTATTCCTGTATAATTACTGTTAAACACAATTGGACCCATTTGTAAAAAAATAAATAAATTAAGTTACCTATGATTTAAAAGAAGAAAATAACTGGTATTAGTTCATATGTGTGTTGGTAGATATCGAAACCTAAAGTATTGAAATTGGTATTGCTGGATCAGTGCATCCCTATACAGGACCACACATACATACAATACTCACAGAATCAGTAAAGCTGAAAAATACAGGTGAAACACAAACATTTTTAATATTGTTGAAAAGTCTATAAACTGTTGTAATTCAACATACAATGTGAAACTAATATACGACTCATTACAAGTGAGTTATATCAAGCCTTCATTTCTCATTGTGTTGATAATTGGCTCACAGCTTGTGAAAATCCCCAGATAAAACATCTCAGAAAAGATGAATATTTTGAAAATAGACACAATTATAACAAATAAAGGCTTGGTTTATGTTAAATTACAGAAATAAATGAACTTTGGAACGATATTCTAACTTTCCCAAGTTTTACTCCAAATACTATTTAAGCCAACCGATGAGAAATGTTTTGAAGTGCTCAGTCATCTAAACATACTGCAGCTTACATCCTGACTTTTGCCGAGCTCCCACACAGACTCATTTATCACTATTAGTCCAGGCTTTTTAAATTAGCTTATCTGGTTGTGTCCTGACTTCCTAACAGTGGTCTTCCTTTGTGCAGTCCTACCCCATGACTCCTTCCAGCCCCAGCAGCAGTAACAGCAGCAGCACTGGCCTGGAGCAGCTGAGCAAAACCAACCTGTACATCAGAGGCCTGCCCCCCGCCACCACAGACTTGGACCTGGTCAAACTCTGTCACCAGTGAGTAAAACACACACACACACACACACACACACACTGGCCATTTATGTGACGCCATGAACTCAGGTTATATCAGCAGTCTGTCAGAGGTTTGAAGGCCGATGTGTTGCCTGGTGAGTCAGGAGAAAAATGTGGGAGGGATTTGTGAAAATATCATGTGGGTTAAATTTAGGATTACCTTCTGGAAATGTGAACAACCTGGAAGAATAAGTGCGTAAAGATTGACGCATACGAACGATCTATTTGTGGCATACTTCTTGTGTGGGATATGCAAATGTGATTGCAATGTTCTGCTTTGCCAAATGATTCTTTGGCCTTACATTCTTGGCCTCTCTGTGACGGTACATAAAACCATTGAAATAGAAAAAAACGGCACTTACTAATGAGCAGACTATATAGGTAGAACATATAGAAGAGGTTCAGCATGAATCCAGTCTATGTTATCCACACTCGTCTGACCCAGGTCACATCTGCAAACATAGATATTTTTGTAAAATGTAAATTCCATGAGTTTAGAAGGTAAAAGTTGTTGTTTCTAAACCAATACAAAATGACCAATGAGCGTCTTTGCTTCTGTCTTTTCATCCCAAAATACAAGAGTAAAAACCCTTGAATGAGACAACACTGTGTGGTTGATCCCTGCTGTGATCAAGTAATGAGCCCCGAAAGCAGAAGCCAAAGTAACAAACTGTATTACTTTACAAAAAAACTGTGCTCATGAAACAACACAATCAAAAAAACCCAATTAATACATTGCTTGCATTGTTATTGTGTGAAAACCCCAAGTTAAATGATAATAAAACTGGTCTTGCCAGAACCTTGAATATTCCTTGTAAATCTGGCAATCCAAATGAGCTCCTTTCTGATTGTAAAATGTAAATTTTAAGAACTAAACTCCTAATTGAATAACACAGCATTACAGATACGCTTGATGTGAACATGTACTTTCTAGAAATTTATTAATTGACTACAAAGACTGAGGCATTTTCCACATCACTTTTTCATTAAAATAACCTTTTTGGTGATCTTATCTCCCATCTTTTGATTTCAGCGTAGATACCAGATCTCTCCATCTTTCCAAAATATTCAAATACATCTGTGGTTCCCAAAGTCTGGAGCACTGCAGCCCCCCTAACAATCAAAAAAGTACCGTTAAGATTTAAATCACACTTTATACTGCAGAATATGTTATCATTTTCCATTTTAATTTAGACCAACATACATCAAGACACACAATAAACGCTGTAAAAGGAAGTAATTATGTATTAATTTCAATAACATTTTATTTTTGGCAGGGACAAGGTACAATAAACATAGCCAAAAGTAGAGATGTATTGTACCAGGTTGTAGCAGCAGTGCTAATTTACAACTGTAGTCCCAGAGCAGGTTGTTGTAAAACAGTAAAATAAAAGTAGATAGATATAGATATAGATACAGATATAAATATTTTTAGATTAGCTTAAAGTCGTTATTGCTGATTGTGTGCACAACCTTTGAGGTAGTTGCCTTTAAAACCAACCCAGGAAAGTAAAACTAATAACTACTAATAGAAAAAACTGACTGGAGTAAATTATTGTCGGTGACGTCCTGCCACATCATTCATCACACATTGGTTCACTGACACATAAAACTCTCCAACCACGGAGACTCCATAAACATCACGGAAACCTCTGGTGTGATATGTCGCGCAGCAGAGATGATTGTTTTGGCGAAAGGCGTTTGGATGTTGTTGTAGATGTTTGAAAGCTCTGGTTTGCACTATCTGCTCTGTCTGGTGCTCCCTGGGGTACAGGTATTCCAATGCGGTTTTACTGCAAATGGAAAATAAACTGAATCTGAATCAGAGAGTGTGGCGCGTGCGGTGGATTGTGCCTCAATTAGTGCCGTTTTTGTGCCGTCATTGCCCCGGTGAATGGGAGGAATATGGGCTGAACCACTCGACTATAAAACCAGGAACGCAGTAGCAGCTGTTTGTGTCCTGTTTGCTTGTGTTTTGTTCGTGTTCCCAACAGTGTTTGCCAGCACAAAGCAGAAATGAAAGCGCTTTTCATAGAAACAGGGTCTGAATGGTGATGTAAGCTGGGCATTCACTGGCTGTGCTATAGTGCACGCTCTGATAACACATCACAGCTGCCACAGTCATCTCTATTAAGGCTGAATTAAACAAGAGCAAAACCTGGTCACATGACCTACCTGCACAATACAATACTGAAAATGATTAGGAGAATAGAGGAAAGAACACGTATGAACACTAGATTTGTAATTTTAGCATATACATATATACATGGAAAAACTTAATTAATCTAATTAACTTATATCTGATAATTACACGTACAGTGAGATGTTACAAGCCTTTCTTTACTATAAAATTGATAATTTATAAACACTATAAAAAAAAAAGAATATTTTGTAAATTATTGAATCATAATAGACAAAGGGTTGGCATATGTCATGTTGTAATGAATCCATTTCATATATTGGTTTTACATTTCAAGTTGAAATACAGAAAAAAAACATTTGAACGATATTTCACAATTTAGAGTTTTGCCTGTATAGAGCCCACCTGTGTCTATCTTTAAAGTGTTTTCAATTGTACGCAGAAAAATTCAAACCAATTTCTTTCAAAAAACGACTTGGCAAAGTGCAAATTGTGAGCCTTTCCAATTTTTCCTATGGCACTTACCTGGTGTTTCATATGCGTATGTCAGCCATCTATTTATTTATATGACCTCGAAAAGTTATGAATAATTCATTATTCCAGTCTGAGAAATGTATTTTCCAATTTTGTTTGGGATTAGAAATAATTAAGATTATCTGGTCCGCAATACAATATTAAAACTTAAGAAAAGTAAGCTGTATTCATGATAAATACATGGTGCTGATATGTAATAAATGTTATTGTTTTCATGTTATTTTATAATTAGTATTGAACACCAAGTGTAATGTGTAAAATATAATGAGGCAGCTAATTGAACTTTCGAGCAGACAGAAACATGTTTACTGATAGTATTAGTGTTTCGAGTTCTGTGGGTGAGCAACAATAGCTACAGTCAATATTGAGCTTACAGTAATAGCAGGATGTGTTGTTTGTTTTTAGGTATGGCAAGATTCAATCGGCGAAGGCAATCCTGGACAAAACAACCAACAAATGTAAAGGTGGGTAAAGCTTTCAATTATTAAATAAAATAACCCTCTTTTCAAATGGCCCATTGTTTCAGCAATCAGACCACTTGTAGGAGGAAATAGAGGATCTAATCAGTCCAAATATGTGCAAGAATAGACTCTAATAGGATCCAGCAATCAGAAGTCTTGTTTCATCATCACATATGTCAAGCACTTCCTCTTGCAGCGAGAGACACTACAACTCAGAGCAATTACTAAATGTTTCTGTTTTAATTATATTTCTGATACTCTAATGACCTACTCATTTTGACCTCTTTTGTTGGTTTGAGAGCTTGTTCAAATGTTAAAGAATTGATCTATGAAGGAGAATTAGGAGATGTATTGTACCTTATGTATCATCTCTTTTCTCTCCTGATTCCTAGGTTATGGGTTTGTGGACTTTGACAGCCCTGCAGCCGCTCTGAAGGCGGTACACGCACTCAAAACCAGTGGCATTCAGGCGCAAATGGCCAAGGTGAGTTGTAAAAAGAAGTGCGTTCGTCTTTCAGCCTGTCGGTCTATGTTACGCTTATTCAATGCATGCATATATGTACGCTGTACGTAAAGTGACATTAGGCTGGTCACATGACCTGACAAGCTGTTCTCCACATGACCTCATTTACGTTACTGTAGAAACAGATGTCACTTCTCGCTTTGCCAAATAACCAGTCGGCTTTGGACCAGCACCTCCACTGCCTCATAGATCACCTCAGGGGGTTGCCATAAAGTGTTATCACACCATTATTACAGGTTAACACTATGGATACAAACACCTCCCACCTATAATACACTTGCAGCAGCTCTACATTTTACGCTTTTCCTCATATTTTTAGACACAGTTCCCCTCTCACAGCTGGCATTTGCCTCGCAGTGGGAAGTAGAAATTGTGAGCATCATCAGATTTCTCCAGCTCTGCCTCTGTGCTGCTCAACTCCATTGGAGAGGGTTCATTTGTGAGTGCTTGTTCTCTAGAGAAATGCATGAGGCTGCTTGTTGGGAACAAACAACACGGCGCACGGGGCGAGTGTGGCAGTAGCTAGGCTACAGCATTCTCCTGCTGTTTCCAGGAGCCTCTGTAGTGCTCTGAGGCAGCCTCTCCAACTATAGACTCCTGCATCAACACCTATTAATACTTAAAGGATACAGAGCTTTAACCCACAACAAAACTTAGTGACAATACATATGACAATACTTCATTGTTGGTTCAGTGAACCAACATGAATGTAAAAGAAAATGTTGCTATTTTTATATAGATTTATTGGTGCTTTACAATCTAGTAGTAACTTAATCATTCAGTGAAATAGTGGCAAGCCTTTCCTGTCACTTCTGTACGTTCCTCCGGGCAGACAAAGGGATGCAGGATTTGTTTTTGCACCTCTGGCCTCAAATATCACACAAACACACTCACTCCAGCAGCAAAGGTGAAGTGTTTTTCCCAATGACACAACTACATCATGAGTTGGAAAGTGAAGCACATCACACCCACTCAACTTCCAAAATCAACTCTGACCTCACTTTCAGCATAAACGCTGAGTTTGGATTTCGTTATTATATTCTCATTGTTAGCCATATATTAAACCAAACCAGCAAATATGAAACCTTTCACAATATTTAGTTGAAGATGAACCTGTGTATAATATCTCCATGGTGAAGGTCTGTAATGTAATTAAGATAATATTACATTTCTACAATAGTTAGTATCGGTATAAAAACATTTTATATCAGCCTTTTATGTTTACGAGTAATTATATGTAATTTGCCAATGGTGGTGGTATTATTTTTCTAAGATAATTTGTTTAACTAAATTAGATGTAATTATCTGCTCTCTGATTATCCAATCAGCAGAAAGAGGATGGCATTTGGTGAAATTTAGCTGTAACACATGTGTACTGTGCATAACAAGCACTATATACATTATAAACTTGTTGAACACAATATCAATGTTAATTTGGCCTCTCACAGTTTTTCCTTTTCTTCAGCAACAGGAGCAAGACCCCACAAACCTGTACCTGTCGAACCTGCCGCTGTCTGTGGATGAGAAGGAGCTGGAGAATCTTCTGCAGCCGTTTGGAGCCGTGGTCTCTACGCGCATCCTCCGGGACTACAGTGGGAACAGCCGCGGCGTGGGCTTTGCCAGGTCTGTTTTGAAAGCATCAGAAATCAGTTATTGACTTATTTGGCTCGGGAACGGTTGTATTGTGGAGAAGTATTTTGTTTTTGTATATATATATTTAGACAGACAGAGACAATGTACAATAGACATGAACCTCAAAGGGAGAAATGCATTACACCAGGTTGTAGTGGAAGTATGTAGTCCCTTATGGGTGCAAGTTTGGTTTGACAAGAGCCATTTATTTTCTACAATGAGAACATGTGTTATGTATATATATATATATATATATATATATATATATATATATATATATATATATATATATATTATATAGATTTAAATAAGCAAATATCTTCTCACTAATGTAGACAAAACTAAATTAGTTGTACAGTGAAAAATATATCATTGTTTGGTCCTAGTTTAGGTGCAGAGACACAAAATATATTGTGATTACCTTTTTTATTGCTCAAAAACACAAAATTCACCAGCAAAGACAACACAACATTAGAATGGAAATATGTTTATTCATAGCAGCAGAGTGAAGCTAGTGGATGGGTGGGGGCAAGTGGCGAGGGGTGGTTGGCGGTAGAGTAGTAGGAGGTTTTAGGCGTGGCCCTGCTCCCAAACCTCAGTTAACATTTATTTACTTTCATAAACTTATTTTGCAATATAAAGCAGTGTATAAGTGAAGAGCAATTAAGATACACAATATACAATTTTGCAGCAGTGTTTTGATTTAGGATGTATTTTTAGTTTAATAAATACATGTTTTGACAACTGTGTATGGTTTAACTTATTTTAGGTCAGGGTTAGCGTTGTTATTTCCATGCCTGAATGTACTGTGAACTTAAATACCAAAGATGTCTTTGGTTTGAGTGTGCAAAAGCTGCGCCGTGCTGTTTGCATGGAGCTGTTTTGTTTTTGTCTGAATGAGTCTTGTCTTCTATAGGATGGACACAACAGAGCAGTGCAATGCCGTCATTGCTCATTTCAATGGCAAATTCATCAAGATTGGTGCCGGAGGGCTCGGTGAGAGAAGTGAAAATGCGGTTGAAAAAAATTTAAATGTCACAAGTATAACAGTTTTCTCCTGTGAATTGCAGCTCCATCACAACCGCTGCTGTGTAAGTTTGCAGACAGCCAAAGAAAGAAACATGGTCACAGCGGGTTTGTTCCCAACGGACAGACAGGAGACTTGAGACTAGTATGTACACCACATTGCGTGTTTTCTGTTAACTAAATTAGATGTAATTATCTGCTCTCTATTATCCAATCAGCAGAAAGAGGATGGCATTTTGGATGAAAATTAGCTGTAACACATGTGTACTGTGCATAACAAGCACTATATACATTATAAACTTGTTGAACACAATATCAATGTTAATTTGGCCTCTCACAGTTTTTATCCTTTTCTCAGCAACAGGAGCAAGACCCCACAAACCTGTACCTGTCGAACCTGCCGCTGTCTGTGTGGATGAGAAGGAGCTGGAGAATCTATCTGCAGCCGTTTGGAGCCGTGTCTCTACGCGCATCCTCCGGGACTACAGTGGGAAAACAGCCGCGGCGAGTGGGCTTTGCCAGGTCTGTTTGAAAGCACAGAAATCAGTTAATTGACTTATTTGGCTCGGGAACGGTTGTATTGTGGAGAAGTATTTGTTTTACTTAGTATATATATAATTTTAGACACACCGACAGAGACACATGTACAATAGACATGAACCATCAAAGGGAGAAATGCATTACACCAGTTTCGTAGTGGAAGTATGTAGTCCCTTATGGTGCAAGTTTTGGTTTGACAAGAGCCATTAATTTTCTACAAATGAGAACATGTGTCTTATGTATATATATATATATATATAAATATATATAAATATATTATATATATACATATATATAATATTATATAGATTTAGAATAAGCAAATATATTCTCACTAATGTAGACAAAACTAAATTAAGTTGTACAGTGAAAAATATCATTGGTTTGGAGTCCTAGTTTTAGGTGCGCTGTTTTGTTTTTGTCTGAAATGAGTCTTGTCTTCTATTAGGTATGGACACAACAGAGCAGTGCAATGCCGTCATTGCTCATTTCAATGGCAAATTCATCAAGATTGGTGCCGAGGAGGGCTCGTGAGAGAAGTGAAAATTGCGGTTGAAAAAAAATAAATGTCACAAGTATAACATTTTCTCTGTGAATTGCAGCTCCATCACAACCCGGCGTGTTATTTGCAGACTAGCCAAAGAAAGAAACATGGTCACAGCGGGTTTGTTCTCCCAACGGACAGACAGGAGACATGAGACTAGTAGTGTACAACCACAGTGGGCGTGTTTCTGTTTTTAAAGGTTTCATATTACGCTTTTCTTCATGTTTCAACAGTCAATCCCTATGCACATGTGTGATAATAATTGGAGTGATAACCATACAACACTTAAAACTTGTGACATTATAGCCATCTCTTGCAAAGCTAGATGTCACTTCGACTCAAACAGGCTGATTCAGAGAGGAGTCTCCTCCTCTGTCTGGGAGCCCGCCTCCCCCGCCCGCATGGTGACGTAGCATCACGTTCTGAGTTGTATATCCTCTAGTACGTGGTCATTTCAAACTTCTGAATAAACTGTTTTCAAAAATGACAATCCGTCACATTGAGTTCTATGTTATTGATGTACAATTAGACCCTAATTATTTAGTTTACAGAAGTATACGGCGAGTTAGCGTCACTGTACTTACAGATCGGGGGTCCACGTTAGCATCTTTTATTGCAGGAATAACAATGGTTTCCAGATCAGTTTTTGAGTAAGTCCAGTTCCATTGTCCAGTGTTGCAGATGAACAGATTAATTCTGTTCTTTGGGCCAAATAGTGCGTCACATATTTACACCCAAAACACCTTTTCTCCAAGTTGACGCAATCCTAACACTTTTATTCGCTGACTAAAGGAGAAAAACAGTAGCTCCATGTGGTGTCCGCTCCATGTGGTGTCCGCGGGACCAAACCACAGGCTGGACTTGGGAGCTCGACAAACAGCATACTTATTGTGTAGTGTTTTCCCTGATTTGACGACAGTATTTAAAAACCATTTTAAATACAAAGAACTCATCATCGTCATCAGTGTGGTAATCGTCACAGATCAGGACCCAGACGTTTCACTGCATCTCGAGGGTGAAGGAGAGCTCTAACAAAAGCTTGAAAATTAGTTGAAAATTAGCGTTTGCTATACACTCAGTATTTGTCGCATCAGCTGCATCCTGTAACTATATATGACATTGTCCCTGTGAAAAAATAAAATAAAAAATAATCAATGAAAAAAGTACTCTGGGCATGTGTATGAAGGCCAAATAGCACTGTAACCATGTCTAAAGCAGATAAAAGTCAAAAAGCGTAATATGGGATCTTTAACTTAAGTACCAGTATTTTCATAGTATTAACAGAATATGCAAATCCATACCTATTTAAAGAAGGGATGTGCAGCCAACCCCATAGTCAGCAGAAGCGATACAGAAAGTGATGCAATCTGACCCTGCTATTCACTTTCTCTGTAACCTCCAGGGTCAAATTATTGTTAAAAATGTTTGTTGTTCTAATACTCAGCATGATACATTTTATTCTGCCCTTTTGATTTCATAATATGAACAAAAACAACTGGCCCTTCAAAGGCCTTCTTTCCCCAAAGTCTCGCTGCTAAACGGTGTAATCAGAAAGTATCAAACTTGCTCCTGTAGGGAATTTAGGCTATGAGAACATTTGTCTCCAAATGTTGTCGTGAAGCACCATACTAAGAAATAATTTGTTGCATTCATGTTGTAGAATTCTATCTCAATTGGAGATTTAGATACAGATTTGTATTTATAATTTCTAACTACATTTTTAGTTCAAAGTTTCTTTCTTTCCTTGCAGGGTACAATGACTCTGACCTATGATCCCTCCTCAGCGGCTCTACAAAATGGGTAAGTCTCACTGACAATATAACAACAGGAACAGCCAATACCAGTTAGGGGAAATCACCATGGAGACTTATGGATTTGTTCTGTGTATTGTCTCCAGGTATTATTCCTCTCCATATCCGGTCACCAACAGGATAATGACAGTGCAGCCAAGCATGTCGCCATATATGTCTCCAGTTTCTGCTTATCAGGTACACAAATACTTACATATATGTATGGAAAAATCGTACATTTAGAATCTTTGGATCAAGTGTGTGCTGTGATTAGAAATTATTAGTTAGTACAGAAATATCTATCCATTTTTTCCCCGCTTTATCCGTTACCGGGTCACAGGGGCAGCAGTCCAGGCAGAGACACCCAGACTTCCCTATCCAAACACACTTCCTCCAGCTCATGCGAATGTTGTGCTGTATTTCTATTATGTGGTGTCAGTTGACATAGTTTTATGAATTATTATATAATCATAAAACTACGGCAACCTTGAGTGCCCAGAAAGGTCCCATACTAATAATATGTTATATTATTATTATTTTCTGAGGCTAGAAATGTTTTAATAAAATAAAGTTTGAATTCTTTGAAAAAGAAAATGTTATAATGATGAAGAAAGATTATTGTGCTTGGTTGTGTATATGGTTAAGACACCATTTTAAATAATTTACTTCTAGTCATTGCGTCCTATGTATTGTGTAGTAAGGTGATGTTGTACATGAAACTTTTTAGTGGCTTTTTTGTCTTTTTATGGCCATTGTAGATGCAGAATCTCTCATAGCGTTTATGCCTAATTCAATCTGGCATCAGATAATGGTAGCTTTGTTTCAGTTATAGTCTGTATAAAATCTTGATAGAAATAAATGAGCTACAAAATGGAGGAAAATAGGCTTATTTTGGGGCAGATAAAGGGCTACAGTCAACTCTGACCCAAATGCAGAGGCCACATTTCCCCATGAGGACACTAAAGTATACCGAAACCTCGGTCTTGTAAGTTGAATGGCTTTTATGGCTAATACTAAATCCTGTGTAGTCTGGAAATGCCCTTTTATTTAAATTGGATTAAATGTCAGTCCAGGATGTTGCAGGACATTTGCTAAACAGATAAACATTGATGGCTCCAGATGAATCATTCTTCCTTTTCTGAACTTGTCTCCAAAGATGGCTCCAAACACGCAGGCGGTTGCTCAAGTTTTCAAATATTTATATATCTCTGTCCCCAATTTTCTATCACACTGATGATATAAAATATAGTCATGCCTACCTCTTAAAGAACTTTTATTATAATTGTCAGTTGAATTTTATGGTTGGAATGTTTGCACTTTCTTTGCTATAACGCTGTGATGTTTATGTAATATATGATTTGAGCTGCACTATCAATAATAATGATAAATAATACTGTAAAATACAAAGTAACACAGCGCCTTGGTGGCGCAGTGGTTAGCGCTTGTGCTTCTCAGCAAGAAGGTCCTGTGTAGAGTTTGCATGTTCTCCCTGTGTCTGCGTAAGTTTCCTTCGTCACAAAGCGTTTAACTTTACAAAGTAAAGCACTTTGTGTACAGCCCGAAAAAATATATTATGGCAATTTTATATTACAATAGATCCATTTGCAAATTATGTTTAAGACAGTAAACATATACACAAATCAAGAAGAAAATGTCTTACGACAAGCACTTACTAGTTATTTTTTATCATTTCCTGTTGCATACACACATTACATATAATAACATGGTTTCCACACGTTCATAAAAGAGTCACAATAGGTGCTGCTGCTGTAACCTGTCAAACCTGTAGTGCGGTCTTTCAACAAAAGGCTAATAGAATCAACTTGTGTATTTACTCTGCTCTCGTCTCTCTGGGAGGCAGCGTCAGGCCTCTCACTCTCCTCTGTCAAGAGGCTACAACTCGGGAAGTCATTTTGTCTAAAAGCAGCACATTATGAGCCCAAAAAAAAGAAAAACGACAAAAATAGAGAGAGAGAAATATGGAGAAGACAGGCACAGATGAGGTCACTGTAGCAACAGGGGTGGACTGAATTGGCCCCAGAACTGCTGAATTAATTTGTAAAAGGCCAGACAGCATGGTGCACTGTATGTCCCAAAGTCAACGATAGTAAAGGCCTAAGTACTTGGAGCTTATTAATGATATGACTTATACAATTGTTCAGTGAGTCATGCAGTATCTATCTATCAACTGTATCAATCTATGTATCTATCTATCTATCTATTCTATGGTAGTTTCCTGGTAATACAATTAACTTTAAAAACTGACAAAAACATTGAATGAAATGAGTATACTCAACAGATAATTGAATGGTGGGACATGCGCCACAGTTTGAGAAACATGTTATAATATATAGTAATTAGAGATGTATAAATAGACAGTTATTGGTTTGAATAAGATTAGTCATCAAAGAAAATGTGATCCATAATATGCTGAGAAAAATCTGTTACTTAAAATGTAAGATCTCTTCATATTTTAGTTTTAACTCTAGGCTGAAAATAATAAAATTTTTTGTAGTTTTTAAGGGTTGGGTAAGTTTGTCTTATTTCTCTTCTTTTTTACCTTTTTACTGTTCACGTAGGAGAGTAACTTTATATTATGTAGGCTATGTATTAGTATATGTACATCTTTTCAAGTATGAACCATACCATTACCATAATGCACTTACAGACTCAGATGCAAGCTCTTCTACTGTATCAACAATTAGATATATGGGTAAACATATTTTTCTTTGACAGGTACAGAGTCATTCCTGGCACATGGCACATCAACCCTACATTATGCAACATCCGGTGAGTTCAAGTTTTTATGAATTCAAACCAATACTGATCCGTATAGTACATAAGTATTCACTTATTCAATATTCAATATAAAATATTCATTCTGGTATATTTTTGCTAAAACACTCTCCTTGACTTCCCTTGCTGTCAGTGGACTTCACCATTATAACTGCACAACTACAATCATCTTTGAGGGCAATAACAATACATCGTCATCGTTGACATTTTCTTTGAAATATAAATTTTGATATATTGTTTTTGTAATGCAATACCAGTTTAGCCATATCATAATTGTGGCAGGCCTAACTTTGACAGCTCATGTATTTGTGTATAGGTAAAAATAGTATCCTAAAGGTGCAGGATGCAGACACTGCTCTCCTCCCTCTATTCTCCTCTTCCCCCTCCTACTCCCATCCTAATCTCCCTCACCTACTCGCCTCCCAGACTCCTCTCCTCTCCCCCCTTTCATCCTTCTCCTCATCTCCCTCCCTCTCGTCCTCTTCCTGGTCTGATCCAAGAGGAAATGCCTAGAGCAGAGACAGTCTTGTGACTCCATGACTTGTCCAACAGATGGTTTCCAGTAGAGCTATCCCCCCCATCCCCCATTTCACCCTGAAGCATCCTGTTTGGGGAGAAAAAAAACCCAAACTGTCATTTATCAATAACTGACATACTGTATATGTAAATCATCATGCTGTGTATTTAGGATTTACATTGTTTCCTATGTTTTTACACTTTTACACGTTTGGGAGAGGGACAAAAGGCACACTGATTTGTTATTCAAAGTGTGGCATAGACGGGTCACATTAAGGCCAATAATCTGTACCACTCGTCTCTCCAACCACCACTGATCCTTCACTCATTCATTCATTCATAATCTCTCTCTTACACTCACACACACATACACAGCATTGTGGGTCAAGTGTTTTACCTAAGAACACAACAACAGTTTCCCACTATGGCACCTGGTGTTCCCAAAGGATCATGAGAGGGCCTTGTCAGTACTGGGATGGGCACAGTACTGACAAGGCCCTTTCATGATGAATCACAGAACATTTCAATTGAATAATCCAGCACTGTCATTTAATGCAATATCAATAATAATAATAATAAAATATATAATTATTAAATTATGCCATTATAATAATATTTTATTCAAAATCAGTAAAAGTAAAAAAGAGCCATGATTTTAAGGGAACAATATTTATCAAAAATACTACTTTGGATTGAAGGCATATTTGTTTATTATTTATGACTTGTAACCTTAATCATTTACAATCATTTTGTTTATGCAATATTTTAAAAATAATTATTGGCTCTAAGTGGTATAATTTGTCATAGGAGACAGAGCTTATGTTTTTAAACTTGAAACTAGAGCTTATGTCAGATTCAGATTCAGTTTATTTGCCATTTGCAGTAAAAAACCACATTGGAATACATTAGCGAAAAGTCTCCAGTGTGCACAGCTTAAACTGAAGACAATACATATTTCCAGAGAACAATAACAGACAGACCGAACACCACTAACATGTGTTTTAACAATCACAGGTCTATTTCTTTGCGAATTGTAATAAAATATTGTGATGGATTCATGGATAAGTTCAGTTTTATCACATTTTTGGTATGATGTATTTCTGCAGCAGACAGCAGTGATGTCGCCCTCTGTGGACCCATCTATGTCACTGCACCCCTCGTCCCTCCTCACGCAGCAGATGGGACAGCTGTCGTTGGGAAACCCAGGAGCGGTCAGTTCATCCAAAGCCCACACAAACCATTCTCATCATATAATCAGATAATCAGCCAAATCCCCATAATTAAGTCTTTTATAACCTCATTTTATCATAAACAGAGAGCAGCCCAAATCCACTTTTTCACAGCAAAGCAAGAGAGAATTCACATACGAACTCATGAAACAGCACAGAATGTAATACCAATATTAACATAGACATTGTCATACTTATTTTTACGGCTGTCACTTGCACTGCTAAATGTCTATTGTGTGTACATGGAGCAGTGCACTTGTATATCGTAGTAATTTTAAGAATTCTTAAGTGTACTTACTGCTATTGTATATAGTAGTAATTTATTTTTAAAGAAAATGTTATTTAGATGTTTTATTTCTGCCTTATTCTATTTTTGAATAGAATTCTGATTCTGATATTGCGGTTTGTTATGGAAGTAGTAGTTGATGAAGCAGTAGATATATGTACTATTGATGCCTTAAGAGAAGCTATAATAATGCTACAAACGTGTGAAGAAATATAAAACATTTACATAAACAATATGATTTTATTTTATTTGTTATTGAAAATAGGTCAGAACATGTATTAATGGACGGCTATTACAGTAAATACATCCAAATTACCTTATGGCTAATTTTCATCCATAGTCTCATTGTACATATTTTGAATGGTAGACCATGCAAAGGGCCCTGTGCCAGATGGGAGGTGACTGATTGAATGGTTGTATATTTAACTGTTAGGACTCTACTATATCAGTAAAAAGTCACATACCTGCCTTATTAACTGAACCCTGCAAAATATCACAAACACTATAGTAATATCACTTAACCCTCACCCTGTCAGTGTTTTGAAATGTGACATCTCTGTGCTTACAACTTGCTTATAACTTGAATGCTTCCATACTTTTCTTCTCTTAAGTGAGTTATGAAGTTTAACTTGTCTTTTTCAGTACATGGCTGCAAACCCTGGCGTTCAAGGAGCCTACATGCCTCAGTATCCTGCCGTGCAACAAGTCCCAGTGAGTCCACCTAAATATGTCTTGTATTTTAAGTAGCCTTTGTTTTCAATAATACATTTTGAAACTAATGACTGTTTTATAATTTCACACTGGCCTCCACTGCGAATTTCCCTTGTCCATCAAAAGCATCAATTATCTCTGTGCAAACAGAGTGAAGGTGGTCATTATGTGAGTTTTGAGTGTGGTTTCTGCTTTTCAGGAAAATGGCACGCAGCAAGTTGACTCCTCCAACAACTCGTCCCCATACAGTCAACTCAGCAAGTAACCTGAAGTAAGGCAACAGGCAATGTTATTCATTTAACACATTCAAATAGCTGAAGATAGAGGAAAGGACTATGTTTTACATGTGTGTTTGAAAACTTCAATATTAAATCGATCTAAATTAAAGAATACTGATATCTGTATCTAATATATACATATGTTCCTGGCACAAATTCAGGGCATTTTATTTTTTAGCTTTGCCCGATTATTACCATTTATCTGCCTTTTAAAAGCACTTCTAAAACTGAGTGTAGTGTATTTGGCATCAAAGACCAACTGGACAAGCAAATATGTCTTATTTCAACAAATTAGCATGTCACTCAAAATTAGATTTTTACTTGTACCCATGAATCTTGCTTTAAGACTGACAACATGTACCATACAAGGACCAAATTCAAGGACTTATTTCTGACTACCTTGTTTTCCTATATTACAAATCTATCTAAGGCCAAGTTTCCCTGTGTATTTTGGAGCAATAAGGTTAGGGCTAGGTCATGCTAGGGCGGCTGCAGGCAGACTTACCACCAGAAACATTACATAGGTCCTCAAATGTCTGTATGTGCAATATTGTTGCTTTGGTGATGAATTAATATTAAATGTATTTGTTTCCCCTTGATGACAGACTCTCTCTGATCTGGGGATGTTGGGAATCCGCCGAAGACATCACAGAGAAAACAGCCACGGCGTTCTCTGATTGGACCACACAACTTGAACATTTTGCACAGCCCCGACTTGTGAGAAAAAAAGGATGGAGTGAACGGACTCAAGCGGGTGGCTATAATCACTAAGAAACGAAAAGCAAAAATGAAAGAAAAAAAAAAGAACAATTTATTTTGATACAAAACACTGATGCTCTTCTTTTTCCTCTTTTTCATCGACTCACACCTGCCACCAAAAGACTTCGCCATCGCCCCTAGATGTTATGAAAATGCATGAAGTAATAATTTCCCCCTACTTTTTTATAAAATACACCAAACATACAGGTGATTCATTCATTTAATCACTATTGGAAAAGGTGCCTTCTTTACATCATGCTTTCCAATATATGTCCATCAAACTAGATCAGGTATCATTACTAAACACAATCTGACTGACAATGTGAGTGAGTGAAAACTGTAACATTCACAGCCAGTGCGTGTTTTTATGCTATCTCGTCTCCGGTAGCAATAAAGTCAATCTACTACGAGGGCAATACTGATAAAAAGTAAAAGCAATTCAGCAAAATCTCAGAGAAAATCAAAGTTTTTTTCCCTTTCTGTCCCACACAGTGATATAAAAGTAAAAGCTGTAGTTTTTGTGTGAAATGGCATGTTTTACTACAGTGAATGGGCAGGTTGGATCTTGTATCTTTTTCGTGGTCCGATGTGAAAATCTACCTCATGGTTCTGTGGTGCTGTTAGGGTTTGCAGGTCTCGCCCTCCATCATTGACAGAGCAGAACCGAAGCCACGCTCAGGAGCTGGCTGCTACTTTAAGGAATTCTATTGCTTTTCACCCTGCGTTTTTCCTTCTGGTTTGAAAAAAAACATGCTTGCTTTCTTTGTCATTGCTTCATTTTGGTTGTTGCTTTTTTTTTTTACCCACGAGTTGTTTAGTGGTGACGCCTCACGCTTTTCTTTAAAACTAGTTTTCTTCACATTGTGCAAAGCAGTTGACTTACATTCACGTTGTGTTTCGCTTTTTTTGGACTTTTTTGAAATTTTGCTGTTTATTTTTCGTCTTTCTTTCAAAACTTTCTTAGGATTTCACTTCTTGAAAAAGGTCTACACAATGAATTTTAATGTTTGGTTATGCTCTACCAAGCACCGTGTGTGAAAAGCTAATCAAATCCTGCCTTGTTCAGATGCATTACGTGAGTACTTAGCGGGCAATAGCATTTCATTTCAAGTGGTCTATTAGTCATGCGAAGAGAGACTGAAAACAAGTTTGATTTTTCTTACAAAGGTGAATTTCTATTGTAAATGGAATTGTGGACCTTACTGGTAAAAAATACAGTGTTGAATGCACTGCCGGTTTTGCTAAGAAACAAAATAACAAAAAAACAAAAAAATATGTTCTCCCTTTGACTTCCTCTGTCCACTGATTGAAAAAAATCTTGTCCTTGCTCTTTCCTTTGAAAACATTGGAGTAAAGCAGTGCTCAATAAAATGCTCTTTCTCATACAAGAGTTTGGTCTGGTGTCTGTTAAGTTTTTCACAATGACATAATCGACAAAAGTGCTTCCCCTTTTGTTTTCATCAAGGGATTTGTGCTAGATCTTTTCTGATGATTAAAAGTTCAAAAAACGTTTAGGTGCCCATAGATAGAACACCCAAAATTCCATATGGCTGGGCTGAAATAAACACTAGTAGACTTCTGTCAAATGAGAATCCATATAGACTCACTATACCATATATATGAAAGCTCAATGTTGCTCAAAAGTGTGTTGTTGGCCACTAAACAATTCTGGTAAATTAAAGTTTGGACACTACTGCCATAGTCTGCAACTTCGGAGTGGACTGACCGAGTGGACGGGATTTGAAGATAAGTTAGCTGGAGTCAAATTCCTTATATGAGCATTTATTTTTCGATGACATTAGCTTCACGTAGTAACAGGGGCACATGGGTTTCCAAGACAAAATCGAATATAAAGGATCATAGAGAGTAATAAAAGGCAGATTTTTTGCGAGGCCAAAATGGTGAGTGTGACACAAACAGTTTCTGAGCCTGATGGAGTTTACATTTAAATATAAGACAATAGGACCCAGAGCAAGTTTGAGTAAAACTTTGTCCGTAAGCACTTCCCTATAAGGCTTTATTGAGCTCATAGGTTAGCTATGTCCATCTATACAGCCTATGTATGTGCATCACAAGGCATACATTTTAACTAAGGATGTTTAGGTAAAAAATGATACCAATACTTGGCCCCATAACTGATGCCAATATTGATACCAGTCTAATTCTACACATTGGGTCATTTATGTGGGAATAGCTAAAATATTAACCCTTTAGGTCCCAGAAGTTTTTTAAGTGAAACAAAAAAGGAGCCCTAAAACAAAAAATCAGTCAGTGTACAGAAAGTGCTGGGTTCAGAAGCTCATTTGGTGTGAAGTATTTGCTTAGTCACCATCAGAACTTCAGTCAAAAATGGTGATGTGGGGACAATATTTCAGGCTCCTTGCTATGAAACTATTTGCAACAGCTTATCATGTGATATTATCCATTAATAGTTTCCTCCGGGTGCTCCAGTTTCCCCTACAACTAAAAACATCCCCTGTAGCACTATCCCCTACCCAATTCCAGCCCCCTGTCTGGGGCCAGGACTCCCCTGAAAAAGAGATTCTGTAATCTCAGTGGGACTTTGCTGGTAAATTAAGATAAATCAACTATACAATAACTAGAACGTGCACTTGGAGAGCTCATACCCCGCCAACACTATGGATCATTCTTAAATTTCAATGGGGTCTTCTTCTCATCACATCCGATCTACACACCAAATTCCATCTTAAAATGTCCAGTCGTTATGGTGCAATTAGTTCTGCGTACAGACAAACAGACACACAAAGATGATTGCAATACGCCGTGTTGGTTTGGTAATCAAGTCGCTTAAAAATTATACCTTAGTTACAATTAGCAGTAGGTGATAAACAAATAAATACTAAAATACATTGAAAACTAAATTCTTCAAATGCCCCACACCTGCACTAGTTTGCCTGTCCTTGAGGGTAAAAGATTTGTATCATTACATGTAATTGTGTTGTAATTATTTCCTGCAACACTGGGGGGCACTATCTGTGAAAAGTGCCCAATGCAAAGTGAGGGATTTCTGATATTCGTTTAGTGTTTCGCCTCTGCCTGTATGTAGGTTATGACATATCAAATGAGTAACAAGTGCTACATATGTTCGTCATGCCTCTGGTCTTTTCTCCAGCTCTATTTCTGGCACATATGCGCACTCTTTGTAGTTTCACTCTTAAACCAGATCTCCCCTCTTAAGCCCCGACTTATCGCAGCTGTGGCAGAGACATAAGGGCACCAGGCCTGTATTTCTTTACCAGTTGGAGGATCAAAAACAGGACAGGGGAGCCAGATTAGACAGTCACACTCGCAGTCACCCCTTTAATACGCAGCATGTATCCGGTCCATAGGCTCCAGGAATACTCTGAGATTCCTCCATCAAGGATAAACACACACACACATGTCATTCACCTAAACTACATTTCAGCTTTAAAGTGATCTGTTTTGTTTTATCTTTTAGTGTATCTAGGTATTATTTTACTGGTTGTGGCATGGATAGATTATAGGCTAGGTCTACTCATTCAATTCAATGCATTGCACACTTAAGGCAAGCCATTCAACATACACTGAAAAACATTGCACACATACTGATTTTTTTATATTTGAAATGTATCGGAAAGGTTTTGCGCAATTGTTCAACGGAAATGCAGCTCTTGATTCAAATGTATTTGTTCTATTGGCATATAAGTACAGAAATGTATTGTATACATTTTAAACCGTGTTTGATTTCAAGTCACCAGGTTAGGTATGCCAGGCCCATGACCCCGCCGAGTTGGCACTGGGCAGCAGAATAGAGGTTGGAATGTGAATGAATGAGTGTGTGATCGGAACTTCTTCCTGTAATCAACCACCTCCTATTTAATCTTTCCATGCACATCCCATTGGATTAATTAATATATTCAAACAATAATAATATCTATATGTGCACAACTTCTATACACAAATTCAGCCATGGGAAAGATTTTTTTTTATCTTCTATTTCCCCTCAACAAAATAAATATCACAGTAAAAAAATTGCATTTTTGGGTTTGTTTGTTACTAAATGAATCTAGTGACAAATTGCTAAGGTAATTTAGTTTCGTTTTTTTTATTCTCGTAGGAAAATGTGTCCTCTGCATTTGACCCATCCTTCATTACTCCTATCAGGAGGAGTTGTCGCCCTGGTACAGCGTCCAGCGACCCAGGGAAGGAAATGCAAACTCCAGAAGATTGCTTACAAGCCACTTTCAGATAATGTTCCTAATTAAGAGCAGAGGATTGATATTAGGTTAGTTCTTCATAAATAATAATAAAATGTTGTGACCAAATCAAACCACAAAAAGAGAGCTGATTGGCTGAAATAACTGATGTGACAGAAGCCAAAAAGACATGCATGTGAAAACAAGTGATAGAAGGAAAATGTTAAGAGCAAAATTAACTATTGTTTGATGGATTATATTACATTGTTAATTTTGTTAATGGAAATTAGGTACCTCAGAATGAATAAACCTCCTTCCTTGTCCTTCTTACTCATTGTACTAAATGGTCTTAAAATACCATCTTAAATGTCACATCCCCAAAACCTGAAGCTATACAATGTCTCATAAAATCTCAATGAAAAGGACAAGGGAGGAGGTTTATTTAATTTAATTTGGAAGCAGTTGCTGATTAAAAATGTTCACCTCAGCTCGTAACATGGGGCAGTCCCTCTGAAGCGGCCAGTCATCGCTCTCTGCTTTGCTATTGGCTGGATGTGATTTAATTCTCCACAGCTGAAGGGACACATGGCAATGATCCCGGAGGAGCCCAAGGTCAGGCCTGGGGCACAGACATTAAGAGGAAGCAGTATCCAGTGTCGTTCATTTAGCGTGATTAACCTCAAGTATTCAACATATGGTGACTATAGATACGGACTGAGCCTGATCCTTAATGCTATAAAGTTCAACGTATGTCTGCAGAGGTGATTATACTGCCTAAAGCTTGCAGTTGTTTTGCTGTCCTCTTTGTTATCCATGACAAAACAGTGCTTGTCATGAAGTCTTAAGCAAGATTATTCCACCAAAAACGTATTGCAAATAACATTAGAAGTTAAAAGTTATACCCTTTATTTAAATAAATGCCCATTTTATGTAAATTAATGTACACTTTATTCTAATAAATGCACACTTTATTTATCCCCTTCTTTGCTGAGAAGTGAGAGATTGTGCCACCGTTTGGCATCTTTTATAAGTCGAAAGAGCTTTGTTCAAATTACTGTAGTAAAGAAAGGAGCCGTTATTTAGAACAAAGGCTTAACACATTGATTATAAGAGGGATATGAGTCATAATGCATAAAAACTTTGAATATGTCAGAAAAATGTATTTAAATTGAAGATATTTTCTATTAATTTGCATAAACAGATATTCCTATTTTTTCAAATTGTCAAATCTGTTACCTAAAATGATGAAACTGTATTTGTATGGCACTTAAATAGATCTGGCTTTTCAAACTACTTGGTAAAGGGAAAATTATAAGCATTTACAATAATAATAATAAAAAAAAACTCTTTAAAACGAGAATATAAAATGATATTTTTTTCATCAATCTCACAGCGTTTTGTGTGCCAAAACATTATAATAATATTTTTGTTCACAATAGCATGCAACAATAAAATCATTGCAGTCCACATTCATTCCGGAAGGAACAAATCAATGTGCTGTTCAGGTGACTAATGATCGATTTGAAGCCAATACAATAAAGTTTTCATTTTTGCAAGTATTTTCATGCACTTGAAATAATGGCTCAAGAATATGATTGGCGTATTGATAAAATATGTTGCGTTAAACATAACATTGTTTTGACTTATTTTATAGCCAGAGCACAATAGATTAATTCAAGCTAAAGTGTGGACAGTGATAAGTGAATAGCTCCACAGAAATAACCAGATAAAGCTGTTATCAGTGATGCCCCATTAGCCTCATTCCTAATGTCAGCTTTAGATCCTTATCAGAAAGACTTTTCACTTTTCTCAGGCCTCAATATCTTTTACCACATCGTCACTACAACAATGTGCAAGTTGTACAAGTACAACACATTTGTGCATACCTCGTAAATAAAAATAAATTAGTGAACGGGGATTGTGATGAAATAGGGAGTACAGATTTGCACATAATCCCTCTTGTCACAGCGTCTTTGCAGAGACGCTTTAGTTCATCTGTGTGTTTGTCATTTTGTCTAAAAGCCTTTTGCATTCCATGGCACATTTCAACATTATTTATAGCAGAAAACTTTTTGAAACTATTTCTTTTAGAAGCTTGGCATCCGTAATATCTGATCTTAATGCAATTGCTTAATATACTGCCACTTGTCATACTTCTAAACGGCATGCAACCAGCAAAGATTACTATAATAGATTTACTACTGATGTTAATATCATTAGTGGGATAAAACCAATGCAATATGTTCCATTCTATAAAAATGGCATGATTCTTTAAGACCTCACAGTGTGTTCAGATGACTTCATACACACATGACATAAGTGCTCTCACATAGACATTATAGGTGGCAAATACTGATTAGTATTAAACTATATATGTTACTGATTAAAAAAGTGTTTTATGGATAGACTTTGACAGAGCAATATATATATATGGTTGAAGGTATCAAAAAAGTCATATGGTTCTTAACTGTTTTAACAAGTGTTTTGGCCAAACCATCCCATACAACCAACAGATGAAACTGATATATACGCCAAGCAGTAACAAAAATAAGCAACATATTTGGTTTGTTTTAAAGGAAATAAACAGCAGGTCATTGAAATAACAGATAAATACTAACATCTTGACTCGCCAAAACTTGGCTGAACTATTAATAATTGAGATGCTATAGGATATAAGTGAAAAAAGCGAATGCAGGAGTATTATGGCCGCCACCATAAGGAGTTTAAAGTCCATATCCTGCTCCGTTATTGAGTTTCAATCTTATTTGTTTACCTGCATTCCTGCCATTCTGTTATTAGAAGGAGGTTGGATGGCGACACTCCTCTCCTCGGCCTGAGATTTCTCCAGGAAGTAATTGAACTTGAATAAACTTGGGGGGTGCAGCCGTTTTTACACCCACTAGCGCCAATTCAATTAAATCCTGGTCCCTGTTATGCACTGGTGATAATTATGTCTCTAGATTGTAAAGAAAATCAGTCGGCTTAACATGATTTATTTGAGTGGTTTGGTGACTGTATTCCATCAATTTCTATTGTAAAATCATATGCCAAGATTGCTCTAACTTGCATCATGTGGAGTTGAAATGTACAATGGAGTAAATCAGGTAAAGATCACACTAAACATTTAGATGTGTGGGTGTTTATTTATAAAATGTATCTTTTTATAATTACTGTTTGATTTACATAATCAATTGTATTTGATTTTGTTAATTTTACTATTTCAAAAGAGGTTCGTCAGTTACTCTGTTGTATAGTTGACAGGCGGAATCTTGTTTTTAAGTCAATTCCCCCAAAAATGTTTTTCACCAGATATATCAAAAGTAAGTCATTTATAAAGGGTTTACTTTCACTCACTTTTATAAAGTACTAACACTGGTTAATATAACTTGAAATACAACAAGCAATAGCTTTTGTTGAAAGACTAACACAAAACAGTGTGTTGCTATGGTAATCTCACTCGCTCTTCTCTTGTGAAAAACCAAGCTGAACCAGAACCAGTCCAGGATCAGAACTAGTCCAGGACTAGCACTTTGACTGAAGGGATTTTATTGCCATGTAAAGAAAGCAACCAAAAATACATTTGAATGTTAGTTTAGTTTTTAGTATACATTTAAAAAATAAAAAAACATTTCATGAAAATAATGATATTAAAATAAACTCCATTTAGAAACAAAAGGTCACAAAGTTATGAGGAGCAAAAAGGCACAAACACTGAGTTATTACACCACAGTTCTAGTGTTAAAGCCCTCTATAAATAAAGTTGAGTTGAGTCGTTCCAATTATAATGTGGCAAGTGTGAATGACAGAGCTAATTAAGCAATGTGTATGATGTGTGCAACCAAACACAAAGAGCATGACTCTCCTCACATAATTACTCAGTAGAAGTCAAACGAACATGAATATTCCTAAATGACTCCATATGTACAGCGTGTTTGCAGATGTACAGCGTGTTTGCAGAGCGTGTGTCTGTAACATGGTGGAGGTCTCGCAGCCTACAGCCGGCAGTTGTTTCTGTCAGTCACTATCAGGCAGAGAGAGAGAGAGCGGAGCTTGTGCTTACACCCACTCATGACCCCAGTGCACGGGGCAGGCAGCATGGGCGCGGGGTCACCCACAAGAACCCGGCTTCATAAAGGGACCCTGCTACAATAGGTTTACTGTTACGCATCCTCACGGGTGGCGCAGCGGCACAAGGGAGCGGAGGTTCTGGGCCACAGCGGCTCCTCTCGCCTCGCACCATTTTCACTTGATGACGAGGGAGAAGGTCTGACGGCGCGGGACAGCATGTTTTCAGAGGACGCCCCTGAAGGTGAGTGCGATTACTGCAGGGAGAAGTGCAGCACCTGGTAGTGAGCTTTTAAGATGATTTGGCACTTTTTCATAGTATTAAGAGGCAGTTTGATTTCATGATGATAAAAAAAAAAAAAAGCAAATGAACGGACTTTTCTTAGATTTCAATTGTCAAAAGTTGTAAGCCAATTTAAAAACCCATACAACATTCATTTAAAAAACAAGTTTTTTATTTTCTCTCTCAAAATATTCCTATATATTTCTTCTACTATACTGCATATAGTGTATTATGATTGAAGCATTATTTACTCAATATTATTAAGGATTATTGGAACAATCAAATCAATGACAACAATCATTTAATTACAATTCCTTTGTCTTGATTAATTGGATAACTTGATTTCTTACTTAAAAATATGGGAAACTGTACAAAGTATATTCCTTATTTGGTGAATTTATGAATAATATTTGTATCTAAAATGTAAAATTAATATTCAGTTAACGGTGTAAAAACCTACTGGATTAATCAAAGGTAATAAATGATAGCTGCGGGTAACATCATTGAGGTACAGTATGATGTGAAAAAAAAATTCCAGACATTAAAATATTGTATTGGTCTAAATGTTTTTAAATGTGATGTGAGCTCCTGAATGATATGAATAAATACACTTTGAGGAGGAACATGAAATGGGTGGAGTGACACCAAAGGAAATCTCAGGTAGAGCAGGGCAGACAAAATGACAGGAGCAAGAGGTAGAAATGAAAGAGGGGGCTGGGTCAGGAAAAGCTGCAGGATTATAAACATAGAGTCCTGGGACATGGCATTTATCTCAAACGTATCAAGTTTAAGAAGAGCGGGATGTGACGGGTGGCACCGAGGAGTATGGACTTTTTGGGGTGACAGATGTGACTTACTCAGATCCTCAGGGGCGGGGTGCTGAATTGTGAGATTCTTCTGAGTTGGTACGATATTCACAGAGCAGCTGTCAATGTGCAACACCTACGCAGCTCCCTCCTCCTCCTCACGATCAGAGACACTCATCTCTCATGCCATGTTAGGCCTGTCTCCTGCAAAACATCCAAGCGAAAAAATATTCCTGTATGACAATAACAATGAGTCATCTCAGGGAGAATTCGGTGTTAAAGATTAACACTTCATTAATGGCGTCTGAAGCAGTTTGCACTGTTTGCTCATGGTGTGGCCTGTCTGTACTTTTTCAACCCTTGGACAGGCATTATTCAACTTCTTTATTCCCAAATAGGTAACCCTACGGGCTAGGGGAGCGTTCACACTGGTTTGTCTGGTTCAATTTAGCTGGACCAAGTTTAGGTTCACTTGAAAAAGGAGAGTTTCAAAATATGTAAAATGATATAAGTCACAAGTGGACACATAAACACCCAATTGGTGGTTTTAAATATCCTAAAAAAAATGTTTTGCCCCAATTGAACCAGAATTGGTCCATTTAAAGTGAACCAGACCAACAGGTGTGCAAAAACCCACCCACAACATTATTAAAGACATTTAAAAAATAAAAATACATTTCAATCTAGTAAGTAAGTAAGCTTTATTTATATACCGCCTCTCACACAGACCAGTCACAAAGCGGTTTACAATTGTTATTTTTTGGGCACTTGTCTCTCACTCCACACAGAGATGGGAGCGGGGTCGCCAGTACAGGAGGCGCATGCCAGACCTATTGTACATATTTTTAGTGGTAGGAGAAACCAGAGTACCCGGAGGAAACCTACGCAGACACGGGGAGAACATGCAAACTCCACTCAGAAAGGCTCTGGTCCGGCCGGGATTCGAACCCAGAACCTTCTTGCTGAGAGGCGAGAGTGCTATCCACTCAGCCACCGTGCCGCCCAGACAAAAAAGATCTAGACAAAAAAGACTGACTTGAAGCACTCATTTGAATAGCAACTCTATTGTTTTCAGTGTGAGCCCAATATTACGAAAGCCACTGTTGCTAATATGAATTAGGCTAACTTGAGCCAAATTTGCTCTATACTTCCTCAATCAATTAGCCTACATAAAATCATGTGAGCCTACATACAAACAACCAAATAAAACACACAAACGGGTACTATGTTGAACTAGAAAATTGTCAAATTGATGACTGACCGCCATAGTTCGATGCTAGCAATGTTGCTTACAGATGAAACTCGTTTAGAAAGCCATCTTTTTCTAGTTTAAACTGAATCATGTTGAATTACCGTCAAACACGAGTCGCGCGCTTCTCCTCACCTGGGCGGAAGTAGACATATAAGGCATTGTGCTCCCAGGTACGACACGCCCATACGTGGCGCAGGTGGGACGCAGACGCTCTCTCCTCTGCGTTTCTGCTCCCGGGACACATGACCGCGGACAGGAGAGCGGCTGCACTCTCTGTAAATATGACACAACGTGGAGAATCTGTGCCAATACTCTGTGCTATTTTGCAGTAACCTTACGGACTCATGGGGTTTCTTCTGCTGGCCCTGACTCTGAGCTACTGGAGTTACAGCGTGGAGGGTAAGAAGTTGTGTTTCTACTCAACGTTATGACATTTGTACGGATTTTATGGTCACTTTTATGGCAAAAAAAGTAGCTTGTTGAATGTGGGTGTAGCTTTATTTTATTATCTTTGTTCAAGGTTACTCATGTTTTGTTGCCTTTCCAAATTCCTGAAAGGAACAGTGACCTGTATTTCCTTTATCAGACTCTTTCAAGATGCTAGTAAATTTTAGAATTTCAATAACAGTTTGGAAAAGCATGGAAAAATGAAGTAAGCGTATATATGCAAAGTAGTTCTCCTTTTTTACATACAAATAGGAACATAATAAACATTGCAGTTTGCCTGCTCGACTGGGAACAAGAAGACCACAATACACTGCAACTATTAATGTGCTTTTTGCTTTTTCAATTTGCAAGCTGTTAAAATGTTAAAACAATTCGAAAATAAGGAATCTTCAAACTTATTACAACTGTAATAACCCATATGGCAGAACAATTACTACCACATTGGTAAAGTTTGATCCGTCCCCTTATTTTAAACCAGATTACATTGGCTACCAACCACATTAACTAATAATGCATACAGAAAAACTTGCAAAAATTGCGCAGACAAGATTTAGATCAAGGCTATAATCCTGTGTATTTACAGGGCTTGCTGTTCATAAATGCTCACTGTATGCTTATGATGTCCATATCAAAATGTCCCACTAAAGCCCAAGTGTTGATGCAGGATCCTGTTCCGATGGCAGCTCAGTGACTTGTGACCAGTGTCTGCAGCTCAGTCCCCTGTGCGCCTGGTGCAAGCAGGAGGTGAGTGCAGCTGCAAACTGAAGACGTTCACACATTATCAGTGTTTTTTGATAAGAAAGAACGTTATCTAATACAAGTATGTGGACCAGATCTAGCTGTGGTACAGTTGACTTTACTATTTTTTATGAAAGGGAAATGCCCAAAGTCTATTGTAAAGGTGTTATCAGTTCATTATGGTTTATTGTGCAATATAAACAGTGTGCTGATTTACACCTGGGACTTTTCTCCAATAACTCAACGTTCATTAAGTTCATTATTGGTGAAAAGTTTCTTTGTCAATCTTTACTTTTGCAATCTAAGCTGGGGTACCTAACATTCAAGCTTCAGAAGAAACCCAAGCCCACCCCATCATTCTATGCAGTGTGTCAGGCTGAAAAAGTACACAACAAGCACAACACAACTATTAGCTCCCACTATTGACTTTGCTTGCAGACGCTTCAGGGGTTCATACCTGTGTGTATATACATTTCAAACCACAAGAAAATTAATTCCGAATATCCATCTAGATGGCTCATAGCTTTCTCTGTAGTTATCACTATTTTTTACATGTAGTTTTGGCCTCTGTCCCATCTTTAAATTAAACAGAAAAGTGAAAAAGAGAGGACCAGCCAATCAGCTTCTAGCCCAAAGGATGCAAAAGAATGACAAAGCATGTTGTGAATTGATGTGCTCCCAACAAGACACTTTCTGATTCTGACAAACAACATGCATTAAGTCACAAAAATAGTAGGTATGCCATCTCATTGTACTGTATGTTGCTCTCTCTCTTCAGAACTTCACAGACTGGTTTTCAATGGGGGAAAGATGTGACACACTGGATAAATTATTAGAAAAGGGTTGTGCCAAGAGCCAGGTGGAGTTCCCAGTCTCCAGGGGACAGATTCTCCGGGACAGGTCCCTGGGGAAGAAGACAAACAGCACCAACAGCACACAGATCTCCCCACAAAAGATGAGCCTCAACCTCCGCCCTGGTATGCATCCCCCGACATACTTTCGCAAAAACAGTAATGAACATTAAACTGAAATGTCTAGATTATTTTGTCCTCCATGATTCTAATACAACTTCTTAGAACTTTTCTAAATTGGACAAACATGACTCTCCTCCTATCGTGCAGGCAGCCATGTTACTTTCCAAGTAAAAGTGCAGCACACAGAGGACTATCCCGTGGATGTATACTATCTAATGGATCTGTCCGCCTCCATGATCGACGATTTGAAGATGATCAAGGAACTGGGGTCTTCGTTGTCCAAAGAAATGGAAAAACTCACAAGTAAATTTCGAATGGGCTTTGGCTCTTTTGTGGAGAAACCTGCCCTACCCTTTATCAAGATCACTAAAAAGGCGCTAGACAACCCTTGCAGGTATTATGTTTCCAAAACGTTTGCAAAAAGTGGATCTAAAAGTTCAGCATCTCATCTTTCACTTTATTGTGTTGATAGTAGCGCCAGTTCTTGGTGCCTGCCAACGTTTGGATATAAACACGTCCTTTCTCTGACGAGTAGCACCGGCCAGTTCAACGAGATTGTGGCACAGCAGCATGTCTCTGGTAACATTGACAGTCCGGAATGCGGTTTTGATGCAGTTATGCAGGCGGCAGTGTGTGGGGTAAATTTCACTTGTCCCATTTCCATATTATCACTACTATACTTTTTTTATTTGAATGACACATTACACGACTTTATGACATTAAGTAGATATTGTTCATTTCTAGGAATAGGGTCTTAACTGACCTAAATACTACACTCCATAGAATGATACAAAACAGTCAGTAGCTGAGTGTTCTGCCCTCATCTATGCACGCTAGTCATCCTGATCTATTATATGTGTTTTATCAGGAGAGGATTGGCTGGAGAAACGATTCAATGCGTCTGTTGGTGTTTGTGAGTGACGAGGACTCGCATTTTGGAATGGACAGTAAAATGGCTGGTATCGTTGTCCCCAATGATGGACAATGTCACCTGAACTCTGACAATGAGTATTACATGTCAACAAAGCAGGTAAGCAAAGAGGTGAGATCACTAAAGGTTTTCAAAGAGCAGGCCTCTTATTCAACTTTGACATGCTGTGGTTTCATAGGAGTATCCAACCCTGGGTCAACTGATTGATAAGGTGGTGGAGAATAACATCTTGCTAATATTTGCAGTAACAAAAAATCAGATAAGCAACTATAAGGTAAGCATCTTTAACCACATACATAGTTTTTGTGTTCAAGTAAGCAACTCAATTGTAATTGTATTTATATGATGTTATTGTTACGTTGTGATAGAAAAATGTGCATACCTTGCCATCTTCAGCAGACCTGAAATGATTTGTTGTTTTGAATGGGCCTTGTTACTATTCATTAATATCAAATACCTCAAAGAAACAAAAAAGTCACTATCATAACCTAATTTCCGATTCACTCAGTGTACAATGATAATATTTAGTGTGAATATGATGCATAGTCCAAGAATGCAAAAAAGATTATACAAATATTATTAAGCTAAAAGTACTTGCAAGTTGCACCCACCATTGTAGATTGAGTTTCACCTCATCACCTCTTTCAGAAACATCTTCATTGTGTGGTAGTTAGTGGACTCTGTGGGCATATTTGTTCAATGAGCCACAAGCAACCTGTTACAACGAGCCTCAGCTTTTTCTGTTCCTTTCTTTTGGACCTGTCTACCCACACAAGTTACATTGACCTTGTTTTTTTTTTTTATCTGCAGAACTATGCAAACCTCATACCTGGAGCTACAGTGGGAGTCCTGGCTGAAGACTCAAAGAACATCCTGGAGCTGATAGTAACAGCATACAAAGTAAGACATTGTTTCTGTGGTTGGTTATGAAATACGGTATGGCGAGGACTCCATGCCATTGGTGGTATGTTGGTACGTCGACTTATCCTGGTGATATCTTATTTATTCCAAATTCCAGATTTATTTTAATTACTTTTTCATCAGTTATACGATTTATAGGTCGGGTACCATACTTTTTTCTTTCATAAATAAAATGTTTTATTTGTCCCAACAGAAGTCCACATTATGCTTTGTTTATTAGAAGTAGTAGTAGAGCAGTTTACCTTTTACTTGTTAGAAAGAGACCTGTGAGTGGTGTGGTTTTCTCTTTTGTACTTTTAAAGAAAGCTGATACATGCATGTGAAAACTAGCGAGGAACTAATTAGTTTGATTACACAGTTATTTTTTGTGGTTTGAAAGTTGCGTAAATCAGCTTAAAGTATAGATAACTTTCCCCTTTGCATTTTGCACAAAAACAGAATACACTATACTGCGATGTAATAGTAGTGATACTTCTGACCAACTTTGTGTGATCTAATGCATTACAGGAGCGTACCACAGGAGTATTGCCTGTGTGATTATATGATCTGTTTTTCATCAACCTCAATTTAAATGAAGCTTGTCATCATCTCTATGGGAGCTTTGCTGGAGAGAAGGCAAGGGCTCTAATGCAGGGCATCCTGGGTAACTCCAGACATCTTCTGCATGACACAAGGGCCGCTCAAAGGAGTAATCGTAGCAACAGGCTTAACGGAACATTTTAGGAGATCCTTTGTTCCTTCGGCTGTCAGACTGTACAACAAACATGGATGAGTCTTCCGCTTCTGGGCACCTGAATTTCTCCTACGGGGATCAATAAAGTATCTATCTATCTATCTATTTATCTATCTATCTATCTTTCTTCCAATTTTCTGGCTTTTCTGCTTTCCCTCTATCTTCTATCACATTTTTTGTTCTCCACTGGTCCTTTGCATCAGCATGTTGGCAGCAAGTCTGTGCTTGTCCCTCTGCACTGTTTGATCACAGCCCTCCAACTCGGGCTCTCTTTCTTATTGTTCACTCACTCTCTCTGAAGATTTTCTTGTTTCAGAAGCCCCTTATGGATTTGAAACATCTTTAAAGTTGTTGACTGAAGAATATGTGGTTCAAAGATGATGTCAGCTTAGCATTTGTGTATAGATTGAAGTTTATTTCTGTGTGATGTGTCTATGCAGCGTCTTATTGTTATTTCTGCAATGAGAAGGACACAAAGGCAAAGCCTTTATCCATACGCATCATAATGTCTTCTTTTATTCTCACTGGGGCGTGGATAAAATTTAAACTATTACTATTTGCTCCCAATTTAACATGTTTTATATTATTTATTCATTTTTATTTTTTTTACAATCATTGCTTATTATTTTGAAATCGATAAATCTTATTTTAGTCTTGTCTTTTGTGTGGGGGAGGTGAAAGTTGCAATTTATACATTTTACATTGATTCAAATTCCTATTTCATCCATGTTCTTTTCATAGACAGAAAAGTGAGAAAGAAATGACCACCAGCTTCAAATAATGATTCAGAAGGCTATTTCTTACAACATTGCAAAATATAACAAGTTTTCTAACAAGATGAAGACTGCAGGTTGTGGTTTGATGTGTTCACAATATTTTCTTTACAAGACTCTTTCTTATGAAAGAGGGTTAGGGTTAGGGTTATTATTTATTAAAGCGAGATACCCAAGCTTTAAACTTTCTGAACATTAGTTTTCTGTAAATGCTTCCACCTCCCATTACCTCATCTGTAGCCTCACAGACACATGTATTTTTCAACCTGCTGGTTGTAGCCACATCAAAGACTATAACATAGGAAAAAAACAATTCATTATTCTTCATGCCTTGCCTAATCTATTTTATAGTAATATCCAACCATGCTTTCTCCTTAGCAACAGTGAGAACCTGCTACAGTCGCGGAAAACACTTGCTTTCTTTGAGTGCCCAGACAGTCCGTCACAGAGTTCATTAGTCAAACACTGTCTTTACTTCAGCTGACGTGGGCTGTCACTGTCCGCAGGTGAAAAGCACACCTGGCACATGAGTCACACTGATGGAGGGATAAATGTTTTTAGATAAATTCAATGGGTCGAGTTCAACACCGTGTCAAGGTGTAATCCCATCTGAATCGGACAATCAGTCACTCTATGAAGTCATTGTGGAGTTGATCAAAGCAAAGCATTAAAAACATTTGGTGCTGTGTTTTTAACAACTCATATAATCCTCTATTATCACAGCTATATTGTCAAAATTAACCTATAGTTAAACTGTATAATAGTATCAGTTCTTTTAGGTCGATAGTTATATTTTCATTTATTGCATTTTGTAACTGATTAGAGCATGATCAGAATTGTACATTTGATTAATTGTTCAGCCCCACTTTTAATCAACTAACTACTTTGGTAAATGTCTGTAAACAAAGATTATGCAGAATATAACTGTTGCTACAGATACATCTGAAGAAGTGAATAGTTCACTTACAAAACAGATAAGTGCTTTTCTTATTCAAAAGGATTTCAATTTGCAATTTACCAAATATTTCTTTTGAAAAGCAGGTCAATCTTAGTGGCATACACCTTGTACCCTTCTTGGGATAATCCTTTCAAATGTACAGCCAAAAACAAAACGTGTTAAAGATTGTATCGAGAGGAATACAACTTTTTGACATATTAAAAAAAAAAACCTATTTTTGCAAATTCACTCGTGAAGTCTACAGTTCAATACAACCTCATCTTTAACAGATCAAATACAAACAGTATTTAAAATTCTATCTTAACATGCACAATGTACTTTATTAGAAGAAGAATCATTACAATGTGATTTATCTTATATTGAGGAAACATTTGCCGAATAAAAGCTAAATACACAGGAAAGAAGACCATTATCTACATATACTGATACTTGAAATAACACAAGCGCTCACTCATCCCTCCCCTTTCTTCCACTTTATCCATTGCCGGTCCCTATCCACGTGTACTTCTTCCAGATCATCCATTGAAGCCAGCTGACAGACATGTCCCTTCAGGATGTCCAAGGTTTTCCCCAGGGCTGTCTTCAAAAGCCTTATACCTCAAACAGCTGATCTTGTATTTTTCCACATCATTGTCAATATTTCCAGGAGCTGCGTTCGGAGGTTGAGTTGGAAGTTCTTGGAGACACTGAGGATCTGCAAATGTCTTTCACTGTCATCTGTCCAAACGGGACAATCGCCCCAGACATGAAACGCTGCTCAAACGTCAAACCTGGAGAAACGGTAAATGAATGTACTCACGGAGCACTTGTAGAGACTGGTGTACCTGTCACTTATTAAATGAAAAAGTGAGTAACACTCTTGTTAGATCTTGACCCTGTTACAGCTGGAATGAACGCAGAAAGCTGGTTCACTGAAGATGCATTTCCACACTTTGGTTTAATTAAAGGACTTTAGGTTGTGGTTTGCACGGCTCAAAAGCATCCAAAGGATTTCAGGGAAGTCACTTTTAAAACCAGCCACACCTTCAGAGATAGTCAGTAGAACTTTGTGTTTCCTTATTTCCTAATCACCTATGGATTCATTCAATAGTTAAATCGTCCTGCTTTGTTCTCCATGTGTCAGAATGTGGAACAGTGTTTATTGTGGAGTCATGGCTTATTTCTCTTTTAGACTTATTCTGAGTTTGTCTATTGTGATTTTATTTCAGTTCATCCAGAATATTTCATTGTTCTTTGAAGGCTTATAAACTACTTGACCTGTAGCTTCGGCTGTTCACAAGTGTTGATAATGTATTTGACATTGTATAACTCACTGTAATTCACCCAGTTTTGTGTTTCAAAGGATTCCTATGTACAATGAAGATTTTGAATTTAAAATATATCTTTGATTTATTTTTGTATCCATTAATCTATTGTTTTATTTGCAACAAAGACAGTGCATAATGACCAACTGTAACAGCTAAAAGAATAGTTTTCCTTTGTTATTCGTTTCCTGGAATTCCAATACCAATACTTCGAACACATTGAATATTATACATTCATTATCATGTGAATGTAAATCTTTTTTGTATTGTGACTTTTATACTCATACACTGTCACATCTTTAGATATTTTTGTTTCAGTTAAAAAGATCAGCTTGCAGTTTGTAAATATTGGAAGCTTGATATAATAAGATTTGTTGAGAAAATGTTACTTAAAGAAGACAAGCAATCATATTTATAATATCTTCTTGAGTTGATATATTTGTGTGAAATAGTTTAATTCTAACATGAACTGATCATGTGCTCAGGTGGTGTTCAATGTGACAGTAGGCCTCCCCAGCTGCCTCTCTGTCCCCCGTCACTTCTCGCTCAAACCGGTGGGACTTCAGGACTCTCTGGACATAGAACTGGACTCTCTCTGCGACTGCAACTGTGGCCCGCCCCCGGACTCCAACAGCAGCCAGTGCACCTCGGGACAGGGGGCTTTCCAATGCGGCGTCTGTGTGTGTCAGCCTGGCTTCATGGGAGTCAACTGTGAATGTAATGAGGAGAGGGCTTTGTTGGGGGACTGCGCGGCCGGCGATGATGCAGAGATATGCAGTGGACAGGGCCAGTGCTACTGCGGACAGTGTGTGTGTCACACTTCCAGCTTTGGACGCATCTACGGAGCCTACTGCCAGTGCGACAATTACTCTTGTGTTCGCTTCCGAGGGGAGCTGTGCGGAGGTAACAAGGCTGCTTCAAAACATGGTTGATATCTGATGCGTTAATGTCAGTGTGAAAGAGGCCAAACCACAGGAAATGTGATATTATTGTGTCATGTATGCAGCACTTTGTCATCGTCATGTCTGAATGGGCTTGGTGATACAGGCACAGGCAAATCCCAATTATGTCAGTTATAGCCATTGGCACTTCTATAGTTATAGGTATATACATATAGATTACTGTAGCATTAATAATGCCTCACTATGCTATTAAAATAATAATGATGTCCATAAAGATGCAGATGTGCTGTAGGTTCTGTCCTTAAAAACAAATACAAATGGCATTAAAGCTACATTTAAAGCCACATCCAAGCCTGTTCAACAATTTTTTGTTAGCTGGATTCGGTTCACTTCAGAACACTCCTTATTATGTCACAGATCGTTACAAAAGAAGTTTATTGCGGTTGGTGCTTCCACATCTCCACAAGTGAATTTGACATAGACCTAATCAGAGTCCCGTTATTAAGAAAACTACTAAGGTCTTTCAGACTGGGAACATTTACAGATAAGCTATGATGTTGATGGGGATATTATTTTTGCAATTCTATTCTCATGTAATTTCTCCAAACGTTTTCAGGCCATGGCCTGTGTGACTGTGGAGAGTGCCACTGTGACCCTGGTTGGACTGGAGAATACTGCAACTGCAGCAGCAGCACAGACACCTGCCTGTCTGAGGACGGGACCCTCTGCAGCGGCCGCGGGAGCTGCGAGTGTGGCCAGTGTGTGTGCTCTGTCCCAGCAGCGTCAGGGGACAGGTGTGAGAAGTGCCCCACATGCGGAGACGCCTGTAGCTCTGCAAGGTGAGAACACTTCCCAAGATGACCACAATAGAGCTGTAATGTTTTTTATCAGCTTGTTTCTTTACCTGCAATGTACAAAGACATTGGCCTTTTATGCTACTTAATCTGGCTGTTCTTTTCAGTACAAGAGTATCGGGTTATGGTCCCCTTGTTCACATTCGTCTACACCTATAGAAGTGACTTCAAAAGACAACTAATGTCTCCAACGCTGGACTAAGAGATTTTCTTTCTCTCCTTTAAAAGCAGCTGTGCTATTCGATACCACTGTTACAGGCGGACGCTGGTGGAGAGTGAGGGAAGCCTTGGGAAAAGTCCGATAAGACCAGGATCTGTCTGGGGACAGGATCAAAGCTTCATTAAAAGTAGCATGCTTGTGTTTTGTGCTTGTCCTACACCAGGAGCTGTGTCGAGTGCCACCTCCAACCAGAAGAGGACACTGAGCTCTGTGCCCAAAAGTGCAGCTCCCACAAGATTTCTATAAACACATCAGCAGGTGAGGCTCTTATATGTTAATATGAACCAATCAGATATCATTCATGGCTGGGAATGTTTTTATTTTGGATAAATATTTCCATATATTGTGCTTAACCAGGGCCATGGTATAAGGTCTTAGATTAAAGTGTGTCTGAACATGATTAAGTTAGTAAGAAAAGCACTCATAGACCTCTGCTTTGAGTCGCAGTTCTTTACAATACTGTATCCAGCCTGTGATGGAGCTGTTGTTCACTGAGCCATTGCGCATGTTTCCTGTAAATTTCCTTCAAATTTGGCCATTGCTTTTTGAGTCATGTTGCTGACAGAAAAGAAAATACAGGTGAAATATACAGGGGTGGGTTATATTGACATTTAAATTCTTGATTTATTATTGATTACGACGATGTCTCAAGATTTCAAAATTGTTTTGATACATACTTGTAAATGTGTTACTAAGTTTTAATATTGATATTAAGCATAAACTGTGGAAAACATGACTCCCTGCAATTTATTTGTTAGTTTGCTACTGCTCATTTGTAGATTTGTAAGACAAGTGTTGAGCAGAGGATAGAAATAGAAAGAAGGGAGGGCATCTGAGGCACCAGAGGCCCAGAGGCACATGAGGCCCTTGAGGCCCCTGAGACACCTGGATACAGGGAGGCGCCCCACATAAAACCTTGCTATGTATCAACACTTCATTCAAATCAAACACCAAACAGATTTACAGCCCATTGTTGTATGAGAGAATGTTTTAACATCACAAACTGTTCCCACACTGTCGTGTTTAGAACAAGCTCAGATGACACTTAACGGTTAGTGTCTTGATTGATAACCTGGAAACTGATTTCATTTTGGGAAAGATAGAGCACAAGGTTTGAACATGTCTGTGCAGGTGTTGCTCCTTACACTGTTGCCATAAACTCAAATCAGTTGAAGCCCCAGGAAACGGAGTATTTTCTTACCTTTAACAGAAGTACAACTACTGAAACATCAATCTTGAAAGCATCATGTCATTGGGGTTTTTTCGATTAAATTAAGTGTTCTCATCTTCATAAACGTGACTGGTTCTGATCCATGCAGTAGAATCTCCTTCATGCAGTAGAATCTCCTCCTCTTTCTACAATCAAGAGTGAAAGTTGCTCTTTTCAACTCGGTCTCAGACTTGGATGTGGTGCTTGTAGAGAGAAGAGCTCTGTGGGCCATACCTGGCCTGATTAACCTTTTCTTCCGGGCCATGGAACAATCCCAACCCCCGATAAGTTACTATTAAGACCACAGTACATGTTACGAGCGCTCAACCACTTCACAAAGATGCCGGAACGTCCTTTCCCTGCCAACCATCACATAATTAGTGATCAGTTCTCTGTCAAACGACATGACAATATGAATATATAAAAAAATAATATATTGTTTATTCTATGAGTCAACTTGTACAGCTATGACATTATGATGCACCCACACCCACGGCCTACTGCTCACTATTGCTTTATTTTCCTTCAAGATTTTGAACAAAATTAGCATAAGGTTTTTTTTTCCATGGGTCACAGAATTACTGGTATGCTGACCTGTCTGTACTCAAGTATCTTTTTGTATTTCCTGTACCCCTTTCGTGCCCCAATTCCCAACAATGGTGATGATATTATTTACCATTTCGTACAGGCAAAGCTTTATAGCTCTTCTGAATAGCTAATAGCCTCAATTTTCTTGTTTTATTTAAACCTACTCCTGATGTGCAAGCTGAGATGTGTCACTGATTATGAGAGGGGATTGTCAGGCTTCAGATGTAAAATACAATAGTGTGGGCAGATCGGAGGCTTTGATATGGAAATCAAACTAACAGGCCTTCACAAACCTCCGTATCACTTTCACGTTCCCAATGCAGAGAGGAAAATGATCTAAAGGATTTGTGTTTTATGTTCACTTCTCTTGCAGATTATGACCAAGACGCCATGAAATGCACTTTGATGACGGATTCCGAGTGCTGGATCTCCTTCTATGTGACAGGAAGTGAGCTAGGGACCAATGCCTTCGATCTTCAGATGTATGGTAAAACATGCTCTTACAAACAGTAATACTGCTTTGTGAAACTGAATTTAAACAAAGTATACTGGGTTAGACTGCTGTAATGTGGGCGGTAGTGATTCCATGGTATAGAAGCACTTCAACCTCAGCTTTGGGTATTCTCACAATGGGTATTCTCGCTGCAATTGACCATTCCTCGGACCTTAGACTTTTTTTGTACTCCTTTTTCCTACAGTTCTGTAACTTGTGATGCAACTCTGAAATGTCTCACTATATTGATATTGATGGCAAGTGGTTATTGCAGGCAACCATGGCCCATTATTCTATCGAATTGAATTGAAATTATTTTTGTATAGCCCTAAATCACAACAGCAGTAGTTTTGGAGGACTTGTTGTCAATTCTCCAACAACAGATAAGAGCATTAAACATGAAATATAATAGCAACAAACACATACAGTAGGAGCCGTTGGTCCCTTAGGGCATTGGGAGCTGGATGACCATTGTCCATAAATGTTAATAAATGTGCATAGAGGTCCTCAAATGTCCTGTATAATCACCGTCCTTAGACCTTCCTGCATTGGCATGGAAATACTCTCTAAGAAAACCTCTGGGAGGCCCCTTTTGAGAGATGCATAATTTAAAGAGAATGTTGATCAGAAAAAAATCTACCAGGGAAAAATATCCAAAATAAAAGTAAATCTTTGTTTTATATTGCCTTCATATTATCAGCAATAAATATGAAATAATAAACACTGATGCAAAAGAGTTTGACTCACTTTCTCATGAGAAATGGTAATGGTTTCATGTAAAACAAAACAATAAAAACAAGGAACAGCTTCACGTATCTTGATTATGTCGAGTAGTAATAATTTGTGTTGTCTTGCAGGTTGCCCAGAGCCTCCAAACATTCCCATGATTATCCTGGGAGTGTCTCTGTCTGTGGTCTGCATTGGTCTGATCCTTCTGGCCGTGTGGAAGGTGCTGGTATCCGTCCATGACCGTAAAGAGGTGGCAAAGTTTGAAGCTGAAAGAGCAAAGGCAAAATGGCAGACGGTGAGTTTTCCGATACTTGGAAATGGAAACTGTTAGTTAATTCAGGGAGGAAACCCATAAAATGTATGCAGGGGCAGTTTTATTTTCCCTTTGAATTCATAAGATCATTTCATATACATTTTGACTAATAAGTGAATGTAATGTGTCACAGTTGATCACAATGTCAATGTGAATGGGAGCAAATACATTTCAACTATCAACAATACTTCTAACGTTCTAATAATCCGACAACAACCAACATTCTATAATCGTAACAGATGATATGTCCTCTTTTTCATACTCATGGTAGTAGATCATCCTTATTTCTTAATAAAAAAAATTCCTCTTTGTGGATAAAGTTAACCATATTGTTAAGATGTACATGTTCTGATTTCACTTTACTTTTAATTTTTGAGGGTGCCCAATGTTCCAATGATGAATGAAATAGCCTTGCCCTCAATTATTTACAACATTTATAAGTACTATGATTATTTGAATTATAAACATTTATTATTATGCCATTGTGTAACCTAAATGGTCATTGATTTCATTGCAGGGGACCAATCCTCTTTTCAAAAGTTCAACATCAACATTCAAGAACGTCACTTACAAGAGCTCAGCCAGAGAAAAGATTATAACAATGGATACCTGCTGACAATGACACTGAAACTGTACAAACCTGAATTGAATGCACTTAAGATTTGTGTCTGTATGAATGTGTGCGTGAGGGTGTGTGTGTGTACATGAGGGAGTGTGTGTGTGTGTGCGTTTGTGATTGAGAGGATGTTTTCCACAGTTGAGACACTGTGATTGACTGGCATTACATGGACTGCTGCTGGAGAGGGGCTCTTCAGCACTCTTCACTCTTTTGCTGCACTTTCTGATCATTCATCTACTGTAATACATGCAGCTGCAAAAAGGGAGCGCCACTGAGTGATCTACTACTGAACTGTTTTATTAAATGGATGTTTATAAAAGTTGATTTTTCTGATTTGTAAAACGTCGTGTTGTTTTGTTTCAAGACAAGGCTGGACCTTGTTTGAGTCATTTTCATCTGCACTTCACTGAATAAAGTCAAACATTATTCCCTGTTCCTCTGATATCGCTCCGTGAAACACTTGAAATTGTGACCCCTTGTGGCTCATTTCTAAAAAACTAAACAACACCAACAGATGAATTACAATTGTTTAAATATGTGCATTATCGTATTAGGCTTATTATAGGTGAGATATATACAGTAACGCGGTGTATAGATTGTTTATCAATAGAGCACAGAATAGAACAGCAGCTCTCCATGTAGCGCCTGCAGCCACACACTTTTAAGCCCCGCAGAAGTGATGTGAGAGCGCAGGCAGCTCCTCCTCTGGTCCCCTGCTGAAAACAACTCGGCCAAAGTTTTTCCTGAAAGCGAAATATTGAACTAAAACACTTCGGAATGTGTGCTTGTTCCCGCTTTACTGCTCCACACTCAGTACAATGATGTTGGGACCGCCTCGACGCGTGGATTACGCAGGGATTGTCTGCGTTGTTATGTTGTTGGCGAAGGTCTCCGTCTGTGATACCGAGACTCAGACAGAAGTCCTGGACAAGAGGAGACTTGAGGAGTACTACAGTAAGTCTAATGTGTTGCCTTAGTTTGGAGAAAGTGGCGCATGCTAGGGCAAACTTCTGGACTGGAGAACCATATTACATGATTATGGTAAACTTTGGGAATAGGCTACACGCATGGGTCAAATTCCACATTACTACCGTGCTGTTTACTCAAGTCAATAAAGACAATGCAAAACAGTATTGTCAATATCTGGTTGATACCCAGGATCATTTCATGTTCAAAATGTTTTTTTTTAATAGTATAGAAACATTCAGGGTTCAGGGCAGTGACCAATAGTCAGGGGATACCAAAATAGCCCAAACATAGAACACTGTCAGTAGTGGTCACTGTGGATGATGCAGGGTTTTTATGAAGCAGACATGATAATAACATATTATTTCCTTCCTACTTTAGTGAGCAACGATGAGTATAAGAGGGAAAACAAAAGTTAGAATGATCCTGGGTCATATGTGCAAAGAAAAACATTCCTTTAATTTCCTAACTAAACACACTTCATCCAGGTAATATGATACTATACCATACCAGAAGTCCAGATGAATTCCAGATTGAATGTCTTCATGCTGTTGATTCTCGTATATAGATCTGGATATGGTGCTGCTTATATTGTTCATTACAGTTTAATTTAGTTTAGCTGTCTCCTTCCAGAAAAGGGTCATTTCATGCTGGAGAGTAGTGACCAGCAGAAGTGCATCAGTGTGGGAGAGAGGATCCTGAGGCTGGATGACTGTGAGCGCCCCACCCGCCGCATGCTGTGGAAATGGGTCTCCAGACAGCAACTCTTTAACCTTGGCACTGGTCGATGCCTGGGACTTAAAGTGAATGCATCTTACCCTCTGGTCATGTTTGAGTGTGACACTTCATACTCCCTGATGTGGTGGCGCTGTCAGGACAATGGTATGCTTGGGCCGTTCACCTGGAGGCTGACAGTCACTGGAGATGTAGTGACAGCTAAGATCAGCTCCTACTACAACTGGAAGAGGTTTGGAAGTCATAATGAGGGGCCATGCTCATTCCCTTATGAAGGTGAGTGACTCATCACATGGAACATATTGTCTAAAAATAGACTTGGACGTGTCTTTTATTTGATAAAGAGAAATGAGAGGCAAGATTCCAAAAGTTTAAATATTTATTTATCTTCACAATTAAATACAAAACTCAAAAAGCTCCTAACTAACCCTGATCTAATCCTATGAGCTGAGCTTAAAGTAACTGTCCCTAAACTATGAGAAAGAGAGGTCAACCAGGTGCTCTGCGATGACCTCTGTCTATCTGACCCTGCTCAAAAACTGACTCACGTTATTCACATATCGTATAATTAAAATGTGCAGAAGCGGGCGTGGCTTCGTCAGGCGACGTCAGTCCAGACCAGATCTCAGTCTCGGGTCCTGGTCCTTTTTGCCACATCATCACTTTTCTGAAATACACTTCGGAGAAACAGGAAGCAAAAGTGCCCTTTTTTGTCTACTGTCATCAATTTAAACTCTTGACATTTTTGTTTCTGTCTTGTGAGAGTCTGTGTCCAGCACAAACTCATTTGACCTCGAAGACTTTTGATATAAAACTATACAATTTCATGATTACATATATAATTTCACAATTTAATAAATGATGACACATCAAACACCATTCTCACACTAATCACTTTTATTAGTCCAATTAATAACCCAATATTCTGTTTATCTTCAGGGTGACAATTATACATGTACAAAGGTTGTTAAACCAAATAAATAAGTAATGCATTCTTCAGTGCATGCCCATTTAAAAATATTTTAGGGATTCCACCTCTGTAAATGTCAGAAATGGACGAAGTAAAAAAGAAAATCAGTCATGTAACTGTATGCAGTCCAGCCCACTATAATTTTCGGTTGTCATAATTTATTCTATTTAGAGGTGCAACGGTTCATCACTGATCCGTGATCCGTTCGGTTCAACGTCTTCGGTTCGGTACAGACGTGATCCGCGGTTTGATTTATGAAAAAAAAGTTGTGCGCACGTTATTCAGTCCACACACAGCGCGGTCATTGCGAGCGCAGGAACGGAGATGCTTGAAAGCCCCGCGTCATTTAAATCCCAGTATGAGAGCATTTTGGCTTCACTGTAACTACACTGATAATTAATAGTCGACAAAACTGTCACGATGTGTAAGCACTGTGGCACAAGAAAGACATGAGTGAAAAAAGCGTCTCAACGACCGCTTATTGTCACGGCATTTAAGCAGCTCCTTTACGCACAGTCAGACCGGGCTAAAGTCAACTCTCCCGCGCATCCTCAGCTGCGTTCACGACTGACACTTGGACGTCCCGCGGAACCTATAATAGATCCATGAGCGGAACCGCTCACTTCATCACCGCAGACTGGGAGATGAAAAGTCTGGCGCTGAAGACACGCCCCCTCTACGACAGTCACACTGTCACCCAGCGCAGGTACTGACACAAGCAGCGGAGGAATGGAAGACAAAGGCCCAGTACTAATATCCCAGTCACAACTGATAATGCAAAAAATTAAACAAATGCAGTGAATGAGGCTGGGCCCAGAATGGAGCGCCTCCTCGGGAGAATCAGGAAGGTGGTGTAATATATGAGGGTAAATATCCTCATAAAGTGCCTTCTTATGTTGCACTTTGTGTTGTTTTCCATTAATTATGTTAAATAGACATAATTGGATGGATGGAATATGCCATCCATCCATCCATCCATTTCCTTCCCCTTAATTCATTTCTAGGTCAGGGGGGGCAGTCAGAGCAGGAGCCGAGTCCACATGAGCTGTGTTTATTAAAAAGACAAAACTTTTTTTTTGAAAAATGAACCGAACCGTGGCCTCTGAACCGAGGTACGAACCGAACCGTGATTTTTTCAAACCGTTGCACCCCTAATTCTATTTATTTGAATATATAAAGGAATGCAACATTTACAGATTTAATCTATTTTACAGAAATCTACACTCTTCTTGGTAACGCCCACGGAAGGCCCTGCACCTTTCCCTTTAAGTACAACAGTAAATGGTACACAGAGTGTGCGACAGAGGGGCGCCAGGACCACCTGCCCTGGTGCGCCACCTCCACTCACTACGACCAGGACGAGCGCTGGGGCTTCTGTCCTGTCGACGGTACAAAATACAGAACTCAAGATGTTTATTGTTTCTTCCTAGAGAAAACATACCATGACTTTGCTCGGAGTCCATAATTTGTGGGGATTTAAAAACATTTATTTTTGGCCTCTCACCAGCAAAGATCACTGAGTGGCTGCACAGTTAGTCTGTGTTTCACTTTACTTTAGTGTCCATGTCATCCACAATTGTAAATCTATGCTTTCATGATGAAGTACTATTTCTCTTCTCAACTAATCTAGATTCGGCATGTGACACATTTTGGGAGTCAAACGCGGAGCTGCAGGCATGTTACCAGTTCAACCTTCACACCATCATGACATGGAGCCAGGCCCACACCTCGTGCCAGGCCCAAGGAGGCCACCTGCTCAGCATCACCAGCCGCTCCGAGGTCAGATACATCAGAGGTACAAACGTTCTGCAACAGATGATTTCGCAAAACAAAACAATCTTTGACAAACATTAAGCTATTCATTATTTCACATAGAAACAAATATTCACAGAAAAGAATCACATGGCACACCACCAGCTGAAACTGATTCAAACATGAAACTCCAAAAATCACTTTTCATCAAAGTGTATTTTATCAAGAAATTAAGCAAGTTAAAAAAGTCCTCACACTATTTTCTTTTCGCATTATGAAGTGATATTGGATAATTTCCAAAGGCACACCAAACAACATCTCAAGCCTCACTAACAAGCCACAATGCACTGAAAAACTGAAAAACACTCCACTCAATATTTTTCATACTGATTTTGAATTGTATCAGATCGTTTGGCCAGTGTTGGGGTGAGAGTGTGGATCGGACTGAACCACATCAAAGACAGTCAGGGATGGCACTGGACGGATGGGTCGCCTCACACCTTTGTCAACTACACATCAGGTAGAGATTGAATGTTCAAAACAAGCATGCACTTTCAGGTTATGTGGTTCTTCTGTACCAGACAAATATAAGACAGCGATAATATTACCATGACATGTTTCAACGGCATACTTCCGTCTGACTTCTAAGCTGCCTTATCAGCTGTTTTTCCCACGCATAGTCAACCTAGCCAACCCAGCCAACCCAGTCAACCTATGTGGTTTACTGGGCTGACTGTGGTTGCTGGAGAAGTGCATCCCATGTTCAAGAGAGTTACAATGCGCCCTCGTCTCGATCCTGTTCTGAGGAAGATGGAAGTATGCCGTTGAAACATGTCGAGGTAATAAAAATGCTATCTTACATTTGTCTGGTATACAAACAAATGACCTAATCTACTAAGAAGACAAGATGAACATTCCTATGTAGTTTCATGGCCAGCTCTTCTGTATTGATGCTTCTAAAATTCGTAACTCATTGCTCCAACCAGCAGTTGATTATTTTGTTTTCCTTCCACACCCTTCAGCGTTACCTGCAAATCCAATGCAAGTCATGGGTCAGTGTGGTGTATATAACCCGGGCAGCGCAGACCAGTGGGAAGGGCTGGAATGTGGGTCCGCTCTGCCGTACATCTGCAAGAAAACTCCCAATAACACCCAAACTGCAGAGCCACTGGGTAAGACACTTGTTATAGATTTTTTTATGTTTCACAAAGAAAGTTTTTTATAGAATCTAGCCTTAGAGACAAGAAATTAACAAAGTTGTTTGCATTGATTTATTACATGCCTATTATCATTGTAGATATCATGTTTTTCCTCAGGGTCTATTGAATTTACAGCAGGGATTGGTCTATGACTCAACTTCATGCAGATGGATAGAGTTTTAAAAAAAAGGTTTTGAGCATTCAGCCAATAAGAAATGTTCAAAGGGTGTTTAATATATATTGTAGATTAATGTACCATTAATTTATTAATAATGACACTACTATTTTCATTATTATTAGTACAATAATTATACACATCAAGGAGGAACTATATGCCTTTTTTCCATTATAGCATTAGCTCCCTGGAGATAAAAGCATGTTGACCTCTACCTTTATGCACTTATCATTCTATTTTCTTATTTTTCTCCTGAAATACACATTTATTCACCGTATCTTAGGTGGAGTTTAAAACAATGTCAACACAATTATTCCTTATGGTTAATCTGTTTTTTGGTTTCTTTCCTGTTCATTAGCATTTGAGTAGTAGTAGTAGTTTATTTGAGTCAATTGTAACATTAAGATCTTAGGCACCTGTTTTGTATAGATCCTATACATTTTACAATTGAAAACAAAACGTGTATATTATGAATTTGCATATGATGGTATGTACTTATAACTAATTGATAGGCAAATCATGCTATTTATAGCCTTAATGGAAATGGGGGCAGGCCAAAGTGTTTTTTTCTTGCTAAAGGGGGGCCTGGCCAAAGATAACTGAGAAGCACTGCATTCATCTATCGTATGTTTACATTTTTGACCTATCAGAGAAACCGGTTTTCTATGAGTTCCATTATTAGACATGTATGCAGGGTGAACAATGAATAAACATAAAGGTTCACACAGTTCAGGCAGAACAGCTGTTGTGCACCCGGAGGCTGCGGTTATCTCTGCACTCACAATAGTGACTAAAATGAATGAATTACGCATGTAACTCTTAATCTCTTTTTCTCTCTCTCTTATGTGTCTGAATTGTCTAAAGAGAACTGGCAGTACATTCCAACTGACTGTGACGATGGCTGGTTGGCTCATAACGGTTACTGCTACAGAGTGATGGCTGAAGCAGAAAACTGGGACCAGTCTAAACACACCTGTGTGGAGCATGCAGCCAACCTCACCAGCCTTCACTCCCTGTCAGAAGTGGAGTTCCTTGTTAAAGCCCTGCAAAACTGTAAGTCCAAAGTCACTGTACGAACAAAAGTAAGTCTTACATATAAATAGGTTGCAGTCACCTTGAATTAAATAAATATTCACATCTCAAAGCCACATAATATGAACCTGAAATGAGTGAGATAATTTTCTGCCGTTGAAAACCATATTATTCTCAGTATGTCTTTGGTGTTGAACAAAGGCACCACAAAAGATCTAATTGTGAAAAGAGTATATAAAATGTCAACACAATACCTTTGAATATGCCATAATACTACCCTTACATTACTTTGCATGCAAGACTGAAATATGTCGGTTTGCTCTGTTCACAATTCTAGTGACTGGATCCAGTAGTGAGGTGTGGATCGGTCTTTGGAAACAGGATTCGTCTCCAGCCATTGAGTGGATAGATGATTCACCAGTGACATTGGCACCATGGCATCAAAACCAGCCCCCACACATAGTTGGGACTCTCTGTGGCACAGCAAATGTGAAGGTAGATATAAAAGACACACATAGATTCTTGATGTGCCTAAAGATTAAACATGCTCTTGTTCCAGGAGGGTAGCTGGTTTTTGAGAGCTTGTGATTTGCAACGTCCTGCTGTTTGTCGCAAAAAAGGTGGTACGCCTGTCACTCCCTCAGATTCATGGGACGAAGGTTGTCCTGAGGTAGGAACAGAGAACACACTCCTTCTGTGACACAGTGTACAGTATAGTAATTAGGGTCCTTCCTTCATAATTCAATTCAATATCATAATTCAGAATGGAAGAGTTACTTTAAATTAGATAGAAGTAAGACATTAAAGAATCCTTTATTTGCCCCTCATCTGCAACATTCCGGGGACACCTCGAGCAGAGAGTGTCTGGCGTTTTACGAACTCACGCTGAAGGACAAAAACAAGTTGCAGAGTATTGTGAAAACGTGCTGTAAAAACTAGAGGAAAACTTTGAGACTTTCCCTTTTTGTGGGAGGAACAGGTGCACAGTGTTTTCTGACTCATCCCAAACATCCTCTGATCGCTGACTTTGTCATGATGCTTCGGGGCGTCATTTTATGCTTTTATGCCCTCTGCTATAAAATGTTTAAACTCTGGAGGTGTCTAGATCTAGGTTTGTCTAGAGAGTATGTGTTCTTCTCTGCGATTCTGCTGCACATGAATTGTCCTTTGGGATCAATATAGTTTTCTGAATCTCAATCTGAATTAATAAATACTTGTACAGAAATGCTCCACAGTTACTCCATGGTTACAGGCTAATTACAGTTACAGAGAACTGAAAGAGATCGCACTGAGGGCAGAGTTTGAATTACTGGTGCCTATATCACACAATAAACTGATTCACATACTGTTGCTGCTGACGTATTGTCTGGCATTCGTCTCAACAGTATACAAGAATATCCCTCTGAGTCATTGGTCTCTACCCAGGGACAAGCAAACCAACAAGAACATCCCCAGTAACAACCACAAATACAACTAGATGATCCATGTTCTGAGAAGTTAGTTAGCTCTTTAGCTCAAACCGGTAATTCTGTATCTGGGAAAGCTTGTGTGACAGAATATGGTGTTCATTATCTATACATAGTTAGAAGATTGGTTACCTTTGGCTTGCTTTTGTTCTGCTTTTTTTAGGACTGGAAAAGACATGGCCACCATTGCTACACAGTGACAAACTATGAGCACAACTTTGATGATGCTGTTAGTGACTATTACTGCAAAGGCTCTCTGCTCACCGTGGAAAACAAGTACTCTCACTATTTGTCTGTTAAAATTATTACAGTTTTGTATCTTTTTTAAACTATCTCTCACTTACCATTAGGTTTGAGCAGGCGTTTGTCAACAGTTTGCTCAGAGAGAAGGGAGCCAACAGCAGCTTGTTTTACTGGATTGGCCTCAAAGATCATGAGGACAAGAGAGGATACAGGTGGATCGCCCATAATAACACAGAAGTTCCTCTCACCTTCACCAACTGGAACAAGCACCAGCCTGGTAATCAATAATCAATATATGTATTAGTGATAGGTAATTACAAATGAGAACTAGTGTGTGGAATCATCTACCAGTATATACATGTTGATTTTAGTACCTGTTACGACCCAGCTCGGCTAGGGTAAGGAAAACAAAAAAAAACAAGATGTTATAATGGCAAAGCACATATTTAATAACAGGGATGCAAATAAGGAGACATGAATCCAAAGGACACAAGACAGGACATAAGCGGGAATACTAAACACTTAAACCTACTGCTGTCTCAACATAAGCAAAGTGTAACAAAAACAAAACTTTGAAGTGACAAATAAAATGAGACAAACAAAATCAAAGCTATGTCTTTACAGTCATTGCCACCACCGTGACAATGACAGAAATCGCGACCAAAGGCATACCAGCAACACACAGGCTGGCAGCCCCGAACGGGTGTGGAGTGTGGCCTTAAGAAGCAGAGTGACTCCAGGTGGGGAAGCTGGATGGGCCAGGTGCACTGCTGCTCCTCCAATCAGCACCTGAGTCACGAACTTCTGGAAGATGGGAGGGCCAGTGGTTGTCCAATGACAGGCCAGGGATCTTCAGACAGGAGGGGTTGCCACACACCCACACAGAAACACACAAAATACAAAACAGGAGCAATATATAGGCTCAGGGCCGTAACAGTACCAAAAAGGTTGATACACTGAACTTTACATAAATCACATGGAGCCGCATTGTGGGCGGAGCTTCCTAGTTCAGAAAGTACAATTCCCCTTTCAATTTATAACCCATAGTTATTACAATAAAATAAATACAACTTTTTATGCTGATTGGCTATCTAGTGAGTAATGACCACAAGATGTAAAGTAGTAGGCTGAAACTACTGCGCGTATAGTATAGTAGAATTTACTGTAGTAGTAGTATAGTAGTTAGCGGGTTACTAGTTAGCCTCTGTCATGTCTTCAATCTCTTGATATTTGGATTTTTCGAAACTCCTATGGTGATTTTTTAAATGGAAGATTATACTTCCAGACTTCAAAGCTCTGCCCATTTTGCAGCTCCATTGCGTTGTTGTCTGTGTACAGCTATAGCTATATTATTATACAATTATTACCAATTCATTGTGAAATATCCTTTAGAATGTGATCAACCGCTCTGTGAATGTTGTAAGAAGCAGTGTATTGCACACATATCGGCTAACTTATTTTATTTTGTATGAAAAGAATCAAGCCTAACCTTCCAAGACGATTGCTATTGTGATATAGAACAGTACAAAAAAAACTAAAAATTTAATTGAATTTAAATGAGTCATGCCACTTGAACGCTAGACAGAATATTGAAACGCACATTGGTGGTAAATGAGAGAGACAAAACTATAAGAGGGTTGGATTTCTTCAAAGTCCATTTTATCACAGTAAGTCAGCTTTAAACAATCAATGCAAAACCATGCGCTTATTAAAACTTTATCTTGTTCTTGTTGATGTTCATCCCTCAGTTGTTCTCCTGTTTCTCTTTTCAGTAAGTGTTGGTGGATGTGTTGCCATGTCTGGGGGTCCTGCTCTGGGACATTGGGAGGTCAAGCACTGTCAGTCTTTCAAAGCTTTGTCCGTGTGTAAGCGAAGCATTGAGAACTACCAGGACACTCCCCTCCCTGAGGAGCACAAGGTCGCCTACGCCCCCTGTCCGCCTGGCTGGGACTCACAACCAGGGATGCTGCACTGTTTTAAAGTAATCACCAGTATCATTATGTTTGAATGTTCTCTTTATTTTGTGGAAGGATTTATTTAATTATAAATGAAAGCTTTGCATCAATCAAGTTGCATTTTGAAAAAAAATAAAAATAAATGACAGGAAATAGGAGATTCAATGAAGACAGCACACTAAGGAGATGTAATTCAACCAAGATTTTAGTTAAATTATGACATTGTTATTGTCAAATGCATATTAAGATATTGGTAAACTAGCCAAACAAGTGCCGAAATATTTCGGAAACACATTTTCAAAATTCCATTTATATGTTCAGATTTTCTGCTTTTGATGCAGCTTTTTCAGACATGTATATTTTACATAAACAAGACACGTTTTAATAATGAGTAGTTGGATCAATGTCTTTCGCAGGAGTGTCACACAGGCCCTCTGCTTAGTTGCAGTTAAAACCTGTAGCAACACTGACCCTGTTGAGGACCAGTGAGACAACATGTGAAAAATAGCTGCAAACTGCATCTAGTATTGTAGTGGACGTTACTAGATGCAGTTTGCAGCTATTTTGTGTATTGTACCAGACATACTTAACATACTCTCCTCATCTATTACCAGTGATGGGAATAACGGCGTTACTAGTAACGGCGTTACTAACGCCGTTACTTTTTTCAGTAACGAGTAATCTAACTAATTACTTTGACAGTAACTATAACGCCGTTATCATTTCCGACATCCCGTTACTGCGCGTTACTCAAGACGCACAATGAACGTGTTGTCATGAGAGAAGGGAGGATGAGAAAACCTCTCAGCAATTATTGGCTGATGTAAATCATATTTCCTTTACAATCTACATGTCTACAGTTGAGAGGATGGCTCATAAATTGTGTTTTTGAAACAAATATGGGTCTTAGTCGCGCTCAACCACAGCTTGTATCACCGTGAGGTCAGCCACAGAGGAGCGCATGTGGAGCGCAGAAGTCGGCTGCATACAATTCCATCGATAAGCTCCTTGCTCTTCCTGGTTTATCTGCTAAGGGCTGCAACAGGTTTGGCTAACATACATATAACACATTTTTACATAATCTAAAATGCACATAGGGTAATTTTTCAATTACTATAGGAATGATAAGAAAGAGAGGTGAAGTGTAAGACGGTTGATTTTAGAAATTGGATGCAGCCGGCTGCAGCAAAACAGAGTTTACGGAGGACACACGCGTTTTGTTTTACGTTTTAAAACTCATTGGACTCATTTCCAAATGGAGGATTACATATCTACGCTCAAACCATTCACTGGATTTAAACAAGGAACTGGTCTGAACCGAAGTGGACTGTGCAGGTCATTTATAAGGTAAGACCCATAACTCATAGTTTTGCGTTTTGTATGAACAAACAATGCGGGCATAAAACATATTTTGCTGTAGCCAAACAAATTGTCCACTTGATTTATATGATGTATATGTTCATCTGATTGGACTGAAGTCAGTGCTTCACCAGCCTCAGCGCTCGTCACCGGTGTTTCCACATTCACAGTGGCGGGCTTTACAGCACAGACAGAGATGAAGAGTGAACAGGACTTCAGCAGCAAAACAGCCTTTTCTAGATGGAAATATTGGCACTGTTAAAGGTAAAAATGCGCACGTCGGGTGCACATTATGTTCCAGAACAAAACGAAAAAGTAACGCAATAGTTACTTTTACTGGTAACTAGTTACTTTTATAGTGGAGTAACTCCGTTAGTAACTCAGTTACTTTTTGGGAGAAGTAACTAATAACTATAACTAATTACTTTTTCAAAGTAACGTGCCCAACACTGTCTATTACTAGTAATGTAGTGTGTTTTAACAGGTCTTTCATGATGAAAAGGTCCTCATGAAGCGTTCCTGGATGGAGGCAGATTTCTTTTGTCAGGCTCTTGGAGCAAAACTGGCCAGTTTCCAATTCTACGAGGAGCAGCTGTTTGTCAAGCGCCTCCTCAGAACCATGTTTGAAGAGTTGGTACATCTTTTTTTTCTTTAAACTGCAAAAACCAGGATGTTAGTATGTTTAAAAGTGAATGTCACTGTTACTTTTCAACCCGTGAAGAGCAAGAGAAATTTCAAGCACAATCGCCCAAAAATTGGTCAAACTACTTGAAAGGAAAAATACCTAATTTACATGATAGCACAGGGTAAAATGGTTAAAATAGAGGTACTATGTCTGTGTGCTTGGAGGAGCTCCATTTAAAACGTATCTTGGATTGAAATAAATTCTACAATAACAACTGTAACCATCATGTCCTATGTGTTGTCTTGGTAAACAACTCACACTTACAACTGAAATAGAAATACAACATCCCACTCCAAAAATTTCTTGAGTGGAGTTTGGTCTAAATTGCTGTCTCTTTGAATAGAATTATTGCATGGGTTTAGTTTTTTTGTCTGTTAATTATATCTGTCCAGGGCAATAACATTAGTAAACACAATCCCTTACTTATACCACATTGGATAGGAAAAAGGCTTCAGCTTCCCAGTATGGAAATGAATAATGAGAGAATGCATTTTACATGGCTTCTTTTTCAGAACAGAAGGGCGCTGGTTTTGGATGGGATTGAACAAGAGGGATCCGGAAAATCCCTCTTCATGGCAATGGTCAGATGAAAGTCCTGTAAGTATTAGGATATTTTGTTCTCCCAAAGGCTGCAGAACTGAAATGTTGTCTTTGTAAAGGTTGTGACATCGTTTATAGAAGACAAGAACAGTGAATCTATCGGCGACTGCGCTGTGTTTAGTCACGCGACCAACAGCTTTGCACCGAAGCCATGTGACAGAAAATATGAATGGATTTGTAAGATGCACAAAGGTGTGAGTTTTGATAAGACCACAGTTATTGTATCATTCATTCAAAACAAGCAGTGTGACATAAAATATTCCTTTATTCTAGGTGATCAGCTTCTAAAGCCATATTGGTACTCAGAGCGTAAGTTGGTTTAATTCATTATAGACATGTATACATAAAAACACATCACACTCTAAACAAAGATAATTTTGTAATTGCATTGCATATAAAGCGAGGTGAGTCACAAATAAATATTAGTTGCAAAAAAAGACATTCAACCATTCACCCTTTAATTGGTCTTTAACAGTATAATGATATAAACTGTACAATAAATAGAGATTTTTGGGGGTTTTTCATTTGTGCGTTCACACTTGCTCCATTAATTTTGGTTCACTAGAGACAAATTATGTTAAAAATCGCCCTTAAGTCTCCCTTAACCATAACCTTATTTGTGGAGATGTGAATGCACCATACACTGGTTTACTGGCCAGATATGTCAGTTTACTACTTTTGAAACGGAACTGTGACTTGAGGACTGTTGCATTTGCTTTTGACTCCAGTTAATAATGACAGTAAATGTGAACACACCCTATGGATCTATAGACCATCATGGTGAAGTGGTGTTATATCAGAGGAAGGGCTGACATTCAACTCACTCTAAAGATTTTACAAATAATTGTCTCACTCTAAGATCCACAAATGTTTATTCTCATAACAGTAGAAACCTCAAAGTCTCTTCTTTGGATTAATATATTGTCTCCTACAGAAAGTGAGCCCTGGGTGTTTTACCGCGGAGCAGAGTATCTTGTGGCCAAGCAGCCGTTCATGTGGGATGCCGTGTCTCTGGCCTGTCAGATGATGGGGTCCTACCTTCTGTCCGTTCACTCCAGAGAAGAGCTGCACTTCATCAAAGAGCGGCTGCGACGGGTCTGTTCTGCTATTTTTGGTATGATGGTAAAGGTTAAACCCAGGAGCGCTAGCTTTGTACATTACATACTTATGAACCATACTATGAGGCTGGAGTAGAGTAAATTATATATTAATGACGTCATTTATACCACGGCCAGTGAGGATTCCAAACGTATTAATACTGTTTTAACCTCATTATAAATGACAGGTGCCATGTCACGCCTCCTCAGACATCACCATAGCAACACACAGAATTCATTGTCTATTGTACAACAGAATTTTGAATTCCGATGCTAAACATGTAAAATATTTATTGTTGTGTAAAACATCATGAGTTGAATGGAGGCCAACTTTTCTATTTCTTATCCTCTGTGTGCGTGTCTTCATTTTGTTTGCTATTGCCAGAGCTTTGGCTGGCTCTTGGCTGATCACGTAGTCGCATTCCTGAGACATGTTTTTGGGAGTGTAGTGGAAAAAATATTTTTATTATTTTATGAGCGTGTGAAAATTTTTGACCATGATATAAGCAAATTTAAACACACTCTGGCTGCGTCTAGAATGCAACCAAGCATTTGTTGTTGCAGCAAGTAACCAGACAGAACAAATCATATATGAAAAAACTGAAAATATATAATTATGTTATTATCTCTTAGCATCAAGTTAAACAGTTGAACATGCTAATTTGACAATCACTGGTCTGGTTTCCCCTCTGGCAGTATTCTCTGGGTCCGACTGAGTGGTGGATTGGTCTTTCTATTGGTCTGCCAGGAACAGATGCCAGTGAAAGGTATCTCACCATTTGAAATAGATTATTTTAATGTTGTACAGTATGTTGTGTTTAATTACTCATGTTCTCTCATCATGAACTCAGTGTTGTAATTAGATTTATTTATACCATACCAGCTTTATTTATAAATTTATTTATGAATGATGAAATGCAGATGCAAAGAAACTATTTGAGAGTATAGATACATATTATCTGTATTAGATTCTTTACATGTAAAAGCTTATGTTTTCATATTATATGAATTATAGCATACATTTTTGTTGTTCATCATAGATGGTCTGATGGGACTGAAATAGAATTTCAGAACTGGTCAGAAGGTATTCTACATGCTGGCACAAAGATGACTGGGATGTGTGTCACCATGTCCTCTTCTACAGGTAAACAAGAGCATGTTAGTAGTTCCTCGCTGTCAAAGCAGTTTGGTTCTATCACAAACATGAGTTTTTGTCACATTTTAACATTCACTTTTTTAAAAATGAAAGCACTACTCACTCAGCTCTCAGCTCTATGCCTCAGATAGTGATTCCCAGGGCTCTGTCTAGAGAGTATGCAGAAGATAACATGTTAAGATAATGAAAGAAAAATATTTTCAGATTTTTCACAAATAATTTACTTTCACAAGACTCTTTCTGTTGTGACAAACAAACAAAAAATAAGAAATATAAAAGTTAGATACCCCAGGTTTAAACAACTGTATTAAGCTTCAATGTTTTGTTTTTCTCACCCCTGCTCATTTATTGTAGGAAAATGGTCCGTCGGACAGTGCAATGATCTCCATGGTTACGTGTGCAAAAGGAGGATTGTGTCTGTCCTGGAAACCCCCAGAGAGCCGCACTACATTGGGGCTTGTCCGGAGAAATGGCTGTATTTTGGACACAAGGTTTTTGTCGCACCTAACCACAATTACAACCATAGATCTTCACATTAATTCAGTCCTGTCTAGATTTTCATTGTGATATTCTCGGTGTTGCCAGTGCCTCCTGCTTCACCTCCCGGAGGTCCCTGAGGATGGAAAGACTTGGACCGACGCCGAGTCCATCTGTTCATCCTTTGGGGGGACCCTGGTGGCGATAGAGAATGAAATTGAACAAGGTATAGAACATGAAATACATAATTACTATATTATCATAAGGATATTTTTTGTTAATGACTGGCATGTGCTTTTTTATGATAATAAAAATAATAACTAGAATATACAGTAACACAAAAGTAAAACAAAAATAAATAAATAAAAAACTACAAAAAGAGTTTAGGACAGTCGCAATAATTACTATGAATATAATGATAATAATCATAATAGTAATAGTAGTAATCATCATGAACGAATTAACTTTATTTCGAGCCATGGCAGACAAGAACAAAAACAAAACAACAACAGAATGTGTTGTTTTGTTTTATTAACAAAAAGTCATCATCATCATCTTTATCTATATTGTTCTTTTATATAAGAACAATGCTTACAAAGTCAGCATAAAACAATGCAATGAAAATAGTCATTATTGTATAGAATATTTAAAAAAACATACACAGGGAAATAAAGCTGACAGAGGGCACACAAGACACATAACAATATTGATTCATTGTAGCGTGGATAGAGAAGTCTGGCTGGGCGTCTCTGCCTGGACTGCAGCCCGAGTGACCCAGCTACGGATAATGGGATGAATAGAATCATTGTTTAATATCCAATATCTTCAGTTATATATTTTGAGGCTTAATGTTTATCATCTGTAAATTCTGTCTGAAATAGTGATAAGATATTTGCACATATCCCTGCAGTACAATAGATCCTGAGCTAAATGTGTCACTCTTTCTGTATGACTGCCTAACTCTACTGCTTATTAGTTGCATTTTAAGCTTTTTCACTAGATTTTCAGCTGAGAAGTTGAATACTCGATATAATGTGCTGTTTCCCTGCTGGCAGCTTTCATCACGATGCTCCTGCAGGGAAGCTCAGTGGGAGTGTGGATCGGCCTGCAGAACGACGACACTTCGGCCTGGACCAGCGGGAAAGCTGTCACCTACACAAACTGGTCCCCCGTTGAACCCAAGAGCCATCTGACCATAAATGTGATCCTTCTTCACTGTTATATATTAGTATTAATATTATGTATTACTTTAAAATAGAAGGATTGTAATATACTGAGGTGGCAAAGTAATAGTTGCTGTCTTAGGTACTTAAGTAGATGTAAATATATATATAGATTGTACTATCACTCAAGTTTTCAAATCATCCCCTTCTCTCGTGTGTACTAAACTTTGGTACCGAAGTACACACAAATGCCGAAGTGTCGTATAAAATGCTATATTGCATTTTATACTACATTTATTGGAGACACTTGAAATTAAGACACTTTTAAAACATTTCATACTTGGATAGAATATGACGAACAAATGAGTTGAATGATCTGAACAATTAGAAGCGTGGCTAACCACTTCAAACCTGTTTAATGTTGTGTCTCCATCTGCAAAGTAACATTTTCAGATGTAAGCAGTAGAAAGTACAGATAGGTTTGATATTTTTCGTCTTTACTCTTGCAGTTCAATAAGTCACTATATGTCTAATATTAATATTTATTTATCAGTTTATTTAATGCATTGGTTTTATATAGTGCTTTTTTGGACACTCAAAGACGCTTCGTTATTCTTTCACCCCATACACGGTGATAATAAACTACTACTGTAGCCACAGCTGCCCTGGGGCACACTGACAGAAGCGAGGCAACCAGTATGTGCTATTGGCCCCTCCGGCCACCACCAACCATTCACACACACACCAGACTCATTCTAGGCAATGGGGGTAAAGTGTCTTGCCTAAGGACACAAAAGCAGTTTGGCACTTTACAGCCGCAGCCGCCTCACTGTGGCAGCAGGTGTTCCCAGAGGTTAAGTGTCTTGCCAAGGACACAACGACAGCAGACAGTGGGAGTCGGTGGTGAAAGTCAGGCTCGAACCCACAACCCTCTGGCTCAAAGGCCAATGCGCTACCAACTGTTGCCCTATATATCTAGTGTTGGAGACAATACCATTGTGAATAAGCTTTACCGTAGTTATCAGGTTTGTAGTTGTAGTTGTTGTCTATAATTATTGTAATTGTGACAGTGGCATAAAGGAGTTGAAATGATTATAACCATAGTTCTGATGAATAGTTTATTATTCGTTAAAATGTGTTATTGTGACAGACCAAATATTCATTTAGTTTGCAAATTGTGAGCGTATTTACTTGTGTTTTTCTTTTATATTTCTAAGGAGTATGAGTGGCTTCATGGATTTGAACCTGAACTTGAACCGCAGTGTGTTGTCATGTCCAATAACCACAATTTTCACCTGACGGGAAAATGGTACGATGAGAAGTGCAGCACGTCAGGCTATGGATTTGTCTGTCAGAAGCCTCAAGGTAAGACTCAACATTTTATAACCTTAACCTATGGTAAGATTATATGATGAAAAATATTAAAACAGTCATATCAGAAAGCATATAAGTCTAAGAGTGTAATAAGGTAATTGCATTGAAAATTGAAATGAAACATATTTTTGTAAGTAAAAAAGCAAGAAAGTATAGCACCTTTTGAAGAGCATTATAGTTCTTTATCCCTTCACTTTAAGCACAGAGGTTGTAGGTTACTTCTGTAGCCACAGCTGCCCAGGGGTAGAGTGGTGAGGGGGTGCATGTCCTGGTCTGTAGCTTCTCTGAGGACAGCAGGTTGGACATACAGTATGTACAGTGCCTTGCGAAAGTATTCGCCCCCCTTGAACCTCTCAATATTTCGCCACATTTCAGGCTTCAAACATAAAAATATAAAAATTAAATTTTTTGTCAAGAATCAACAACAAGTGGGACACAATTGTGAAGTGGAACGAAATTTTTCAGATAATTTAAACTTTTTTAACAAATAAAAAACTGAAAAGTGGGGTGTGCAATATTATTCGGCCCCCTTGCGCTAATACTTTGTAGCGCCACCTTTTGCTGCAATTACAGCTGCAAGTCGCTTGGGGTATGTCTCTATCAGTTTTGCACATCGAGAGACTGAAATTCTGGCCCATTCTTCCTTGCAAAACAGCTCGAGCTCAGTGAGGTTGGATGGAGAGCGTTTGTGAACAGCAGTCTTCAGCTCTTTCCACAGATTCTCGATTGGATTCAGGTCTGGACTTTGACTTGGCCATTCTAACACCTGGATACGTCTATTTGTGAACCATTCCATCGTAGATTTGGCTTTATGTTTTGGATCATTGTCCTGTTGGAAGATAAATCTCCGTCCCAGTCTCAGGTCTTTTGCAGACTCCAACAAGTTTTCTTCCAGAATGGTCCTGTATTTGGCTCCATCCATCTTCCCATAAATTTTAGCCATCTTCCCTGTCCCTGCTGAAGAAAAGCAGTCCCAAACCATGTTGCTGCCACCACCATGTTTGACAGTGGGGATGGTGTGTTCAGGGTGATGAGCTGTGTTGCTTTTACGCCAAACATATCGTTTTGCATTGTGGCCAAAAAGTTCGATTTTGGTGTCATCTGACCAGAGCACCTTCTTCCACATGTTTGGTGTGTCTCCCAGGTGGCTTGTGGCAAACTTTAAACGAGACTTTTTATGAATATCTTTGAGAAATGGCTTTCTTCTTGCCACTCTTCCATAAAGGCCAGATTTGTGCAGTGCATGACTGATTGTTGTCCTATGGACAGACTCTCCCACCTCAGCTGTAGTTATCTGCAGTTCATCCAGAGTGATCATGGGCCTCTTGGATGCATCTCTGATCAGTCTTCTCCTTGTTTGAGATGAAAGTTTGGAGGGACGGCCGGGTTTTGGTAGATTTGCAGTGGTCTGATACTACTTCCATTTCAATATAATTGCTTGCACAGTGCTCCTTGAGATGTTTAAAGCTTGGGAAATCTTTTTGTATCCAAATCCGGCTTTAAACTTCTCCACAACGGACTTCCGGTGAGCAACCGAAATGGCGACAGCCTAACCTCGTGGCTTCCCGAACAAAGTCATAGATACCCCCTCTTCCCTTGTATTTGAGAGTGCCAAATTGGATAAACGAATAGGAACAACTGAAGAAGAAATGACCCGAGGCAAACAAAAGTAAGTCTGCGAGACTTACCAAACCACTGGTTGGATGATGATACTGCGGGAGAAGAAGCAGCGGCTAGTCCAACTAGCCAAGCTGCTAGCACTTCAGACACGGAGGGGACTACGGAGGATTTAATGGCTAAAGACTCGGGCTAATTTACAAACCTATACTTCGTGAGCTAAAGGAGTTTACGACGTGAAAATGGAGAAAACTTCTGCGAGCTCAAAGAAGAAATTAAAAAAGTTAATACGAGAATATTTTTGCTGGATATTATCGGAAACTTTATAGTTTAAAGGAGCCAGATAAGGAAGATATGACCTCACTAATGTTAAACCAATTGGAATTGCCTATGCTCTCTAGTGAACAAAATACAACTTTAACAAGGAATATAAATGCTCAGGAACTGGCAAAAGCAGTTAAAAGGCTCAAATTGAATAAATCTCCAGGTTCTGACGGCTACAATGCTGACTGGTACAAGATATACCTGGAAGAACTTTCACCTCTACTCCTTAAGACATTTAACTGGGTTTTGAACGGGGGTCAAATACCACCAACTTGGAAAGAGACCATTATCACAGTTATCCCAAAGGATGGTAAGGACAAATTAGATTGCTCAAATTTCAGACCCATTAGTTTACTGAATCAGGATTATAAGATCTTCACCTCCATCTTGGCCAAAAGACTGGAAAATATTCTCCCGGACATAATACATTTGGACCAGACAGGCTTTATCAAGGAGAGGAAAACTAGAGATAATATAAGACGCACACTACATGTGATTCATCAAATACAGAAAGATAAAAAACCAGCTGTTGTTTTGGGCCTGGACGCACAAAAAGCATTTGACACTGTAGATTGGGCTTTTCTTTATAAAGTACTTTCCAAATTTAACTTTACGCAGAAAAAGTTTATAAAAACTAATACAAGGAATTATATAACAAACCTATAGGGAAAATTAGAATAAATGGAGGTCTATCAAATCCTCTAAATATTGAACAAGGTTGTAGACAGGGCTGTCATTTATCTCCGATTTTATTTGCCATTTTTATTGAGCCCCTGGCACAATATATCAGACAAAATAGAAAGATAAAAGGCATTAAAGTAAACGAGAAGGAACAGAAGATTGCCCTGTTTGCTGATGATGTCCTAGTTTACTTGGCTAAACCCACTGAATCTCTTCCTCAACTGCATAAAGTGTTAATGGAATTCAGCAACATCTCAGGCTATAGATTAAATTCTCATAAATCACAAGTATTGACATTCAACTACAACCCTTATGATCAAATGGATTGCGTATGACAAGGATTTTACCCCAAATGTAGGAGATAAAACATTTAAAAATTGGTCTGACAAAGGTTTAATGACTTACAATCAGTTTTATCATAAAGATCAAATGAGGAGCTATCAAGATTTGATAGAGGCATTGACACAGTTTTTGGCATTAATGTTCCTTTGAATTTTGAAACTATGTTTTTGGGGATACAACCAGACTGTATAAAAAGGGCGAGTAAAAAAATATATGTGGAATGTTTTACTGACAGCAAGCAAAAAAGCTATCACAAAGAAATGGATGACAGACAGAACACCTGTGTTGGGGGACTGGATATCACTTGTTAAAGACATTTTTCATATGGAGAGAATGACTAAGACTGGATCACGACAGATTTGAGGACTATTGGAAATGCTGGACACATTATACCAACACTTAAGGACACGTGTGATATCCCTTTGCTACTCAATTGTTCTTTTGTTTTTGTTCTATTATGTAAAAAAAAAAAAAGTGTTAACAAATGTACTAATTCTAATGTACCATGTATGTAACATCGTGTAGATTGTTAATGTAAGAACTGCTGATCGAGTCAATAAAAATTTTAATTATAAACTTCTCCACAACAGTATCTCAGACCTCCCTGGTGTGTTCCTTTGTCTTGATGGTTCTCTCTGCACTTTAAACAGAACCCTGAAACTATCAAAGAGCAGGTGCATTTATACGGAGACTTGATCACACACAGGTGCATTCTATTTATCATCATCAGTCATTTAGGACAACATTGGATCATTCAAAGATCCTCACTGAACTTCTGGATTGAGTTTGCTGCACTGAAAGTAAAGGGGCCGAATAATATTGCACACCCCACTTTTCAGTTTTTTATTTGTTAAAAAAGTTTAAATTATCCAATACATTTTGTTCCACTTCACGATTGTGTCCCACTTGTTGTTGATTCATGACAAAAAATATTGTTTTAATATCTTTAAGCCTGAAATGTGGCGAACTTTCGCTAGGCACTGTATATGTTATATGGATCACTTATAAATGTCAAACCTTTCCCCTCCTCAGTATGAAGTCAGGCCTCTAATTAGCAGCAGACTGATTAGGAGCAACCTCAGCTTTTCAGTTCTAGCTTGAAAGACCATAGACCTAATGTTACCCATAGTGTTTGATCTAGAGCTTATTCGAACAGACGGTTTGAACAGCAGGCTTAGAAGGTTCTTTTAATAAGACGAAAAAAGTAAAGTAGTAAAAAAAATATTAAAGTAAGCGAGTACTGCTTAATTACCTGACTTGTTTCGGTGGTATACTTCCGCCTTTGTCAGAGGGCGGAACAACTCGGCAACAACAGCTGATAAGAGACTCGTTCCACCATCACGTGTCACCTCTCATTAAGGTAAAAGAACCCTCTAAGCCTGTAACATCAGAAGACATGTTACATACATTTAATTGTTTGAACAGCAATCTGGAACCAAATATCACAGAGCCTATCAGGAGTCGTGCCAATCTGTCCATGCTCGTGCTATTTGCAAGCTTCATCAGAATTCAGGGACAACAGGCAGCTGATAGGTCACTTTTAGCTTGTCCTCATTTCTGGATTTACTAAAACAATATCAAAAATGAAAAATAAGTTTTAAACAAACAGTTCGGGGTACACAGGACAAACAGATTGGGAGCCACTGCTCTATGCTCATCATATAATTCAAAACCCACTCTGCTGGATTTGGTTTATGGTAAAGACAGATCAAAAGACAGACAATAGTCATGTTTGGACAGTAACGAATGGTGGAACATGTGAATATGTTATTTCCTCTGAATGAATCTGAAAACCACTTGATGTATGATTTTTGAGGGAACTACATTATGGTAGACAGTCCATTTTGCATGATACCCATCTTTGATAATGATAATGTTCCTCTTTTGTCTTATTCTCACAGATTCTTCTAAACCTCCCACTCATTCATACCGGCCACCGTCTGTGCGCGAGAAGATTGAGTACCGTGATCACAACTACCGTGTGGTGTCTGGGAACATGAGCTGGTACGAGGCCATGCAGTTGTGCTCAGACCGGCGCTCTGAGCTGGTGAGCATCACGGACCCGTACCACCAGGCCTTCCTCACTGTGCTGGTCAACAGACTGGCCGCTCCGCACTGGATTGGACTCTACAGCCGAGATGTAAGTCCATGTATTCAAACATGTATGCCTTTGAATGTTTAAATGTGAAGTCTTGTTTTTTCTTATTGTGTGATGTTGATAACTGTTTGTATAATGGTTAATGTGGTGCAGAAAATATTTGTGTTTACTAGGCTGTTGTTGCTCAAAGAAATATGTGGGCAACCACATACATCCTTGACAAAAGCTCTCAATACTATTTGTTGTTATGTGTCTAACCTACTTTAACTGTGCAAAAACAACAATGCAAGCCAACAAGATTACTCTTGTTCTTTACCTCTCTTTCTGGCTGTTTCACAGAGCCGAAGCAATTTCCATGTTCTTCAATACTGACAGTAACAGACTTCCTGTTACTTACGTGGCAATAAAAAATATTCTGAGTCTGATTCTGAAGGTTGCTACTATTAAAAATGTTATCAAAACTGAAATAAATACAGAATAGAAGAATGGGCTGACAGTGGCTCAGTAGGTAGAGCATTGGCCTTTGGGCCTGAAGGTTGGACCTACTTCATGACTCTCATAGATGTCTACTGTCGTTGTGTCCTTGGGCAAAACACTTAACCCCACTTTACCTGAAGCCCCCGCTGAAAGATCAAGGCTCCTGTGGACTCACCACCTGCAGGAGGATCAGTGAGGGGCTGGTGCTCAGTGAACTGGGTGCAGCTCTGACTGCCACTCTTCTGACTCAGAAATGCATTAAGGGGAAGAAAATGGATGGATGGATAAATACAGAATATTCAACTAATAATTTTTATTTTATTTTTTATATTCTTTCACAAATCCTTAAAACTTTTGTTTTTATGATTGACTAACAAATATTTTGGTAAAAGCAAACCAAAACAACCAAAACAACAGCCCTCCTTTCTTCAGTTACATTTTTAATGTGTATCTTGTTCAGTAAAAAATTATTATTGTTTAAAAGAAAAAAAAGTCTTCATATTATTGTCAATATTCCATTCAGTAGCAAGACGACTACTTAGACCACCAACATTAGCACGTGAACACAAGGCGTGCAATACAATTGAAACTTATACTTTTTTTAAATATATATACTGAAGAATATCAAAATGTATTCTAAAATGCAGTGTATCGGTAGAAGAGTGAAAAAATACTGCACCGATGTAATCGATTCATTTGTTCACGGCCTATACTGTGTAAAAACTCCAACATATGATGTGAAATGTGATCTTAAAACTCCTTGTGTTAATGTCTTGTTTTATGATAATGATAAAATGGGGAAAAAATTCCATTCTGATGTTCTTAATAGCATCACTATCAAGATTAAATTGGAGACAAATATAATATGTGCATTCTAAAAAACAAAGAATATTCACTGTAATAATGGATGATCAAAAATGATTGAAAAAATATTTCAAAAACATTTAAACCCTCCTATAACCTTTCCATGCAAGTAACTCAGGGCGTGTTTCATTTTAAGTGCTTCACTTCAACTGGACTAATCCTGGTTCACTTTGCGATGTAAAACCACCAAACAAATTGTGTGCCCCAGTTATTTGAGTGAACCAGACCAAGGTTAGTTAATGATAATAATGATAATAATAATACTACATTATACTTATGTAGGGATTTTTTTGGACACTCAAAGATGCTTTACAGAAAGACAGGTTTATAAGAAAGAAAAATATATAAATAAAAATGGTTGAATAAACAGTTACGTGTAGGCAGTTTTGAACAGGTGGGTTTTGAGCAGCAATTTAAAGTTCTGAAGTGAGTCCAAGTTCCTGTTCCTGTTGTGGGAGTGAGTTCCAAAGAGTGGAGGCAGCTAGTTAATTGAAAAACATGTGTATAAGGCTCTTTTATAGGAACAAAATTAAACTATGATATGGAGATGTTTCAGAAATGTGTTATTTTAACCTCGTCTCGTGTCTTTCTCACAGAGTGGCATCAACTATCAGTGGTCCGATGGCAGTGACATGGTCTACACTCACTGGGACAGCACTGATGAAGAGGACGACTTTCTGACCGGAGACTGTGTTTACATGGATGTGAATGGAGGCTGGAGGAGGGCCGACTGTGAAGCCACACTACCCGGGGCCCTGTGCCATGTCCCAGAGCTGAGTTAGTGTCTCTCATCTTTGTGCAGTTGAGAGTAAAATAGCTGATCAAATGTGATTTGCACATCTTATGGATAGATTTAGAGCCCTACAAAAACAGTTGTAGTAAAAGGGATCTACTATTTCTTCACAAATCGACTTGCTTTAGAGTATAGAGAGGCGTCTATTATCTGGGGAACAAAACAGTACATTAACAATATGGTACATTTTCTGTATTTCTTACAGTAACCAAGGCTATGAGCACTAGTGAAGTGACGTGTCCCTCGACATGGGTGAAATTTAGAGGCGTCTGCTACAACTTTGAGCCCGTGGTTCAACGGCTGGCGCTGGAAGAAGCGCGGGAGCAATGCAGGAAAAAATGTATGTCAAAAAATATGTGCAAGTTTCCATTCAAAATGGAAGTAATAAAATAATATCTATTTCACATTTTATTAACATTTGGATTGTTTATTTGTTTAATCCAATTTATACCATTGCCATAATAGACCCCTAATCCTGTCGACCTCTGATATTAAGCGGTGTTGACACTCCCCCTGCAGGCTGCAGGAGGGACTGCTGTAACGTGTGTAACATGTTTGTGTCCTCTTGTTCTTTCTTAATGTAGTGAACTCCTCAGATGTTCTGACCATTGAAACTGAGACTGAAAACTTGTTTATCTTGGAGCAGCTCTGGTCGCTTGGCTTTGTTCATCAGGCCGTGTGGTTGGGCATGTTCTTCAATACTGACAGTAAAACTCACATTTGTTCCCTGACAAATACTTATTTTGGTATTTTGTCTGAAAAAGTTAGTAATTATAACTATTTTTTTCCAGCTGAAAGTCTGTCCTGGGTGGATGGTTCTGCAGTGGACTACACAAACTGGCCCAGTGTAACTCCAGACCGCAGTCAACTGTCCACAGACACATGTGTCTCCACTAAAGCAGCTGACGGGGTCTGGTACCTCACGCAGTGCCTCCAGAAACTGGGCTTTATTTGTAAAACAACCACATGTGAGTGCACTGTACTTATACAATCAGTATTGCGAATCAAATATGTCGCTAGAGTGTGTACTTTTAGTTGGTATAAGGCAATAAATATGAAAATCTTTACACAACTATGGGGTCAATATATTGCAAAAAACTTTGTGTTAGATAAAATAACATAGCAATAATGGGTGGATTGCTTTATAAAATTTAAAATACCATATAGTAGGGATATTTTTCTGTAAGAAAAGGCCTTGACCTCATTATTTCCCCAAATACAGTGATTGTTTTGAAATTTCATATCTAATCAACAGTTAGAATTTAATGTCTTGTGATGAAAATGTATGCAATCATTTTCTTTTGCTTACAGATAAAGACATTGAAGTGGAAGCTGAACCAATAAATGGTATAGATGCATCTCTTAAGTCCTCATGTTGTTGTTTCGTTCCACAATATGATTAGAACTTTATCTTCAGATAAATTATTATTGCGTAATTGGAAGATTGAACAAATTGTCCTGGAATGTTTCCTGTGTTTTAATATCTAATCAATGCATTGCAATGTGTCTTTTATTTGGATTTCACGTCACAAGTTTGACAACAAATTGTTGTAATTTTTAACTTCACCCTTGGTTTTGAAACGATTCAGTAGCCACAGTTGTCCTGGGGTAGACTGACTGAAGTGAGGCTGAAATTCTGCGCACTTGGCTCACTCAATCACATACACGTACACTCACTTAATCATTATGATGAATATTTATGAGTAGGAATTTATAATGTCCCTTCTGATGTGTTTTTACTTTAGGTTTACATCACGGCGTTATAGCTGCTGCAGTCCTGGTGGCTGTCATTGCCTTCGCTCTGCTGGCTGGAGTGTTCTTTTTTGTTTACAAGAGGAGCGAGAGACATTTAAGAGGAATTGGAAGTGCTTATTATCGCCAAAGTTCACAGTCGGATGGAAATGTGTTAATCACAGAGTTGGAAACACGCTCAGGGGAATAGCATTTCCTCAGGTACAAAGAACAGAGACTGAGAACTGTGACTCTCAAAAGTTGCGAGAGCTCCATGCTGAAAGTATTTAAAGGTGCAGTGTGTAACTTTTCCATTGGGAGGTTCACTGTTTGTCTCTATGAAGACGTCGTCAATTACAAAAAAAAAAGTATTTCTGAATGAAGGATCTTGTGTTAGATCTTTGAGTTAAGCCAACTTCCATCAGTTAACATGCACATTATTTCACAATTTTCTGTGACCTAAAAACATTGCACACAAATAGTGAAACCTACTGGGGTCCGTGGGGCAATCACACCAAAGGTACTGCATTCTGTTAATCTAAAAGTCAATTCCAAAAAATATATATTTGTCAGGACACAATACATATGTATAAGGAATACATAAGTTCTCAACGGCTACAGATGTTTTTTACAGAAGAAACCAAATTCCAGGTTTGGTGTTCATCAGTATTATTATTATTTTAAAGCACATTTTTGTACTTTCTACATGTCTTTTGGAATAAATCTAATGTCCAAATGCCTGTTTTGTGTTTTTTTTTTTCAAATGTTCATTTATTACGACTCAGTGTAGAGCTCACACCCATGTACATTTGTTTTTACTCTATACAAGAGAAATAACAGAAGATAAAAATCTCAGTTCCAACGGTAGCTGAATAAACACACCGAATTCAACTTGTTAAACTACTAAATTCACATTAATATATTGCACACAAAAAACCCCTGATATTTCCCCACATAGAATTTCAAAATAAAGTGTATTTTACTTTGAAAGCACAGACAGGATGCGCAGTGTATTTTTGTTCTCGTCCGCTTTGATCATACGTTGCCAAATCCGCTTCTTTATATCGGCTTTAAGCCTCCAAGAAACATTATGTTATATAAAACTCTGCTGTTATTTTTCCCTTACGTTCCCTTAACAAACATACAATAATTTAAACACACACTTTAAATCTTTTTCTAACCGATATGTTACCTTAGGATGTGCCTATTTTGTCGGTGTATTTTGTTCCCTTCAAATCCGTATTTCTCTTTGCCAACCTGGCGTCCTACACACCCCGGGGGAGGAGGGCTGACAGCTGTACGGAGGGAACAGCAGTATTTGGCTTTAGCTGCTGCTGTTATCTGATCACTTTCGCTTTGGAGTTCACTTATCGATCGCCCTATATTTACCACGCTCCACACCCCCAGTCCGTGGACGTATATGAATCCAGCTCGAAGTGGAAGTGGGCTTGGAGGCAGCGGAAAATGTCCAAATCCACACATTTCTGTCTTTGTTTGTTGATTGTGTGGGGGGTAACTGTGTTTTGGGGGCTTGGCGCAAATGCACTTTCAACTTTCGGTGAGTAATCCTTCCTTTTGTTTCGTCTTCATCCATATTTCTTACGACAAAACTCCACAGTTCAATCAAAACACAAAGTAAAAGTAAAACTGCTTTCCTTTTATAATCAAATCTTTCAACATTGCTACTTTTATGAAATCCAAAAACAAGCCAATATCAATAGGTATACTGTAATTCGCATGTGTTTGGACTTTGTTACATTTCCGTATATAGTTTTATTATTATTACCATCATCTCATTTACAAGACGCTGAGAGAAATGGCACAATCATGCTTCCGTCTTGAAATAGCTTGGTCATGATTGTGTCAAAGCATATCTGAATGTTAGACTATAGGAATACGTACATTACTAAGTATTTCTGTTACTTTCACTTTTGATTCATTTGCATTTGTTAATATGCAACCTTCATTTTGCGGGTAAGGATAGACGAATACCCGGGGCATGATGGGTATTGCTTAACCTGCTGTTATTTGGATTTATTTTGTGTTCTAGTGGTTTTCTAATCTACTGTTGACGCCCTTTGAGACTGCTGTTGTGCGTTAGGGCTTTACCACAATACACTGATTTATTTCAACTACTTATAACTGTATTGTCATTAAAGGATCAATATGTATAAAGTCATTTCTGGAGTACAAATGTTAAGTGTTTTTGAGGGAGTGTTCTTCATCTAGTTAAGAGAAAGCATGTCTCTGATAAAGATCTTAATTGTCTTGTGCCACTGCCCTAAGTCACAATGTTGCGCTTGTTGAGTAATAATTTACTGTCTACACCATAGACACAAGCATCATTCACATATTCACCCCACCCCCATTTCACAAAACACATAGAACACTGTGATGTACATACTATATTAGTAATTATACATTCATAACTAGCAATATGTAAATATGTAGTAAAAACCTCTATGATATTCTGTAATTATTAAGTTGTTTGGATTGTTTTTTTATTTTATTTTATAACCTCAAATATTTTTCAATAATCATACTAGACAGACAGAATTCCAATTTGCAATAATTATTCTTCTCCAGTTTAAACTCTGTGGACTCTGTTTCCCCCTAGAATTAGATGTGATACTGGAGACCTGATAAAAAAAGCTGATAAATGTCTTTTTTTATATTTTATTATACCCAAACAGTCTCAATTTTTTTTTTTAAAATGTCGGATTATGAGAAAGACAATTTCTCATCTGTAACAGGAAAAAAAAGTTCACTTGAAATAAGGGTAATAAGGGTACTGCTTGTGACTGACAAGGGCTTTAGTTCACACCGTATTGGCAGTTTGATATTTTTTTCTCAATTCAATTAATGCAATGTTTTTGTTTTTCTGGTTATTGCGCTGCCCTACATTATTGGTGGGCGGGGCGGTCGATTTTGTTCATTATCACAATATTTTACGCACTCAATTAAATTGATACGGGAGAGCAAAGTATTGTGCTTTTTAATTAAATAGTTATCTGTTTCACATTCATGTTTTCTCAGAGTTTACACTGTTACTTGATTATGTTAAGTCATGTGCTGGGAGATCTCCATTCATGTGAGAGGTTGCCTATTCAGAGAATGATTATGTCTTCTCCTGTGTCCTCAATGTTTATAAGGATGAGGTTTTTGCACTCCCCTCCTCAGCTTTTAATGTGCACACCATATTAAATGTGACATTTGAGTGGAGCAGTCTTATTTTCCTCAATTTATGTAATGCCTTTGACATTTAATCGCAATATACCTGGGGGTATTGCAATATGTTAATATTCTATCGAATTGTCAGATTTGTTCCAATTCCCACCTCTACCCGCCCTGGTCCTTTTCAAACATTTTCTGCCTTGTATTCCCCACTCCAGAAACCCAGTGTAATCTGTTCCTGTGTTTATAGATGATGATGCCTTTGTCATCCAGCAGCCCGGTTCAGACCAGTGCATCAAGGCAGAAGCATCAGGGGAGATAACCCTCACCCACTGTGACAACTCTGGGACGTCCCAACTGTGGAAATGGGGGTCCGGGGAGCGCCTCTTTCATGTGGACACAACAAAATGCTTAGCCGTAAACTTCCTCTCCAAGAAGCTGTCCCTGATCGACTGTAACTCCGGGCCCGTCCTTTGGTGGAGATGCAGGGACAATTTGGTGTACACGATTTATCTCATGGGACTTTCGGCAACAACGGATGGAAAAATTATTGCCAAAAAGGAGTTTAATGACACCTGGGTTCTCAAGGGGTCCCAGGACAACATCTGTCAAAAGCCCTACCACAGTAAGCATATTTTTGTGGTTGTATAAGTTGCACATTGTTTTTCTTTGTCCATGCTACAACAAACCAAGAAAAAATATGAATATGGTCAAAAAATTATATGTGCATATCAATAAGAATTAGATATAGATACTAATTTACACAAAGAGCAGTAAATACACTGGAAAAGTTTTTAATTCCAAATTGCATACTATAGCCAAATAACATTGTTATGGGTATGACGATACAACTTTCTGAACTTTCTGTCCTTGATATTGATGTCCTACCTAGCTAAAATGTTTTAGTATGTATATTTAAGTATGTAAGTAAGTAAGTAAGCTTTATTTATATACCGCCTTTCACAGACCAGAGTCACAAAGCGGTTTACAATTGTTATTTTTTGGGCACTTGTCCTCTCACTCCACACAGAGTTCGGCGGGGTCGCCGAACAGGAGGCGCATGCCAGACCTATTGTACATATTTTTAGTGGTAGGGGAAACCGGAGTACCCGGAGGAAACCTACGCAAACACGGGGAGAACATGCAAACTCCACTCAGAAAGGCCCTGGTCCGGCCGGGATTCGAACCCAGGACCTTCTTGCTGTGAGGCGAGAGTGCTATCCACTCAGCCACCGTGCCGCCCAATACCTAATACCTATTTAATTTTGCTTTCATTTTCAGTGAAAACATCTCAGTGCTATGGAAAGTACCTCTGGTTTTATTGGTTTACTGCCAGAGCTAACTGAATTTTCACTTTGGTCTTTACCTGCTTCCTGGATCGGGTGTGAGGCCTCACGCTTTACTGTCAACTCTCTGAGTCACATAAACAAGTCAAGTCACATTTTTGCATCGCCTGTTGTTCAATTGAATAACTGAAAATTATGTAATCATTCATGTCGGGTTCACTTTAACTGGACCCATTCTGGTTCATTTTTGTCACTTCACAGGTGTCAAACACAGACCATTGTAGTGGCCCCTGAGATGATTTTCAATAATTACTCTTGCAGCATTGATGTAAGATCAATATGAGGCCTGTTATTACCTATTTTGAAACTGAGCCAGACTTGGCCCCCCCCAATGAACAACCCCTAATCCGCTCACATCAAACTATGCCTACTCTTGTTACATTTTGACAGTTCTCAGTGCACTGAATGTTCTGTTCTTTTTTTTTTTCTTTGTTCAGTTGTCCACACGACCAAAGGGAACGCGGCCGGTGCTCCCTGTGAGTTTCCCTTCAAATACAGAAACAAGTGGTACCATGAGTGCCTCCCCGAGCTGTCCAACCCCGGGGAGTTCTGGTGCGCCACAACCCCAGACTACAACCGCGACTGGAAGAGTGGGACCTGCCTGATTCCTGGTACTGCTACAAGCCATGGACATTTGGATTTATTTGTATCCACATTGTCATAGGTTGTATTCATGAGACACCACAACATATTAAAGCTCAAAACAGCCTGAATCCAGACAAAACAGTTTTACAATCCAGGTTGTTGGCCCCTTGACCAGCCTGGTTACCTAAAGTGGCTTGTCCAGTTTACTAAAACTCTTACTAAAACGTTTGGACGCCCCCTGCTCTAGAACACAAAGGCAACCTATACATAAAACAATTTACAAAAAAATGGATTAACACTTTATAAAATTGTACATTCACCTTGAAATTAATGGTTGAATGATAATACTTTAACGTAATACAACATTATCACTTTTTAGGATATAAATTTACCTTATTACTAATGAATTTAGTTGAACTGAATACAAATAATTGAATAAGCTTATAATTCAGTTATAAAAATGAGAGAATCCTTTTATTTCGATCAGCTATCTGAAACACTTTGGAGTGTATTGAGACATGCCTTAAGTAATCATTTGGAATTAATAGGCGCTTATTTGTATTTTTGTGCATTAGAAATCCTTAATAACCTATCAATGAATTGGTTCACAGAGGACGGTTGCCAGATGTTGTTTGAGGGTCCGGAAGAGAACTCCTGCTATGAGTTTGTCCCGTCGGCTGCTGTGACCTGGCAAAAAGCTCTGGACTCCTGTCGCAGTCAGGGAGGAGACCTGCTCAGCATCACGGGCCCCGAGGATCTGCACTCCAAAACCTGTGAGAGCCATATGCCCTACATTCATAATCTTGTCGAAGGAACCATATCTACTTGTGGTTTGGTTGAGGGTTAGAAAAGGAGTCAGGCTGTATTGTTCCCACCGTGATAATGACATAAGTGCAATGATATTAAAGTGCGTGTGACAGGTTTTCATGAGAATTGTACATCACTCACAAAGCAGTTTCTGAAGTAAAATTGAGAGAAATTTCAGAAAAGAGTGAGCCCTGTGTACAATAGTCAAAGCACAGTTCATACACAAGGCAACTCAAAGTGCATAACAGAACAAGAAAAGAAAACAAGGCATTCAAATCATAATTAATCACAGTGCATTAAAAAGAGTGATGATACAATCCTTCAGTTCAAAGCACAGCAAAATAAAACTGTTTTTAACTTGAATTAGATCATTGTTAGAGTAGAAGTCTGTCTCACATTTTCAGAAAGACTATTCCAGATTTTAGCTCCATAAATCTGAAACGCTGCCTCCCCATGTTTAGTCCTGACTCTGGGCACCAGTAGGAGTCCAGTCCTACTCCTCAGTGTACGAGCCGGATCATATGGCACTAACATGTCATGAACTGTACAGTAGGGATTCTTTGTGTTAATTTTGCATTTAGGAGAACAGAATTGCATAACCAAAATATCATATTTGTGGCAACATCTAAAACACTTAAGCATAACTGAAATGAATAAAATGAGTAGTCCAACATGTTGCTTTAATAAATAACAAAACTAATAGCACTAATTGAGCACAGACCTTCCACAAAAAGGATCAAAACAGTGAACCGGATCGCCTCCAAATTCAGATTGTTTGTTTATGCCATTCCAGAGAAATACTGGACATGTCATTAAAATATGCCCATCACTTTTTGAGTTTTCTTGGTAATGAACTACCAGACAAACCCACTTACTAACTCACCATTGCTTGTTAGTGACCACCACTTGATGAAAACCATTATAATAATCACTATTATTGTTAAGGATAATTTTCCCGGAGCTCACCCCTGTCATATCTGTAATACTGGGATGTGTGTTGACCCGTGGTCCTGTTTTTTAACCTGTTGTCGTGCAGTGTTGGAGGGCTTTGGCAGGATGCCTGAGCGCATGTGGATCGGCCTCCATCAGTTGGACTCGTCTCAGGGCTGGCAGTGGTCAGACGGCGCCCCTCTGTCCCTTCTCCGCTGGGAAGCAGGTCAGAATAAACACACTTTTATTGTTGGACTAAAAATGTTATCACCATATGACAAATAAAGCCCTAATGAAGACCATCCAAGGTTGAAACATGCAATCAAACCCTCTGGTGGTAGCATATGGAATTACAGACGGAGAACAATTTTACCCTTCATACTTCTTTCACCATATATTTTCTGCTTCAGATTTTAAACATGGAAGGAGCCATCTCGTTATAATTTTTAATGAACAAAAAATGTTAATATTTTTTAAGGAGTGCCTAAATGGTTCCTAGTTTTCCAAAAGCACCCTATACCAAGGTTTAATTGTCCCAACTGCATTATCCAGCCACATCTTTGTTTTTTCCATCTTTGGACAATATATTAACTGTTTTTAATCAAATTCAATTGAAATGTATACCGGTTTCTTGATTTAAGAGTAAGAATAAGATAGTGTAAGAATCCTATTTGTCCCACAATGGTGAAATTTCAGTACAGTGGGTAATTGCATTGTATTTAGAATTTAGAATTTACAAACATTTGCCACTTTACCCTTGACATTAACATTATGTTTTTCTTATTTTAGTTAAGTGCCAATATGGATTGTATTGTCTAAAAATAGACTTTGATGTGTTCGAATTTAGTACAGAAATAAGACCAAGCATACAAGAATTAAAAATAGAACATTTAATTACAATTAAATGTTGATACAAAACTCTTGGAGCTATTCATTCTCTATAACTAACCCTATCTAATCCTTTGAGCTGAGCTTAAAGTAACTGTCCCTAAACTATAGGAGGACAATCCAGCCGCTCTGCGAATGTCCCCAGTCTATATCTTGCCCTTCTCAGACTGACTACATTATTCACATATGGTATAATTAAAAATGTGCAGAAGCGGACGTGGCTTCATCAGGCGACGTCGGTCCAGACCAGATCTCAGTCTCGGGTCCTGGTCTGAAGTCCTTTTCGCCACCTCATTACTTTTTTGAAAAACACTTCGGAGAAACGGGAATTAAATGTCCCCTATTTTGTCTACTGTCATCAATTTAAACTCTTGACATTTTAGTTTCTGTCTTGGGACCGTCTGTGTCCAGCACAAACTCATTTGACCTCAGAGACTTTTTACATAAAACTATACAATTTCATGATTAAATATATAATTTCACAATTTAATAAATGATGACACATCAATTGCAAAAGTATCCCAGAAACATTGTGAGTGCTGAGGAGGAGAAGGGTGGAGTCCTACACTGGGTCTCACACAGTTCGGAGTTCAGGTGCTCATTGAGGGAGAGGACACATTTACGTAAAAGTAGTTACCCCTGCTGCAATGTAGTAGTCAAATAGACCCGAAGCACTCCAATTGGTCTATTCAAATTCCTTTATTTGACAGGAAAGCAACACATTTCCACTAGTACCGTATGAGTGCTTTCTGGAAGTCAACAATTATAAACACAAAAGTCTCATCTTCTTGCTATGCAGCCTTTTTTTTGTTTTTGATCAGTACCAATGTTCAGAAACAGAGAAAGCAGTGTTGAGACACAGCTGCCTTTCATTGGACACAGTGGTGCTTTGTTGCTTTGCTGCTTTGTTGCTGAATAAGGCATTAATGTCACAAAAAGGAATGTTTCAAATTGTAATATTGTGAATCATGTGAAAACACCATTCTGGGGCAAGTGTAGTTTTATGCTGTAAGACTGGCTCAGGTCAAGAAATTAACATTGTTGTCTACATGTTAATAAAGGTTTTGTTAGATATTACTTTGTTTACAACCTGTGATGTATAGTTAGAGATGTTGCACAAGAATGTGCAAGGGAAAGTGTAGTGACAATTTTTGTTTAGCAGCTTGTTTATTAACTTCAAAGCCTCATCAATAAGCTTTGTGAACTCGCATATTGAATCATTGTGTTGAAGTGTTTCACAGATGGTCAGATTATTCATGTTTTGTTTCTGCATGTGTGATTCTCACAGGGATGCCGTCCGCCTTCACAATCCTGGATTCAGATTGCGGCGTCCTGAACACCAATCAGAGCTACGAAGTCGACTCATGTGACATTAAGCTGCCTTATATCTGCAAGAAACCTTTTGATGCCTCTAAAACTGCTCAACAGGGTGAGCTTGTCTTTATTTCTCTAATATGTCATGCAGTTATTTCTTAAACTAATTGTAATTAGTTGTAAAGGTAAAGGTGTACTTTATTAACCCATACTGATGCCGCTAAGGCTTACGTCTGGAGCAGTGGTTGTTGTAGTACAGCGCCCGGAAACCCATCTTCAGGAGTTGATGCTCGCAGAGCAAGGTCACAAAGCGTTTTAAAATGTTGGTAATTGGTAATTTCCATGTGACCTTAGTGTGAATTTGAGGTTGGGGAAACTGGAGCACCCGGAAGAAAACCTACGCAGGCACGGGAAGAACATCCAAACTCCACTCAGAAAGACCCTTTTCCGACCGGGATTTGAAGCCAGGACCTTCTTGCTGAGGAGCGGGAGTGCTATCCACTCAGCCACCGTGCCGCCATGATTATTTATGATTTATAAAATGCCTTGTAAATCTGAGGCAGAAATCTGATATGGAATCTTGTACATCCACTTTGACTGGATGAACTGTGCTATACAAATAAACTTGCAAGAAGTTTTGATTTTAACAGTTTCCATAGATTCCAGGAAAGATTATTCATCTGCCCTCTGCTACTATTATAAACTATAGGCTTTTTGGAATGATGTGATGTCACATGAATGCAACCTATATTGTTTTTTTGTGCAAAATGGATTGCTGTGTGTTCTCATCTGACCACATGAAATATCTGTTTTCCTTTTTCAGAACCGCTGTTCTATAATGAAACATTGTGCCCAGACGGATGGGTCTCGTGGAGCGGCTGGTGTTACAAACTGGTGAAGGACAAACCACTAAACTTCACTGAGGCCTTGATGCATTGTAATAACTCAGAAGAAGGAAGCTCTCTGGCCAGTTTTCACTCCATTGACAGCAAAGAGATGATCAGCACTGGGTTTCATAGTGGTTAGTCATTTAAGTTCTCCTTTGAAGGTTGCCACTGTAAATCATTCACATTTACATTAATAGGTCCTTTTCTCTCACATTATCTGACCTCTTTTCTCACTATCACCTTTTCTTTCAAATGGATCACTTGTGTCCTTTCTGTTCAAGTGCAGGCTGTCTTCTTTGTCCTGTACAGCAGTGTTTCCAACCAGGGGAATGGGGATCCTTTGGGATACTTAGGACAAGACATAGAAGGGGGTTTATTTTTATTATATCGTACACACATACACCTAACAATAGCAGTTTTAATATATCCTTTTCTAAACACCCTTGTGGTAGGAAGTTGGCAGATTGTCATTTTTAAGAGTCCAATGAGAGAATAATCTGATGCTTCGGTTGTGCTTTTTTTCTTTCATTTTTAGTGGTTGTGTTAAGCCATATATTCCATACATAACATCATTGAGGAATGAATGGAATCTACCATCAGACATGATAAAATACCTTCACAACTACCTCAAAGACTCCAAGCTGTTATAGATGTTAAAAGGGCAATACACGCTATTGAGAACTGGGGATGTAAACTTGTATTCAGGGTAATTTGAGTTGAGTTTAATTTGAGTTTTTTAATAATGAATTGTATAGAGTCGGCATGTTCAACTCTTCCTTTTCAATTAGACTTAACAATAATGATTTAAACAGACTATGACAGAATCCTGAAAGTGCAATCAATTATTAACTCCCTGCATAAGTTTGTGGGAATATACTCAAAACATGATGATAATGTAGAGGTGAAAATGCTATTATAAATTCCTTTATTCCTTGTTGTAATTTAATGTTATGTTATTGTATTTCTTTATCATGTAACTGCAGATTTAAATTAGCTGTGTAGATTTAATCTGGCGCAGAACATATCTGTCTTTGAGTTGAATGTTGCTGTGCTCTTTCCTTTTCCAAAAAATGCTAAATTAACTTTAATATATGTTTATTTATACACTTTGGATGGGGATCCAGATCGACTGATGAGCTTTCGCTTGCCTTTCATTCTTCAATTAGATCAACAGCTCATGGACGTGAGGATCGGTCTTATTAGCAGTGGCACGCACCCTGCTGTTTTCAAGTGGATAAACCAGGAGCCAATCACCTTCACCTATTGGGAGACAAACCAGCCCACCCAGCCCACCGAGGACCCCAGCTGTGTCTACTATTCTGGAGAAGTACATTTCTTTATTAAAGCCTTGATCCCTTCTATGGAGTCAAGGTCACAGTCATTTCCTGAAAAGGTGATATTTTATTGGGTGCAATAATTCAAGCATGTTCCCATTTTCCGCAGTCTCATAAATGGAGAGTTGGTAGCTGCGCGGAGAGGTTACCGTTTATGTGTCAGAAGAAAGGAGAGGTCCAAGACTTTGAAGATTCATCCTTGTGCCCATTCAAAGACGTGAGTATTAAAGCTGAAATCCCTTCAGTTTTCATATCCTAAATATGCCCAAAAAGCAAACGTGTAAACTTTCAACCACAACTGTATATCAAGATTATATTAAATTTAACTTAAGGTTTTGTAAAGTCCTAACTTACAACAGCAGGCATCTCGGAGGACTTTACTAAGTTGTCAATTCCCCAACAACAGATCAGAGAATAAAACAATTTGAACACATAGGAGCCCTTAATAAATGTCCTTAAATGTCTCGGATCACCACTGTCTTAGACCCTCCTGCATCGGTAAGCAACTCCTCCATTACCCATGACATTACTCGATGGCGCAAATGTTCACTGTGACAAACAATTATATTCTGCCTCACTTAACCAGATGCTATGAAGGTCACATCATTGAAGTGAGGTCACATCTTATAAATGGAAATTAGCGGCTAACCAAAATTATAGAGTTGTTGATATGATTCATTGTTATACAGTGCTTGAAAGTGTAATCACGCAGGAAGATTTATTTGTTAATATTTTTTTTGGAGTTCATGAATGATAACGCAGAAACAACCTCAAATTCACACTAAGGTCACATGGAAATTACCAGTACATTCATTCATTCATTTTCAAGCCCTTTATTTTCCATTTCTGGGTCAGGGGGGTGGCAATGAGAGCTGCCACCCAATGCTCATAGCACCAGTCCCTCGCTGATCCTCTGCAGGGGGTGAGTCCACAGGAAGATGGCTGCTCTGTCAGTGGTGAAACAGCCTTGGTCTTTCAGCGGGGGCTTCAGGCAACGTGGGGTTAAGTGTCTTGCCCAAGGACACAACGACAGTAGACATCAGTGGGAGCAATTGGAGTAGGTCCCATGGTGGGAAGTGAACTCACGACCTCCAGGCTCAAAGGCCACTGCTCTACCAACTGAGCTACTGTCGCCCCTTACCAGTACACCAGCATTTTAAAACGCTTTGTGACCTTGCTCTGTGTAATGCGCAAAATAGATAAAATGACTTGATGAACAGTACATCCAAGCAACATTTTATAGATTGTTACTTATTTTAGCATAACAAGTGAAAAGAAAGTGCATTGATGTTAATATCTGTCTAAACATTGCAGGGTTGGAGGAGACATGGTAATTCTTGTTATCGGCTAAACACCAAACAAGTGCCCTTTGAAGACCACTGCAACTTCACCATAAGAAACAGGTTAGAAGATTGAATTAGACTTTTAGAAAATGTTTCCCGTCAATGTAATTGTGACTTTTTGACAATCATAGATGAGGTCAGCTGCTTTTCAAGCTGAGGCTCTCAACATTAGATATTCTTCTCCAGCAAATCTTACTGGTGATGGTCCTGTCAAGGGGATAGACTGTTTTAAATGTATTTACTTTGAAAAAATATTTAAGTTATATTATCTGTGGTTGACTCAGTTGAGGAATTCTGTAGTATTGTGCGTCATTTCTGTTTTTATTCTGCACTGAAGTGATGCAAAAGAACGGCAGCTAGGTGAACTGAAATCTGAATATGAATCTGATTTTATTTTAGTAGCAAATAAGTGATTGTATAGTCTCTGCACTGATATTGTATATTGTATGAGGGCAGAATCAAAATTGTAACTTCTTTATTTAGATTGTGCATGAATAAATCAAAAATTGTTAAGGGCGACAAAATGAAAATCTCTATTCTAATGCACGTAATAAGTGAGAACAGTTGAAATTGCAATTAGAGATGTAACAACTCCACTTTTACATATCTGCCATAACTGTGAACTGGTTGTGCATTGTTGCAGCTAAAATAGTCACTTACATCCTGTTACTGTTCTGCTGATCTACCGCCGATCGCTCTGTGCAGTTTACTTCCTGCCAACTTCTGCACTTTATACGCTCTATTATCACAGTGATGCTCTCAATGTAATTGTGTTGTTTTTGTGACAATGACAATACATTGTTTTTGAATTCTGAACTAATACATTTTATCAATAATTGGCAACTATTATAGTAATGTAAGTGCTGTGCAGTGATTACAAAAAATAAAACATTGTCTCAATTTAAGGTAGCTGTGTAACCCAGTGGCTGTAAGAGTGGCCAGCACGGTGCCATCACAGTGGTCTGTAGGATGCTAGAGGAACAATTGTTTGGAAAGTTCTCTTAAAAACACCATAAAACACTAAAAAACATTTGTTCCTGAAGCTTGGTAAACACATCCAAAATCAAAATGTATGATTGCTGTATAAATGTTGCCGACTCTTACATCCACTAAGTCACTACAAGGTTAAATATCCAAAAACTGAAACTTCTTCTAACTCAAAAAGTTACATAATGCCCCTTTAATGATAATATTGTTTTATTATCATGACCTCCAGTGGCTTCACTTAAACTTTTTCTTTGTCAAATCACATGAGTTTTCGCAAGTTTTCAATCTTGAATTTGTCTCTTTATATAATAAACATTGCTTTGTTAATAAAGATTGTAGAGTTAAAATGTAGTATCAGTTTCAGCTGGTAGTGTGCCATGTGATTTTCTTTAATGACAAAGCTGTGCCATGGCTTAAAAAAGGTTGGGGGAGACTGCCTTACAGTACACAATATTCTATACGTGAAATTAGTGAAATAATTTGACTACTTGCACTTGTCTTCTTCAGTTTTGAACAGGCTTTCATCAACCGCCTATTGGCCGAGCAGATCACCCCAAAGAATGAGTTTTTCTGGCTTGCTCTTAAAGACACAAACGGCAGTGGGGAGTATCAGTGGATGACCCCAGACAGCCCCGACGTCACATACACCTACTGGGGCAAGACTGAGCCAGGTACCAATCTTTATTTCTTTCCAACATGAGTTTGTGGGAGTTATTTTTTTAATTTTGAGCCTTTGTCTTAGGTCGAGCTGAGGGCTGCGTGGTGATCTCAACAGCGAAACCAATTGGTGCATGGAGAGTGGAGAATTGTGACTATTTCAAAGCGGGAACCATCTGCAGAAGAGACTTGAGTCCTGCTCCGGACACTAAGCTGCCAGACATCAGCACGCCTTGTCCCAGCGGCTGGACGTCAAGAGACAACATCAAAAACTGTTACAAGGTGTGAAACCACAGCTGCTTTCACTAAGGTCACTTCAATACTACTACTAATGCTGATACTTTTTAAGGTGATATACTAACGTGTTCATTCAGGTGCTTAGAAAGTCTTTTGAAGTCTAACGTTACACAAGATTAATTTAAGAAAGAATTTGTATCGCTGTAAAAAGTCCAAAATCCGGTGTCATAGATTTAATACTGGTGTTTAATTTTATCTACCTTAAAGTTATGTTCTTCCAATAGATGTTAAAGACTTGCTCTGCATATTTGTTTTAGTGGTTCTCTTTTCTGGGTTGACCTACAAACGTTTATGGTTGTATCCATCTGCCCCTCACACAGAGGGGCAAATGGCCTATGTCATTTTGCATCATTTTCTGCTATTTTTCTTTTGGGTTAAACAAATTATCAACAACATAACAAATAAATGCTTGATATATCTCACTTTGCATGTAATGAATTGATCATATATTAGTTTCATATTGTAAGTTGAATTAAGACGTTATTGGAATTTTCAACTAATTTGTTTAGTTCAAAAGCTAGCTTCTCCGACTGTTACTCTTATTAATACCCTTGATGCATTAATAAAAGTAATACATCTCCCCTCAAGACCCAAAGATTATTATTTTTGAACAGTTGAATCATCCATCTTTTTTTTTTCCCTGTGACATCCGTTGCTGGCTTCCATGCATACATTTAATTCATATTTGCAGGTGTTTCATGCGGAGAGATTGAGCCAGAAGCGTTCTTGGGCTGAAGCAGAGAACTTCTGTCAGGCTCTGGGTGCGAATCTGGCCAGCTTCTCCCATATGTCCGAGATGAGAGCCTTGCATAGCATCATGAGGGAAACTATCAGGTCTGTCACTTCTCTGTCCTCTCTTTTGTTTTAAAGAAGACGCATCATGCAATTGTTCCTTAACCAAGAACAGACCTGGAGTTGTTTTTAGAGCCATCCATGATCATATAAGGAATTTCTGGCACGAACATGTGCCAGACCTCCTGTCTCAGTCCTGTACTAGTATGATGTCATTGTACCACTATGGCATCACACTGAGAGCAGTCTTTTCCCTTTTCAAACTAAACTATTAGCAATAAATTAGTTCGACAAATTTCTCAGGTACTCATACTTGTTTCACCATATATTTTCTATACAAGATGTTATATCACATTCTAGAACACGTTTTCACTAGTCACTTAAGTCAGTTAGGTCTTTTGAAACTGATCTGTGAATCATTTTTTCCCCCAAGTGAACCAGACGTGGTCCAGTTAAAGTCAACCAGACCATAAATTATCAATGAAATATTGTCTCACACTTATCTAAAGAAAGTTGAAGAATTTATCTTGAATGTTACTTGTACTTGTTTTTTGCGTGATCAATATTTTTCAAATTAGTTTCTAGGTGAGATACACTTTTCAGCATGAACTAATATATGTAAATTCTGTCTTGTCACTAAAATGACTTCTCATATTACAGTGACAACAGATTCTTTTGGGTAGGGTTGAGCAGGAGGAACCCCACCAGCCGCTCGTGGCAGTGGAGCAATGGAAGCCCAGTGAGTTCATGAGGCTGAGAGAGAGAAATCCACCTCCACTGTTTGAAAACAACACATTATTCTGTCTTTGCAGGTGTCTCTGAACGTTTTGCATGGAGAATTCTATATGGAGGACCCCTACGGTCGTGACTGCACTGCGTTTAAGGTGAATATTAGAAGTATACTGTTATTGTATTGTTTTATTGGTAAGTGTTGCCACTATAGGAAGTCTATATGTATAGCAGAGTTCATACACAAGACAACTCAAAGTGCCTGACAAGACGTACAAACCAGTGGAGGCGGGTCACGGCTTAAAAGTGGCCAAAATTACATGCGCTGACATGCTTGCAATACCACCCCGGGCCGATGGGGGTGGACCCGGAAAAAGAATTAGCCAATGCTAACATATAGCATTAGCTGACCTCTCGAAAATATCTTTACAGGATGGTCCAAAAGTTGGCTCTTGGCCCAAAGCTCCATTCCACATGTTTTGTCAATGCTGAGGGGAGTGAATTTTTTGGACCAGTCTAGTTTAGTTGCTGTGAATTTTTGAAGGCAGTCGATAAATAAGAGGGGCTCACGCCGGTTGACGCATGAGCAGATGCGTTTTTTCACAATTTTCTTGTGGGCGGGACCACTCGCGGCCAGTTTCTGTAGCTACAGTACAGCACAATTTTTGGCCCATTTGTTTGAACGGCGGAAATAGGCGTGACTACGTCCGTTAATATTTACAGTCTATGGTACAAACGCATAAAATCATAAATAATCACATTACATTAAAATATTTTATCTTGTAAACAGTCCTTCAGTTGTATGCACAGCTAAACATAACTGCTTTTTAACCTGGATGTGAACATTCTCAGAGTAGAAGCCAGTTTTCCTTTTTCAGGAAGACTGTTCCAGATTTTAGCTGTTTAGTCCGGACTCCGGGTACCAGCAGGAGGTCAGTCCCTGTGCTCCTCAGAGTCTGAGTTGGTTCAAATGTCACAGATGTACTTTGAGGTGGGACCATGGAGAGACTTTTACTCAAGCAGAGCTGCTTTAAAGTCTATTCTCTGAGCCACAGGAAACTAGTGTAGAGTACAACATTTCAAAGTCTGATTTTGCTGTACAATAAACTGTAATTTTTAACTCAAAATAATAATACTTTTGACCGCCCTGATATATATGGATCTTAGTAAGATTAAGAAATCCTGATGAACACTAGTGTATTTTGACTGAGTGATTAAATTGCTAATGGCTGCCTTCTAATCTTATGGTTTACAAAGATGGTGAAAGATAAAGGAAAAATAGACCTTGTGGATTGGCCGCATCCAACACATTTTCTCCTGTCAAATACAAATAAATAATGTTGCTCCTTCTATCATTGACTCGAGATGTTCTGACCAATCTTTTAGTCTGGTCTCAGGTGTCCAGTCAAACGGCTGAATCATGAGTTGCGTGCCAGCTCGCTTACATTCTTACCAAAGCGTTGTAGCACTTTCATATCTGGGACTTCATATGTGTCTGCTCCTTATCTATATGGTGCCAATGATATCTTTGGGATTGTGTGAAAACTGGGTCAAATGGTCAATAGTTGGACAGCTTCCTCAATGTGATCTGTTTGTTAAATTTGTTGCTGTTGTTGAAGTCTTTATTTTGAATTATTAATTGTACAATACATAATAAAATATAAATAATAAAAAATAGATACAATAAAATAAGATAAAAAATAAAAAGGTGTAGGTAGAAGTAAAACAAATGTGCATTCACTTGATACATATTTGGCTTAACCATTCAATTTAATAGACATTTATATATACTATTCTCCTGATTATAAACATTCGTTACCATAAATGTTGGTATTTTAAAGGCACATTAAACATACCAATGATGTTCTACGAGCCTGGGCTGGAGGTCGCGAAGCGGTGCCCCGACGCGACTTCTAGGCTTGTTCTCCGCAAATCTAACTCGTCTCGGAACCTCCCAATGACAGCACTGACCCTGAGAAACACTGCTCCCACTGCTGTCTCTGCGCAAAGTTTGTGTTTGGTGCGGAACATCACTCTCACGCTATCCTCGCAGCTGCACTCACTTCGCTATGGTTTCAGGACTGATTCAACGCGATCTTTCTCAAATGTTTTTTTGGGGCCAAGGAGGTAGTCTAACATATCTGCCAACTAGTGGCAGGGAGTATGAATGAATTTTGACATTCTGTTGTACACACTTGGCCGTTTTAAAGAGTACCGCAGCTTGTCGACTTAAGGTGACCGTGGCGTCTAGAGGGTTAATAACGAAATGCAATCTATGGCGGTCGGTTTCGACCACCTATGTCCATCTATGTGTGGGAAACACTGCAGGAACCACAGTCGAAAACTAGTTTTGTAGCTAAAACTCATTGAAATGTTCATTAATAGACATTGTCCCTGTTCAAATAAATAAATACAGATCTTTCTGTTTCAGACAATGAAAAGCAACTTGAAACACTTGTTTGAGTTTTTACTTCACGACCTCAACCCAATACCTTTCCATGTAACACCATTTCACTGTGATGCCAAGTTGGAGTGGGTCTGCCAGATCCCTCGAGGTGAGAGGGAGACTTGCAGGCCACTGTTTTTGCCAAAATTATGGAATTGCAACTATTCAAAATATATACATTCACTCTACTATATTTTTATCTGACAGGAAAGACTCCAAAGAATCCGAAGTGGTACAATGCAGGTGTTCATATGATTAACTGGATTCACTTTTGCTGATAAACTATGTCCTCTGTTGTTGCTAACAACATATTAACTGTAACATTCTAGAGGGCCACCACGAGACTTCCATCTTCATCGATAAAGACGAGTTCTGGTTTGTCAACGAGCCGCGTTTGACTTTTGAGGAGGCAAAACTTTACTGTGGAGAAAAGGGCAGCACACTGGCCGAACCCCCGAGTTTCACCGCGGCTAGACAAATTCAACAAAAACTTGCTGATGTGAGTATGTGGTGGTCTGACACGATAATGCAGGAATAATGCTAATTGTATTACAATGATTTGCTTAGTTATGTTATTTATTAAGTACTCCCTTGAAAAATAGGTTCTAGGTATATATATGTATTTGGAATGTAACATACAGGTGATTGATACTATAACAGCCATATCAACTGTGCAGTGACAGTTGTGCCTCGGGCAGAAAATCTGGCCATATTTTGGAGATTATTATTCAAAATTTGTGAAATATGGCCCCCCAAAAATATAAACAATTCTGATTGGTGTGTAAAGTTATCAAAACATCTAAATTTTATTTTTTAAGTTTTCTTAAAAGTAAACATTAGACCATAAATCATAAACAAGTAACCCGTAACAATTTGGTAAGTTCGTAAGTAAGTAGCACATCACTAGATCATCTCTGGTCACCCCTTTATTGTTTAGTTTAGTTTATTAAGATTCCCATTCTTCCTGGGGTCTCCTAGAAATCATTGCATGCACTTATACATATTTTTACATACAATTAATATTATACACACATACATTCTCTCACCACCTCTGCACCTTCTCCACCGACTCCCACTGATGACTGCTGTCGTTGTGTCCTTGGGCAAGACACTTAACCCCACTTTGCCCAAAAGCTCCCACTGAAAGATCAAGGCTATGCTCACAGAGAGCAGCCGTCCTCCTGTGGACTCACCACCTGCAGAGGATCAGTGAGGGGCTGGTGCTATGAGACTTGGGTGGCATCTCTGACTGCCACCCCCCTGACCCAGAAATGGATTAAAGGGTAGAAAATGGATGGATGGATGGATGGACATTCTCTCACACATGGGAAAACAATTACAAACCATATAAAAAATAAGAAAGTACCTTACCACAACACATAGTATCTATACAAAATGAAAGAAAAAACTACCATAAAGTTCTCAATTGCAGTGGCCGATAAATGTCTATTGTGTGTATTCATTTATTAGAATTTTGTATGCATGCCTTTTTTAAAACCGTTTTTAACTTGTTTGCACCATATATCAAAGAAAATTCCTAGTTTGTGACTTCCTGTTACTTTCAATGGCAACAAAAATTATTCTGATTCTGAAGTACGTATTTTGTTTTGTGCAGGTCATACAAAGTCCATGGCAAAAGTGGTGGCTCGACATGAAAGATCCACATCAACTTTACCCAATGACGTATGTGTTGGCACAAATCCTTTGAATTATTTATCAATATTTTCACCTTTTTGAAGCCGCTGCTGACTGGAGTCTGTGTGTTGCAGATACTCCCGGCTGTTGGTCTATCACTCTCGTTTCCTGGGCAGGTGTTCAACCATAAGGGCTCGGAGTGTATTTCCAGGTGTGTTAAAAAAAGCTGTGAACTGTCAGATTTACAACTGAGAGATGTTGAAAGGACAGAACAGGCTGGGGTTCACAAAGGACCCTCAAAGGGACCCTCAAATCAGCACAAACTCCAACCACCGCTAGAGCATTTAGCAATTAATCCAATAGTGTTTATTAGACCCTACCGATACAATATATTTCTAAATGGTTCGATACAAGTCAGTAAAACAACAATATTGGTGTATTTACTGTCCATTTATTTCATATTGATCGTTAAAAAAATAGTTATTCTTGTGCTCCTGTTTGCAATGGGTGGGTGTCTGACTATCACAAAATATTTATATCTAAATATTATAGAAATATGTAAATAAAAAATATATTACTAGATTTATTTAAAAAAAATAATGATGTATTAAATAAAATACTCCTCCATTGCCATTTATCTACAAATTGTTTTGGTTTGGTCAATAAAATAATGAAGATTAAGGCAGTAGCTCAGTGGTTATAAACCTGTGGATGTGGGCACTTGTTTGTTGTATTGTGTTCTTCCTAATCATCTTTGTGTGATGAAGGTCACTGGCAGCTGTGGCTACAGAATAGGAAACATTGAATAATTATATGTATTGCACTTTTTCAGTGTCAAAACAGGAACTGCAATAGTGAGGCATTAGACAGAGTCAAACAAAGAGTTAGTTTGTAGCATATTATAATTACCTCTTACTTGATATAAGGCAGAATATTCATAGTTCCTAATATATCTACTGTCTTAATGATGTCTTACTAAATGCAGTTGAATCTTTCCAGAATATGACATGTCCTGCAGAACGCGGCTGCCTTTTGTTTGCCAGAGAGTGAATGCTACGTCAGTGGAAATGAACCCGTACAAGGTGCAGCCTTCAGGAGAATCGTGCGGCCAGTCTCTGTCTTTCAGGAACAAGGTCTGAAAAAACACATTTCTTTCACTTGACGTTTCATAGTAACTAAGAAATGATTGAAAGTGATATTGTTGTTCCAGTGTTATATTGAGATGAAGAACCCCAAACCCATAACGTTTAAAGCTGCAGTCGACAAATGTGAATCTGTGAGAGGGACTCTGCTGACTATAACTGATCAGGTGGAACAAGGTAAAATTTTAGATATACAGTATTTTATATGCATTCTATGCTGTTGGCAGAATAGAAAACCCTTTGCAATACCTGTGTGAAGTGACCGTAAAGGCCCAAAAAACTGTCAATACTTTGTAACTACTTTAAAACTTTTTCTTAAATTCTAGTTTTAATAATAATAATACCTGATTTTATCACCCTTTTATGTGTTTGTTATATTTCCAGATTAAGTTGTAAATATTCATGACAAGTATAAACTAAATTCTATTTCTGTGAATAAATCGGTGTGTTTGTTTTGATGGAAAGATAGATAGAAACTTTATTGATCCTCGTTGGAGAAATTCAGGTATCCAGTAGCAGCAGGAACACATCCATCCATACAATTCTAACAAATAAATAGATGGTTCTAAAAATAGCTAACAATAGTATTAAAATGCAACAGCACTTTAGGTCACAGCAGCAGAACTGAGTGGAGCAGGACAGGTCACAGCGGAGGTGGAGTAGCCGCTTGGTGAGTTGCTGAATGCTTTATTAGCGTTTTTCAAAAAGTTAGCATTCCTCCAGTGGATTTTTGGCTGATCCGCTTGGTTCGTACTATGAATCCTCCCTGTTCCAGTCTGAACCAGTTCAAAACCTTGAACACCGTACTGCAGAAACATCTCAGGTAGAAAAAGCCTAACCCTAACAAAAAAAATAACAATTGTAAATTGCAAAAACAACAGTTTCAGAGCTACTTAGCCATTTCCAGCTCATTAAAAAGTAAAAAAGATTGTTATAATCAAGCATACTAATATAACCGTATGTTTTGAAATCTTGTCATCAAATGGAGTACTTTTTTGTCCAGACTTTGTCACCAGCATCTTGGCCACAAGGACAGACCTGAACTTCACTTGGATCGGACTGAAGCTTCGGCCAAATCAGCAGAAGTGGGTGGATGATTCGTCAGTGTCATTTGTCAACTTCAACACTCTGCTGCACGGTATGGTCAAGCCCATCCCAATCAACGTAAGTAACCACTTTGTATGCATTCACACACTAACTCCACACAAATGTCTAATGTGTGTTTCTTTGTAGCAATTTGACGTGGAGAGCATGGACCTGTGTTCCTACATGTACAACAACCCTCACTCTGACCTGATGGGCTCCTGGGACTTCACTTCCTGTGGAGACTATCAACCACTGGCCTATTGTCAACACTATGCAAGTAAATTACTTTTTTTACTTTTTAGGCTTTTCTTTGGAAAAAAGATAACATTTGGATTGTTAAAAAAAATGCGCACAATAAAAGAAAGAAAACCAAAAGTATCCTCAATCTAAAACACTTTGAGATAGAGACAACAAATTTAGAACATGAAAAACTCTGCAAATAGTGCCTTTATGTTGGACCAAATGCAAGATCTAGATCTCTTTTGATTGGTGTCTGGCTGTTTGACAAATCTTAGTTGACATCTACTGTATCTTACATCTATAGTAAGAATGTGTATTGGATTTATTTAGTATAAACATGTTAGTCTCAGAATGTGTTCATTTGTTTAACAACTCACTCTAAATGTGTTGATCCTTTTTAAAAGATAATCACGCACAATCACACAAAATATTTAAAAACGATGTATCGTTCACACAGAAATAAATGTTTAAGTAGGAGACTTTTGCTCTCTTCCGGATGGCTCCCGACCGCTGGTTTATATATAGTCTTTGGATGACACACTTCAATATAATATATCACCTTATACGCATTACACATTTGCGGTGGTGATTTAGAGTCTGTAGAGCCATTGCTTTTGGAAATGTTACAGTTTATGGCTGACGTGACTCACACTTTGATTGTATTACAGATCTGTTTTCATTTATGCTCTCTGTCAGTACAGACATTCTTCTTTGGGTTAATATGGTTTTCATTTTTCAGAACAAAAGTTTCTTTAATTACACATAAATACATTTAAAGTTGTTCTTTCATCAATTTGTTGGACAATTTGGTTCTTTCTGAAGAATCAAACCAGGCTTTGTTAGCGGAGGTCCAGAGACTGACGAGAGGAGCGACCTGTTCAAGGCTCAAGAGGAAGAAACACAAAGACTGAAGGAACAGGTGACACAACTGCAGACAGAGAAATCTGCTCTGGAGAAAGACTTTCTGGATTTCTTAATCCAGCACCAACTCAACACCCTGAAAAGAGGCCTTTTTCAGGTCTGTGGACATGAACCAGGAGGTCACCAACTTCATCACGACTGAAGAAGGAGACTCAGGCCTTGTTCCCAGAACTGCTGTCCGTACAACAGACTGTGAGTAACCTGGTAAGAGCCAGATTGATGATTGTGTAGAACTCTAACGCGTTCTCCGCGATATCAATCTGGGATTTCTCCCGGAGAATCCTTTCGGGGAAAGGAGGGATAAGCAGCAGAATACTTCAAGCTGATTGGGCGAAGTGACGCTGTGTGCCCGCCTACACTCTTGCCAAAACCCGTAGGTAAAAATGCACAAACATCTTTGCCGTCCAGAAATGCACAAAGCGCCTCTCGCTGTTCATCTTTCAAAAAAGAAATTGGGGATTCTGCTAAAACTGACTTGATGCCTCAGCTACGCGTCCGTCCTCCTGCGTAGCCATGTTTGTTTTGCTTCGGCCCGGCACTTCTTGCTTTCGTCAAACCCGGATATCCCGCCCTAAACCCCCAGACTGGCGCGTGATTGGCTCGCACACCCAGTGGTTCGACTCGAAAAGTGTAAGCGGGAGCGGTACAAGATGTATTCTCGAGTGTTTGTGAACTCACAAATACCGCGAGAATTCAGCTTGCAGGCAAGGTTAGACTGTGAGGGCTTTGAAGAAGAGTTCTGACGAGGAGAGCGACAGAAGAACTCAATCATCAGAGGTCTGGACACAGATCTCGCAAAAGTTCAAGAGGAAAACAAGAACACATTACAAGTTATGAACTCTCATGTTCTAGATCCTGAAGAACAGGATGCAGGACTAGGAGATGGATCTTAGGAAAGGTAATTATGAGCTGGAAGAAAAAAGGCTAACTTCCCAAAAAGAGGTGGAGGAGTTTAGAGAGATCTTTGTCCTGAAAAACAGGAAGATCTTGAAAAAAACCACCAAGCAGCAGATCCAGGACCTTCAGGAAGACCATGCTCCACATTACCTTCAGAAGAAGAGGAGGCATAGACGACAAAAGAGAGTTGTCTACAAACCTAACCAAGCTCCGCTGGTTACGTTCCCCTAACCCCTTTTCACAGTACTCAATACTTAAGTATACTTAAGTGTATAAAAATAATAATAATATTAAGTGCAGCGTTAATGCGATACGTCTCTGCTATGTCTCTGCTACGTCTCTGATACGTGTCCGATACTCGCTTTCTAAAACTTTAGATGACAATAAATTAGATAGATAATTTCTTTTTTTTTTCTTTTTTTCTTTTTATTGTGGTTTGTGGTGTATTCTTAATAGATTAAATTACTTGTTTCTATATTAGACAAAAAGGAATAAACGTTGCTATCTCACATTTGTCTGGTAAAGAAAAACCAAATAACCAAATAACTAATATAGTTAATAATGACAATAGCAGAGTGTCAGCAGAGAAAAACAGTTATAGAATTTGGGGGATAATATGTTTTTTAATGGTAATAAATAAAAGTGTTTCCAAATATACAAAGCATGTGTTTTTTGACCCACATTAATGGGATTCTTTTGTTCTTAAAAATTAGAAGCATTCTGAAAAAAGTGTAACAAAAATGGATTTGAATTGAGCTTTTTAATTGAACAGTTTCTGTTGTAAAATGTTTTATGTCACTAATACAAGTCATTCACTGCTTTTCCAGATCAAATGGAAGAGCCTCAGGTGCCGTCTAAAGCCTTCAACATTTCAAACCACACAGTTCTTCTCTTGCATAAGAATCTGACCTGGTTCGAAGCTCTGGAAAAGTGTCTTGAGAACCACATGGAGCTAGCCAGTATTTCTGACACCACACTTCAGGCCAGCCTCGTGGTGCACGTGAGCCACGCCCAGACGCCCATGTGGATCGGCCTGTTCAGTGAAGACGTGAGTGTTTTGCTTTGTCCAATTAGGGCTGCAAGATTACCCCGCAATTTAAGTGATTGCAATTATCGAATACCAAAACCTGCAGCTTATTTACTGTTGGTGAGGAAAGAAAAAAAGCTGCATAAAATCACAAGAACATGCTTGAAGTAGGAACAAATATATTTAGTATTAGTATAATGTATCTTTAGCATTATACCTAGTACAGTGGTTGTTTTCTTTGTGCTTTCTGTGTTTTTGACTTGTTCAATTGACACACTTGCTTAAAAACAATTATTATTTTGTGAAATGAAGCCAAAACACGTTTTTAACATTTTTTGAAAATTCCAATTGATGCTTCTTAATTAAAACTAAAATTGCAACTAGATATTTGCCCAAAATCTTGCAGCTCTATGTCCAATGAGTGTTTGAGTACCCGGGCTTCTTGGACCCTTGGGAGAGGTGTGCCGACCGGTATTCTCCTGGGAGAGGGGTCGTCAGAAGGAACAGCCCAGATCTGACCTCTGTCACTCTGGTAAAGAGAGGGGCGGAGCTGTCAAACGGACTCGCCTGGTTGTGACCTGGATCCGTTAGTAGGGGAGGAAGCCGGTCAGACCTAGCAGGTCTTAAGGGTCGGCTGGGAACGTCTCACTGAGCCCCTGTCAGACAGACGTTCAACTCACATCTCCGGTAGTGCTTCTCCCAGGTCCCGTAGGAGAAGGGTGAGGAAGAGGAGTCTGAGGGTGACCAAGTTCTCAGCTTTAATCACTAATGGGGGATGTCGACAGGTTGAATGAGTTCTATCGAGCCTAATCCTGCTGCACCCAACCACTAACCATCAGTGGAAGAACATCTCAAATCATTTTAATGTCTGAAAATGTTCAGGAAAAGTTCTTAAACTTAAAGGAATAGTTCACCGTTTGTACATACTGACATATGTTCTTACCTTACCTTAGACTAGTTAATACGTACCTGTCTGGTCTTAGTCCGTGCGCTCTGTCATGCAAACGGAGCAAAAACGGGAGCACAACCGCAGCCTCCTCTGTATATTTTGTAGCACCAAAAGGTAGCTCCCGCTAGAAGCTACCAAACTCTTCCAAGTGTTCCCTATTAAATGTATATAGTTACGTGACGTGTTACACTGCAAAGTATAGTAACACAGAAATGTAACAGTCGATTTTCTCAGCGGATAAAACGGGTACTATATTGTGAGGCGTAGTAATCTGAGGGGCGCTACGTCCGCGCACTAACTTCTCTCCGGAGACTTCTCTCTCGCTCACTTCCGTCAATAGAAGCAGCGTGACTTGTAATACACACAGTAGCAGCGAGAGAGAAGTCTCCGGAGAGAAGTTAGTGCGCGGACGTAGCGCTCCTAACTTCTCTGCGCACTAACTTCTCTCCGTACTACAACTATAGGGCAGGGTAATACGTAGATAAAGTGACATGCAGTGGACCTTCAGTTGCTGTATTGCACATTATTACAGTATTTACGTATTTACAGATGAATAACACGAACAGGCTCAGCAGTTCTCATTGCACATTCTAACCGTACCATCCATTTTATACGCAGGAGGGTGTCCACTACCGCTGGACAGACCACAGTCACACCTCGTTCAGCCGCTGGGATCCTGAAGCTGCTGGAGGCTCCTGTGTGTACCTCGACACAGATGGATTCTGGAAAGCCATGGAGTGTGATGAAAAGCTGGGAGGAGCAGTGTGTCACAAGCCGCATGGTAAAAGAAAATCCTCCTTTAACATAGAAGTATGAGGTTTCAGACAACATTCAACCATCCTGTTATACATATAATGTGTTTAGATGTTGGGAATATTATCTCAACATCAAATCCATCATGTGCGGCATTATTGTCCTATTTATTAAATTACATTCTAACAGAATGCACTATTATTTTACAGAAGACACCATCTCCACACCAGATGATGTTGCAGTGAAGTGTCCTCATAAAATCAATGGTGCCAACTGGATCCCTTTCAAAAACAACTGCTACTCCCTGCAGCTGGTGCCCACCAGATGGGACCAGTTTGACAAAGGACAGGCCCGAGAGACCTGCAAAAACCTGCGTAAGACAAACCGCCGCCTAGCATAGGGACCACTCTGACATATGGTACTTAATACAATTGCAAGGTTTTGATTTAGCTTTTAGATCTATAAAATTACTGGTGTACCCACTTACGTTAATCCATCTGTTAATTACTAAAAGATTAATATGATTGTGAATGCTGCTGCCTTGTATGTTATGTCGACAGTTCCATAAATGAGGTTCATATTTGGTCTGAAGCATTTTTCATGAACAAAAAAATATAACAAGGCAAGACAAATTATCATTTGTATACAAGGCATTTCAAAGTGATTTATAAAACATGAAAGGATACATTAAATCTGGGGTACCTGACCTTTTTTTGAATGTGTTTGTTGCAACAGAAAGAGTTTTGTGAAATATACGGATCACAACTTACTCTCTTCATGCTATTATTAAATATGTTCTCTTTTGCATGTTAAAAAAGAGCCCTGTGCTTTTCTGTCTGAAAAAGCTGATGTAACAGATGTAACAGAAGCCACAAATAAATCTATGTGAACTAGTGATGGGACTGACTGTTTAGAGAGTGTGGAACCAGTTTCATGGATCAATTTAATAGATTTTCAACCACATTTTCTGTTGTTTGAAAGTTAGGTACCCCAGCATTAAGTGCTGTAAGCAGTGGTCCTCCCAGCTACCGATACATTTTGTTTCCAAGTTTATCCGCTGTTGCTATGTTTGAATAAAGATAACTATGACTGAGGAATGTTATGTCTGATACTGTAAAAGCACAGACTCTATATTATTTATGGAACTCTTTGTTTTACCTTCAGATGAAGACGCTCATGTCCTGACCATCAGAGACGCTGAGGAGAATGAGTTCATCCGGCAGCAGCTTGTGCCTTTCAAAAGCCTCGTCCAGTTCATCTGGCTGGGCATCTTTAAAGACAACAATGGTTCGTCTTAAAACTCCACTTAAACGCGTTACTTTAAAACCTCACCTTTAATATAACTTTTCTTTGACAGATAATCAGCTGAAGTGGTTTGATGGCACCAATGTCCAATTTAATAACTGGAAATACGGCAGAGTGGACGAGACACCTTATATGGCTGCTCTAAACACTTTGGGATTTTGGTTCTTTATCACCAACAAAAACTACTTGCAGGAATTTAAACAAAAGACAATTGTGGCCTGCAAACTAGAAAAAGGTAGGCTGTAAGTGTTTCAAATGATGTGTTGAACTTAACTGAAAAAAGCTTAGGAAACTTACTTTATCGATTATAAAAAAACAACCGCTAATCTGTTTATGTATTTTTGCCATACGTAATATGTTTATGCAAATGACCACAGAATGGTTTTTAATGAGTTATTGTGAAATCTCAAAAGTTGCTTTTCGGCTCTTACCACACTTTAGTTATGTCTCGTAACCTTATTGTCAGATATTTCTTACATCAAAACGTTCTCATGCTCTAATAGAATACCATATACCTGTACTTTACTCACTTACCTTTCAGTGTAACGTGGGGCCAAATTATCAGGAGGCCATAGTTTGGACACCTGCTCTTTTAAGATTAAGAGATCTTTTATTCGTCCAACAGTGGATACATTTCAATGTTGCATCACAAGTTACAGCACTGTAGGAATGAGGAGTACACAGTGAATTAAGTACACTATACTCTGTTAAAGCAAAGTATCTCTACCCATGTACGTTACAACTCTCCTACATACAGTACTGTTTCTTTTATTTAATCGGTCTATCATGAACTAAACCTTTTTAAGGATAGGATTTGGGAAGCAGGAAAAGAATACTTTCTTTTTTTATTGACCCTGTAATGCAGTTATCCAGTTCTTATTTTCTGCTGTTGTTTATTTTTTTGGCCAGATGAGAAACAAAAGTACAACTCGTCCATCGCAGACCTCCAGAGCTACGGCAATCTGTCATACCAGGTGCTGCCACAGAAACTCTCCTGGTTCCAGGCACTAGAGGAGTGTGGGCGCCGCGGGGGGCATCTGGCCAGCGTCCATGACCTCCAACACGACGCACACATCAGCCTCATCTCCAGAGTGGACGGCTTTCCTCTGTGGATCGGACTGTCCAGCCAAGAGGTACGGTTAGAATGGACAATAGAAGTGTCCACAATCAAACTTACCGTCTTCTGTGTCCTTCCGAGTCAGTTTTGCTCAACATTTCAAGACTTTCTTTTTTTTTGCCTCTGAATTTCTTTTCATTGACCTCGGTTGGCATTACATTTTACCTCAAAGAGCATTATAAACTTAATAAAGCCTATATCTGATTTTAAGGTAGTGTGTTTTTCATAACAGTCTAACACCTTCCTTACATCCTTATTATTCATTAAGACAAATGGATAAGCATCGGGACTTTCATAACATAAAATGTATGTTACGAAAGTCAAATCTATTTGATCTATTTAATAAATCAGTGCATTAAAACAAAAACTTGACCTGAGTGCTTGGCAATACAAACACACTTTGCCAAACATGAAAAACGTTGGGTAGAGCAGCTTTGTACACATCTAAGTATTTCTGTGTTTTACTTGAAAATTCTGATTGAAACAAAATCCCCACAATTTCTTTAAATAGAATATATGCTGTATATTGTACTAATTTAGAAAAATCTTTGTAGGAAAATTATTATTATAATTAATAGACAAGGCATACCTTAGGTCAACCAAGAATTTCTTTGGTCAACTCCAGCTCTTAAATGTAGCAATTTCAAGTGAGTGTTGGTATCATGAACTTGCTTTTTTTCTTGCTGGTGCTTTTATGGCAGGCTGGTGGTTCTGACTTTGAGTGGTCCGATGGCACAGCACTGGACTACACTCCCACCATCACTGAGGCAGTTGAGTCCAGCTCCAGTCCTGAGGCGCGCTGCATTTACATCACTCCGGACGGAAACTGGGTGAAGAGCAGCTGCACAACAAAGACCGAGGGCGCCATCTGTTACACCACTAATGTCACCACAGCCTCGCAGAGTAAGTGCATTCAAATATCACTATATTCTATATTCATTCTAGTGTCGCTTCATTTCACATGAAATAGTCAGTGAAGTAAGTGCACACACAGCCAGCTTTTATTTGTTCTGTTATCAATACACATGGCATTTAAGTACCTCTCACCAAGTACCTATCTGTTCATTGATATTACTGGTTCAAAATGTTTGTCATTCATGGAAACTTTTCAGTCTTAAATAGAATATAAAGGTAATAATTGCTTGTTTTGAGCCCATTTTGTCTGTTTTAAAACCTTAAATGTGAGAATACAAGAAATTACTCCCCACAATGCTACTGCTCTTGAAACAGCTATGGTACCAATCTTGTTTTAATACAAATGGGCTCAAATCTAGATAAATACTCCTCAATTCAATCAATCTTTTACTTTTTATCTTATTTAAGGCCAACCAGGTAGCTTCCTCTGCCTTGAAGAAGCTACCTGGTTGGTAGTGAAATGTCCGCATCTAAACCGATCTAAAATCTAAAGTCGAGCAGTATATCAATATTATTCAAAATTTTCACCATTTAATATGAAGATGTCAGGGCATCATCCTAAAAACATGTATTGTATAGATTTCTTTTTAAGTTCATGTTTCCTCTTGTTGTATGACCCAGGAGCCAAACTGCAGGCAGCACCAGCCTCTAACAGGTGTCCTCAGACAGACGGGGGCTCGTCGTGGATCTACCACGAAGCCCACTGCTACGCCTTCGACATGAGCTTCTACAACTACAGTGTGTTCAGCATGGAGCAGGCCAAGAGCATCTGCAACAGTCTGGGTCAGTGCACTTCTACCGAGGTTTTTAAAGTGGTTCTCACCCCCGCTCCTCGGAGCTTACGTTACTCACATTTCCTGTTCAAATCTTCCTCTAAATGGGCGTGGCCTGGAGGACTAAAGGGGGCGTGAACGAGACTGGGCCGTTTACATTGCTCTGGGCGGGGGGCTGCTGACGTCAGGTCCAACTTGCAGACGTCAGGTCCAACTTCTGTGCCAGTGTTGGCGCCAGATTCAAAATTCAAATGTAGTAATACAGGTCGCCAGCAGATGGCGCCTCACAGACGGTTTTAGGCAGAAAGTCTAACTTTCAACTAATTTGCACCAAAGTGACAAAATTATGACCAGGATATGTAGACAACACTATTGGACACTCATTTATACCGTTTATCAGCAAAAAAAAGTGGATTTGAGGGTGAGTTGTCCTTTAACATGTCTCTAACTGGACCAGGTCAGACTTGGTCCAGTTTAAGTGAAAGAAACCCCTCAAAAAAACAAGAAAAAGATTATTTTAAGGAACAATTCATAATAAATGAATAAATAAATATGGATTAATAAGCTTTGTTTGTGGAGATGTATGAAAGCCTCAAACAAGTGCACCCTGGTCTTGTCTAGTTCAGACAATGGGAAGACTTTTATATTTGTCTAAGAGTGTTCATTTTGTCCTAAGTACAAAAATCTGTCGGAAATAAATTTGAAGCATTTACCTGCCCTTGAAAAAAAACAGTGAAACTCAATCCAATCTCAATGCTTGTCAGAAACATGCAGATATAAATGTTTCCAAAGTCACGGTTGTTGCACATTTCATTGAACTTTGAATTCAATAATGTACATACAACTTTGGCGAAACGGTTCATCAACTACTGAACAATTACTAATTCAATTTTTTGCACAAATTTATTTTTGTCCCCATCTTGTTTGTCATCCTGCAGATGCTGAGCTTTTGACCATAAAGACCAAAGAGGAGAATGAGTTTGTGTCTAACTACATCACCGACAACCCTCTTGTGACCAGCAGAGCCTGGCTTGGCATCAGCCTTGATCCTGAGGGTATGTTCAGTCAAAGCAATTGTTATAAATCATTATGTTTTGTTCTCTGTATCATTAACATAATTATGAATGGCCTCAGGTAAGCCTTCATCCTGGCATGATGGCTCCGCTCTGGAGTACTCAAACTGGAATCCGACTGCACTGGGCTCAGCAGCAGAACCAAACCAGTGTGCGGTCCTGTCTGCGGCCGATGGGGGGACCTGGAAGATGGTCCAATGTGACACAAAACACAGTCGAGTCGTGTGTCAAACTCATGCAAGTAAGTGCTACATAGTGTTTCAGATTATAATTCCAAGCAATGTGGCTATCTGTCCAACACACACACGCACAAACACACTTACACACACACAAACAGAGGACAGCGCACATAGGATAACAACAATCCATAGTTGCCACATAATATCTGAAATTTAACTTGGCAAACCTACCTGTAAATGTGAATGAGTGAGTCTGTGGTGTTGGTTGATGAAGCTGTTAGTACACATAAAGCTGTTTTTGGTCAGCCAGCCCCAGACAGCTGTGAGTACACAAGTTGCCACAGCTCTGCAGAAGGATTGCATTCTAATGTTAAGAGTAAATTTACCCTCTTTGGTCGAGCCTTTTGTTTTCCTTTTTTAAATGTGTCGATGAGCTTTATTCAAAAAGCTTTTATAAACGCCCTCATGTTGTCATTTTATAGTTTAAAGCACTCTGCACGCTCTGCTTGTGACTGCCGAGGGTGCAGCTGACAGGGGCTGTGTACTGCTGTAAATTGGGGCAGTTTTAATTCAAACACATCCAACCGTTGAACTACTTTCATGTTGATTTAAATGTATGGTCTGTAGAGAAAAACAGCCTGCACTGCTGTGAAATGACCTAGTTTTTCTCTGAGACGGCTGCCTTGACGCTTGTGCTTAGGGAGAGTGGTTATGTGTGATTGATTGTGGATTTCATACTAAGGATAAATCGTATGATAAATCATACTATGGATAAATCATACTAAGTTATCATGTTTACGGGACTAGTAACTTCAGAATTTATCACAAATGTTGCTCCAGGAGTTTGGGACAGTGTAGGATTATGTTTGGCGAGTGATTGACGAGATGCGTGTAATATATATACATAATGGTTGTCTTATCTATCATAGTTTTGAATTTGAATTAGTTTGTCACAATGTAGAAAGCAGTAAACAGCTTGTATACCACTGACTTCTGTTGGCTCTGTCCAGGTAAAGGCGCTCCTGTGGCTTTGGTCTTCTTCATCCTCGTCCTTGTGCTGCTCATTCTTGCAGCTGGTTTTGTTATTTACAAGAAAAAGCGTGCATACTTCACCACCACTGTGCGATACAAACGGACTTTCGACCAGACGGACTCCACCAGCATCGTCACTGAACAGGAGTGAGCAGCCACGTGTGCTAGTAACAGCTACTATTGCAAATGCAGCCCTTCCATTTTAAATTATTTATTGTCGACCCAGCTGAAAATTGTGTGTAAAACTGTAAATATTGAGATGTGAATATGTTTTTATTTAGTGAAGTCCATTAACATATTTTAAATGTCCAAGGGTTATGGATGCACTGAAAAAGTGCATAGTGAAACTATCAGGGATAATTGACCATAATATTTATACAACTCACTGCTAATGGCAAATATGGCTGTATTTTAAAGAGAATTTATGATTTTAGGGATGAGATATAAAGAATTTCTGACAATGATATTTTGTGAACCCCCTCTTGGGTCTTTATATTAGTCTGAACAAAAAACAAGTGGTTAAACGCAGGTGAGTTGAATCACTGGAGAAAAGCCATAATTCCGAGCAGTGCAAGTGACAGAGTGAAATTGACAAAAGATTCGGAACAGGAAAAATAGGTTTATTAAGACTGTAGTCCACGTCCCCGTCTTTGACCATCATCCAGTCCTCTGTGCACCCAACCCTCATGAGTCCACCAGCCAGCCAAGGGCCAGAGGGAGTCCGGTTTGGAGACCACACAATTTCATCTCTGCTGTTTGCAGATGATTTTGTCTTGTTGGCTCCAGCACCAGAAGTTGCGGTCGAAATGAGTTTCCTCCCCAGAGTGACCGGGTGCTAGAGATAGTGGGAGGAGCTCGAAGAAGAGCAGCTGTTTCTCTATGTAAAGAGGAGCCTGTTGAGGTGTCCCTTCTGGACTGTAGAAGGGACACCTTCTAGTCAGTAATCCAGGCCAGAGAAGCGTAACCTGGACAAAGCTACGTAGTTTCTAACTACTCCAGCAGAGTTTGGAGCATGATAGACCTATGTTACAGCCAACTCGTATCTCCAGTTTTATTTATTTTTAACAAAATATAAGTGACAATACCTTCTGGAAGCCAATTCTCGCAGTATTCCTAAATAGTGGTCATTAATATGATCCAATTTACATTTTGTCAAAATGTAATCTAATACTTGTGACTTTTTGAGAATAGCAACATCCCTTGTTTCATTATTTCAACAGAGTTCCTTGTTACTACTGACACTCCCTCTACTCTCCACTGACAAGCCAAGGAGCACATAGTTTTTTTTAAACAGATTTTGTATCTAAAATGTTGTTGGCTAAAGCTGTTCTAGTTTGCACTCCGGAAATGTGTTCTAATGTTCTACACAGGCTGAATTTCCAGCCAGGAATATGAACAAAAAACAAAGTGATTGTCTCTGATTGTGCCTTTTTCTTTTTTTAATCTTCAACAGTTTCTATAATTCAATACTGATTTGCTTAAATGGTTTTGACAAGCCTGTGTAATGTATGTACAGTGGGTATTTGCTATGCACTACTGAGGAACAAAGCACTTTATGCAGTTCATGTTGAAGCACAATGAGCTTTTGAGATTTTGTAAAATGTTTAAAATTGCACTGTGTTTACTGTAAATGCCTTGGAAATGTAAATATGAGCTGTTTAGTAACTGAAAACCAAAGATGTCCGTCAGGGTTGGGCTTGCAGCATGTTAACAGTCATATCAACTTTATCCATCTACTCCGATCAGGTACCTTCCAATAAAAGTCATTTTGTTTTCAACTGGATTCCTTTTTGTCGATTACTAAAGCTTCATGTGTTTTATTTGCATCAGTAATAAATCTCTGAAATGTCAAACTATTTGACGAGCGAGGTCAAATGGGCTCCATTCTTTAAGTCTCATTAGGTCCAAAAATAACTTGTCGGTGAACAATCATTTGTTTTTGAACCCACGTGTAAAAGAAGCATCTGTAGAAGTTGTGCTGGGACATGTATGTTGGCTTTTTAAAACACCCTTTAGTGATGCACCCCATTGTAACATTTAGCTTTGGGGAATATTAAAATAACAGCTCAGTGTTTAGAATGATAAGCGCCATGTTTAAAGTCATGATTTAGCTGACAGGATTTCCAGCTGGACTAAAACAAATCTAGTTTGTATCGAGGTTTACCAGATAAACATTTTTACAAGAGAATACAGTTGGCGGGTCTGATGTGTTGAATTTCCTGTTGGAGATCAGTCACGGACGCCTTGCATAGTAATTGTCAAATCTTTATTCACAAAATATTGGAACTAGATTTTTACATAGAATACAACATTGTACATAAGTTTACAGAAAGTGAAAGTCTTGCTCATGAACAGTTGTATGAGACAAAAGAAAAAAAGAAACAACTTTAATATTTCCAGAAGTATCTGAACCATTTAAAAGTTAGTCACATAACTTAAAATTTTGTTTGCTTAAAGCACTTGTGGTTTAACAATTAAACGTTTGCATTTGTACTTAACAACAGAATAAAGTGCACTCAATACAGCTTTCAACAAACACCACTCTTAGAGTTTGCGTATTAAGCAATGCCAGCGGCAGCAAAGGCATGTCGTGTTCACCGTCTCCCTTGTTGCATATCGGGTCAAAGCACTCTCTCTGTAACCACCTTTCTAATACTCCTCCAAATCATCATCCAGGTCAGAAAACTCGATAGATGGACGAGTGTCGCGCCTCTCGCCTTCTCTGTCTGTAGCAGATCAAAAAACAATGAGTATAACTGCTAATTGATATGAAAAGCTTACAATATCAATTCAATACAGTGCAAAAAACTTTATTCGCCGACATACTTTCAAGACTGTCCATGTGTTCGTGAAGGATTCTCACCAGGTTGAATAACTACAGGTGAGAAAGGAAGAGTTTTGTCTTACAGCATTCAAAATCTACAATACTATGCATATTATTATGTCATTGTACTAACCACACAACAATAAATACTTCAAAAAAGCATTGGAGGCACATATTTAGGCAATTTGGGATTGACCTGATGTCTAGGCTCAACCATACTGAAAATACCTCAAAATCATTTCAGTAATTGTATGATCAGAAGTCAGTGGATTTTGAAATTGGGTAAAACCTAGAAATGTAACAGTCAAATGAAACTCCATACAGTTGAAGTCATATTTTTATCTTATATTTTCACATCTAACATTAAAACAATGTGGATCCACCTCATCTAGATTTATTATTGAGAATTAGGAAACTGGGTGAAAAGCATTTTTTAAGTGCAAGTAAACTCATGACTTCAACTGCAGCCGTGACTTTGATTACGTTCGAGTTCTTACCCCAGCTGCATCCACAGCTCCCAGGACGTCTGAGAACCTCTGCTCGCAGAAATGCAACAGCACCACGAGGTACAAGCCACTGCTGATGAAGTCGTCATACTCTGACTGGGGAGAAATATGTCAATTACAGGATGAGAATAAAAGTGAGATTGAGATTTGTATTAATGTGCTCAAGACCTATTATACAAGATTCATAGATCTATAATTTCCAGGTTATATTAATGGATCCATGGTTATAAGACGCCAATTTTACCACAAGCTTTGAACCTTATTTTTTAGATGTATTCAGTCCATCACCGGGTGTACACTGACTAATGTGGGTGGGACTTAAGTCAGACTTAGAAAGTCCGAGGCGAGGTATTTTTTCTAGACTTCTGGTAATTGAATAGGTGTTCTCATGTTTACCCACGTGGCTTTGGACAAATCTGCAGTTGACCAAAGTCAGTAGAACATACAAAGTGGGTAGGTACTTCTTACTTGCTACTTGTGAAAATCTACTGTACCAGGCTACATTATGTAAATATGGGAAAAGTGATTACTATAATTCTGTGAGTGAACCAATAAACATAATATCTACCCAACGCAAGTGAAATTGGAAAGTGATTTCTTTACTCACTTGCACATGTGATCTATACAGCTCCTGAATATCAAAATTATCCAGATTCAGGCGTAGTTTGTCTTTGCACAGCTCACATGTGGTGATGCCCTCCAAGTTGGTACCTACAAATCACACTGTCTAAATTAACACATGAAATTACATAATACAGGCCTATTCTACTTTATGAAGGGGATAAAGACACAGGGCTTTTATATACGCTTTTATATGTGATTTGGTTCAGAAGTGGATATTCCCTTTAAAATCATTTCATAAGCAGTTATTTAGTCTACAGAAAACAAATCTGTTTACAAAATTACAATGAAAAGTAGGATGCTTAACTTCCATATGCCGATCAAAAGGTTTTAATGTCTTTTCTCTAGTGCAAATAGAATACAGGATCACTTCTATGGCTGTCAAAATCAAATACATTGGTTTAGTTTGTACCTGAAGTGATTTTGGAGCGGAGCCACCTCTTGATGCAGTCCTGGTGCACGTACTGCAGACTGCCGGTGCAGCGACACGGCTGGATCAGAGGGTTCGAGACGGACTCTTCACCCATCTGACAGATCCTGCACAAGTCTCCTTCCTCCTCATCAGACTCTTCCATCAGCAGTCTAAGCAGAAACACGTTCAGTACCTGTTATTACCTTTTGAAATGTTCAGGTACATTCGCTACAACAGAGTCAAACACAGAACTGTATTTGAGGAGGGACGTCACTGGTACAGTGCATTGCAAAAGTATTCGGCCCCCTTGAACCTTTCAACATTTCCCCACATTTCAGGCTTCAAACATAAAGATATAAAATTATTTTTTTTTGTCATGAATCAACAACAAGTGGGACACAATGGTGAAGTGGAACGAAATTCCATCCATCCATCCATTTTCTTCCGCTTTATCCGTTGCCGGGTCGCGGGGGCAGCAGTCTAAGCAGAGATGCCCAGACTTCCCTATCCACACACACTTCCTCCAGCTCGTCCGGGGGGACCCCAAGGCGTTCCCAGGCCAGCTGAGAGACATAGTCCCTCCAGCGTGTCCTAGGTCTTCCGCGGGGCCTCCTCCCGGTGGGACGTGCCCGGAACACCTCCCCAGGGAGGCGTCCAGGAGGCATCCGGAACAGATGCCCGAGCCACCTCAACTGGTTCCTCTCGACGTGGAGAAGCAGCGGCTCTACTCTGAGCTCCTCCCGTGTGACTGAGCTCCTCACCCTATCTCTAAGGGAGCGCCCAGCCACTCTGCGGAGGAAGCTCATTTCGACCGCTTGTATCCGCGATCTCGTTCTTTCGGTCATTACCCAAAGCTCATGACCATAGGTGAGGGAGGGAACGAAGATTGACCGGTAAATCGAGAGCTTTGCCTTTCGGCTCAGCTCCCTCTTTACCACAACGGTCCGATACAGCGACCGCATCACTGCGCACGCTGCACCGATCCGCCTGTCAATCTCACGCTCCATTCTTCCCTCACTCGTGAACAAGACCCCGAGATACTTGAACTCCTCCACTTGAGGAAGGACCTCTCCACCCACCTGCAGAGGGCAAGGCACCTTTTTCCGGTCGAGCACTATGGCCTCAGATTTGGAGGTGCTGATTCTCATCCCAGCCGCTTCACACTCGGCTGCAAACCGTCCCAGTGAATGCTGCAGGTCCTGCTTCGTTGGAGCCAACAGGACAACATCGTCCGCAAACAGCAGAGATGAAATTCTGTGGTCCCCGAACCGGACCCCCTCCGACCCCTGGCTGCGCCTAGATATTCTGTCCATAAATACAGTGAACAGAACCGGTGACAAAGGGCAGCCCTGTCGGAGGCCAACATTCACCGGGAACAGGTCTGACTTACTGCCGGCAATGCGAACACAGCTCTGGCTCCGGTCATACAGGGACCGGATGGCCCTCAGCAGAGGACCCCCGACCCCGTACTCCCGGAGAACCCCCCAAAGGACACCCCGGGGAACACAGTCGAACGCCTTCTCCAAATCCACAAAGCTCATGTGGACAGGTTGGGCGAACTCCCATGAACCCTCGAGTATCCGATGGAGAGTATAGAGCTGGTTCAGTGTTCCGCGACCGGGACGAAAACCACACTGCTCCTCCTGGATCCGAGATTCGACCATCGGCCGTAGCCTCCTCTCCAGTACCTTGGAGTAGACCTTACCGGGGAGGCTGAGGAGTGTGATCCCACGATAATTGGAACACACCCTCCGGTCCCCCTTCTTATAGAGAGGGACCACCACCCCGGTCTGCCACTCCATTGGCACCGCCCCCGATCGCCACGCGATGTTGCAGAGACGTGTCAGCCAAGACAGTCCTACAACATCCAGAGACTTTAGATAATCAGGGCGGATCTCATCCACACCCGGAGCCTTGCCACCATGGAGGCTACCAACCACCTTGGTGACCTCGGCCAGGGAGATGGATGTATCCGCCCCAGCATCCTCAGCCTCTGCCTCTGTAACAGAGGACGTGACGGGGGGATTGAGGAGAACCTCAAAGTATTCCTTCCACCGCCCGACAATATCCCCCGTCGAGGTCAGCAGCTCTCCACCCGCACCGTACATGGTGTTGGCAAAGAACTGCTTCCCCCTCCTGAGGCGCCGGACGGTTTGCCAGAATTTCTTTGAGGCCGACCGATAGTCATGCTCCATGGACTCTCCGAACTCCTCCCAGTCCCGGGTTTTTGCCTCTGCAACGGCCCGGGCCGCGGCACGCTTGGCCTGCCGGTACTGGACAGCTGCCTCAGGAGTCCCCCGAACCATCATGGCTCGATAGGACTCCTTCTTCAGCCTGACAGCTTCCCTTACTGCCGGTGTCCACCACCGGGTTCGGGGGTTGCCGTCGGGACCAGCACCAGAGACCTTGCGACCACAGCTACAGGCCGCCGCATCGGCGATTGAGGCAGAGAACATGGTCCACTCGGACTCCATGTCCCCCTCCTCCACCGGGACCTGGGAGAAACTCTCCCGGAGGTGTGAGTTGAAAGTCCGTCTGACAGGGGGCTCAGCGAGACGTTCCCAGCAGACCCTCACTATACGCTTGGGTCTGCCAGGTCTGACCGGCTTCTTCCCCTGCCAGCGGATCCAACTCACAACCAGGTGATGATCGGTTGACAGCTCCGCCCCTCTCTTTACCCGAGTGTCCGAGACACGCGGTCGAAGGTCAGATGATACGACAACAAAGTCGATCATCGACCTCCGGCCTAGGGTGTCCTGGTGCCACGTGCACTGGTGGACACCCTTGTGCTCGAACATGGTGTTCGTGATGGACAAACTGTGACTGGCACAGAAGTCCAACAACTGAACACCGCTCGGGTTCAGATCAGGGGGGCCGCTCTTCCCGATCACCCCTCTCCAAGTGTCACTGGCGTTTCCCACATGGGCGTTGAAGTCCCCCAGGAGAATAACGGAGTCCCCGGGCGGTGCACCGTCCAGTACCCCTCCCAAGGACTCCAAGAAGGCCGGGTACTCTGCACTGCCGTTAGGCCCGTAGGCCGTCACAACAGTGAGAGACTTGTCCCCCACCCGGAGGCGGAGGGACGCGACCCTCTCATTCACCGGGGAGAACTCCAACACGTGGCGGCTGAGATGGGGGGCAATGAGAATGGCCACCCCAGCTCGCCGCCTCTCCCCGCGGGAAACACCAGAAAAGTGGAGCGTCCAACCCCTCTCAAGGAGTTGGGTTCCAGAGCCCAAGCTGTGTGTGGAGGTGAGGCCGACTATCTCTAGTCGGTATCGCTCAACCTCCCCCACAAGCTCGGGCTCCTTCCCCCCCAGTGAGGTGACGTTCCACGTCCCGAGAGCCAGCTGTTGTGTGTGCGGACTGGGTCGTCGAGGTCTCCGCCTTCGACTGCTGCCCAGTCCTCTCTGCACCATGCCACCACGGACCCCTCTGCAGGTGGTGGGCCCACAGGAGGGACTGCCCACGTCGTCCATTCGGGCTGAGCCCGGCCGGGCCCCGTGGGCTAAGGCCCGGCCACCAGGCGCTCGCCTACGAGCCCCGACCCCAGGCCTGGCTCCAGGGTGGGGCCCCGGCTGCGCCATGCCGGGCGACGTCACTGGTTTCGTATGAGTGCTGTCCATGGTGTCTTCTGGACTGCTCTTTGTCTGACTCGTCACCCGAGACCTGTCTGCCATGGGAGGCCCTACCAGGGGCATGAAGCCCCAGACAGCATAGCTCCCAGGATCATCCGAGTACTCAAACTCCCCCACCACGTTAAGGTGGCAGTCCAGGGGGGAGTTTATGTTACATTTATTGGATAATTTAAACTTTTTTAACAAATAAAAAAGTGAAAAGTGGGGCGTGCAATATTATTCGGCCCCTTTACTTTCAGTGCAGCAAACTCACTCCAGAAGTTCAGCGAGGATCTTTGAATGATCCAATGTTGTCCTAAATGACTGATGATGATAAATAGAATGCACCTGTGTGTAATCAAGTATCTGTATAAATGCACCTGCTCTTTGATAGTCTCAGGGTTCTGTTTAAAGCGCAGAGAGAACCATGAAGACAAAGGAACACACCAGGCAGGTCTGAGATACTGTTGTGGAGAAGTTTAAAGCCGGATTTGGATACAAAAAGATTTCCCAATCTTTAAACATCTCAAGGAGCACTGTGCAAGCAATTATATTGAAATGGAAGGAGTATCAGACCACTGCAAATCTACCAAGACCCGGCCGTCCCTCCAAACTTTCATCTCAAACAAGGAGAAGACTGATCACAAGAGGCCCATGATCACTCTGGATGAACTGCAGATAACTACAGCTGAGGTGGGAGAGTCTGTCCATAGGACAACAATCAGTCGTGCACTGCACAAATCTGGCCTTTATGGAAGAGTGGCAAGAAGAAAGCCATTTCTCAAAGATATCCATAAAAAGTCTCACCAAACATGTGGAAGAAGGTGCTCTGGTCAGATGAAACCAAAATCGAACTTTTTGGCCACAATGCAAAAGGATATGTTTGGCGTAAAAGCAACACAGCTCATCACCCTGAACACACCATCCCCACTGTCAAACATGGTGGTGGCAGCATCATGCTTTGGGCCTGCTTTTCTTCAGCAGGGACAGGGAAGATGGCTAAAGGACTAAAGAGAGCATGAGGACTAGCAAGATGGCGCCGTGTCAGGGCGCCGCAGTGAACGCTCTGGTGCGCACAATCTGTGTTTTGTAGTTTTTCGTCTGGGATTCACTTGCCACAGTGAGATACGATCGGCAGGCGCTTCTTTACATTCGGGACCATGCGTGTGTCGGGTCCCTCGTCATACCCGAACTGAGGTGCACGGACTTCAGTGAGTGCCCCACTCGAGAGGCCCGTGGAGCACGGCAGGCGGACCGCGGCGGTGGCCGCCAACAAAGCGAGGGGACTGGGCGTCTCCGTCGTTCTCTCCGCGGTGTGGAGCTGGACACCCCGAGCCGGCGAAGGAGGCGCAAACACCGGGGAAAGCGAGGCGGTCTGCTCGTGAGAAGCCGCTCCTACCGGACTGCTCTGCCCTCCTGGCCAACGTCCAGTCTCTGCCAACAAGACGGACGAGCTCCTGTGTCGGGTCCAGAGCCAGCGCGAGGCATGGGACTGCGCTGTGTTCTGCCTCAGCGAGACATGGCTCCACTCGAACATTCACTGCTCACCGCGC